CACCCCCAGAGCTTTTGCTTTTTAAACTATTCAATGTTACATTCCCAGGCTCTCCACATCCTGGTGGAATCCTTCAGGAAGCAAATTTAGTGGGCTCTGATTATGCTCCAACGATTAAAATACAAGCAAACAAACAAAAACCACATAGTTTTCTATAGAAAACTTAAAGGCTCAGTACTATGAGTCTGCCCTGATCCAAAGTGCTTTTGTGAAGCAGAAGCTACCATAATAGAACAGTAGGGTGTTAAATAAGGCCAAAGGTATCCCCATCAGGAATTGTGAGAACTGACAGTTTTACACGAAGGGCCTTTCCACAAAAGAATAAAACAAAGTCAATTTTTCAGAGACAGCGAGGTGCCTAACACCTTGTGGAGCCTTCGGCACATGGTGCCCCAAATCATGCCTGACAGTGTGCAAGAGGTACTCACTGGGTTTGTTTTGGGTATTTACCGTGCTCTGTGCACAGAGCATGGGAGGGACTGCAAATCAGGTGTCCAGCAAGAATGTTTTATTTGGCCCACTGAGCATTTATCAAAGAGCTGTGATAATATTTTTAGGAGGTTTCACATTAGTGGGCTGAATTTCTGACCTCTTTTTAGAAATCAGGAGGTTTGTCAACCGTGGTCTACATTTCCATGTAGCAATAGTCAGCTAGTCCTTCATTTGTTTCACCTGTTTGGCTTCCCTGGGCATTTTTCTTTGGGATCTCTACAGTGAAAGTGCAAAGAAGACTGGTCCCTGTCCTCAGGAGTTTACCAGTTAACACGAAAGACACACAAGTAAAGACATATTGACATCATAGTGCTAGGATAGGAGAGCATAGCGTGGGTGTGGAAGTCTGGTAGGCTTCCCAAGAAGAGAACTCCCTAACTGAATCTTAGAGCACTCATGTTAGGGATTGGCCAAGAGAAGGGTGGGGATTATGGGAGGTCCTTGGGAAATTTCAGGCAGAGGGGGGCAGCATTTACAAAGAAATGAATGAGTGGGCAAAGTGGGTTCAATACAGGAAATTGGAGAGTGATGACAAGTGACACTCTAGGGATAGTTAAAAGACCAATTAGGGAGAGTCTTGTCTATATAAAATAATTTGGACCTTATTGTGAAGACATTGATATCCACTGAATGACTTTAAGCAGGAGAATGATACTGTCTTATTTCTATGTTGACACATACTCAGGTGAGGCATGAATTAACTTTGGGTGGGCACTCCTCTAGTGTTTGAGAATTGAGCAGATAGTGGAAATAAAAGCCAACCTAATAACCCACTTTCAGTGCATTGACAGGCTGTAGCTTGCAATAGTGTAAAAGCCCATGTTACTTATTGTAACAAACCCTCAGACTAATAGTCAGAGGCAACAGATGTAACTGTGTAAGATTCAAACAAAACTCATGACACCACCGTAAAGGCCAAACTTGTGCAACTTGATTTTCCTATTGCATAATCATATAAAGAATGTATTCATGAGGACTTTCTGGGATATCTGGCCAACATTTTTTTTTATTATAAAAAGGATAACAGATTTTTAAAATAGGGATGTCTATGGACTTTTATGAAAGCAGAGACTGTTTATTTCTTGTTTATTGTTTTATGCTTTCTGGCTGTGAGACTCTAAAAAAGTTATTTAACTTATCTGGGTCTCAGTTACTTTATCTGTAAAATGGGCATACTAATTGTACCTACCTCATTGAGATGTTAAGTGAGTATATATGTAAAGCATTTATATCAGTGCCTGGTGCATACTAAGTAAGTACTATATCAATGTTATCTATCATTATTATTATTTATTAATCATATCCTCAGGATTTAGAACAAGTACTCAGTACATAATGCACGATTAAATATGGTTTGAAGTTGAATTTGAAGGTCCTAAAAACAAACTAGACACCAAAGCAGGGGGTCGGGTAATTCAGAAACAAGGACCTGGTTGCCAGAACGAGGGTATAAAGCCAGTACTTGGTTCCAAGAAGCAGGGAAGAGTCCAAACTCTTGAACTGGATCATAAGGTAACCTCAAGTTCTGGAACCAGGCTATGAACCCAGAACCAGCAACCAGACTGTCCCAGACACTGGCAGAGGAAGCTGAATAACAGAGTGCCAAATAAATATGAAGGCCAAATAACCCCACCATGAGGAGAAGTTAAGATGCAATGAACCAGGCAAGCTATTGGAAGTGCACAATAATAACTAATAGACAAAGGGTTTTATTGTTATCTATAGTCACAGTGGTTAAAAAGATCCAGGGCGCCTGGGTGGCTCAGTTGGTTAAGCGACTGCTTTCGGCTCAGATCATGATCCCGGAGTCCCTGGATCGAGTTCCGCATCAGGCTCCCTGCTCGGCAGGGAGCCTGCTTCTCCCTCTGACCCTCCCCCCTCTCGTGTGCTCTATCTCTCTCATTCTCTCTGTCTCAAATAAATAAATAAAATCTTTAAAAAAAAAAAAAAAGATCCAGCCATGTCATTAAGCCAAAATCATTAAATATTTCTTTTTTTTTTTAAAGATTTTATTTATTTATTTGAGAGAGAGAGAATGAGAGAGCACATGAGAGGGGGGACGGTCAGAGGGAGAAGCAGGCTCCCTGCCGAGCAGGGAGTCCAATGCGCGACTCGATCCCGGGACTCCAGGATCATGACCTGAGCCAAAGGCAGTCGCTTAACCAACTGAGCCACCCAGGCGCCCTCATTAAATATTTCTAAGTCCATTTCTTTAAGACAGGGAATGGAAAAATCGATTCTATCAGGAAGTGTTATAAACTAGTTTTCCCATTGGATTTTTCTAGGTTCTAAGTTTTTTTTTTTTTCATTCTGCTTTAATACCAAACTCAGAAGCACTGTGTGATTTTTTTTTTCCTTTTTAAAGATGAAGGTATAATTTACATGCAGTAAAATTCATCCTTTTCAATGTATAGTTCTGTGAGTTTTGACAGATACACAGTCACCTAACCACTGTTACAATCAACACAAAGAACAGTTCCATCACCCCCCAAAATTCCTTCATGTCCTTTGAGGGACAATCTCTTGTAGTCAATTCTTCCTCTAGCACCAGCTCCTGATAACCACTTTTTTCTATCACTATAGTTTTACTTTTTCTAAAATGTCAGGTAATTGGAATCCTATAATACATAGCCCTTTGAGTCTGTCTCCTTACACTTAACATCCATATTTGAGTCTCATCCATGCTGTTGTGCCTATCAGTAGTTCGCTCCTTTTTTGTTTCTGAGTAGGATTCCCCTGTATGGGTGGATTTATCCACTGTCTACCCTGTCACCAGATGAAGGACATTTAAGTTGTTTCCAGTTTTTGCTGATAATGAATAAAGTCTCTGTAGACATTCATAAATAGGTATTTGAGTAAATAGCTAGGAGTGCCATTGCTGGGTCATATCATAGGTATATGTTTAACTTTATAAAAAATGGCCAGTTTTCCAAAGTGGCTGTACCATTTTATGCTCCCGCCAGCCATGTTTGATTTTGAACAATTCTCATAGAATGCCATCCAAAGGATGGCTCCCCATTTTCCATGGAGTAAAATACCCCAAACACTCCACTTGTCATTCCATGTCTTCCTTTTGGCCACGGAAGAAACTGTCTTCTTCCCAGTCAAATGTCACTGCTTTTCCACATGTACTCCTGGGTACAGTCAGACTCAGACCCCTGACCCCTGACCATGCTTGGTGCTTCCCCACATGCATGTTTTTGTCTCTGTCGTTTGCCACCTGGGATGTTCAACTGAAATATTACTGAAATCTTACATAAAGCCCACTATGGCCATCTTTGCATTCTTCAAGATTCCCTTCTGCTCTCCAAAAAAAGACAATTCAATGAAAGGTGTTGACAGAGGAAGCCAATAAAACAGGCAAGCACCAGCCCTTGCTCTCTGTGACATCCTACCCAGATTCCCAGGTGCCACGTGGCAGGAGAAATCTAAGGAGGAGTCCAGAGCAAGCAAAAGCTCTTCAAGAGCAGGTCTCTTTTTCCTTATTTTTTAAAAAGGTGAATGCTCCTCAAATAACTAGGACTGGATGGGGTAAAGTGAATCCTCATTATTTCGGGTTGTCTGGGAGACAAAAGCTCTTCCAGGTATGTACCACTCGGCTGGTTTTTGGTGCTATTCAAGACTTCTCTCTGCCTTCAAGTTTTTTTTACATCTGGATATGTACACACGCACATAGGACTTTTGCAAAGAAGAGGAATCGAAAAGCAAATTCCTTCACAGCCCAGGAAGCATGAACTTCCTATAAAGGAGATAATGGTACATGAGATGAATTGTTTTTTCTTCCCTAAACAGCTTTGAGTCGGCCTGGATGCAGGGAGGCATCTCTCCCGGGACCATATGCAACGTGTCTGCTCTCTTTCCATTTCTGGAGGAGCTGACGCAATTCCAAGGCGCGGGGTTGGGCCACCGCTCGGTTCTTGCGCTACAGTTTAATAATGTTTCAGCGTGGTTGCTTCTGCAGCGCCTGGTAATCCCAGCAATCTTGCCGCCTGCAGCTCAGGAAAAATGAGCTTGCCGTCACCAGCTCCGAGGGCCATTCTCTGAATGGGCCCTGAATGCCAGTCAGGAGCGCTCACATCTCAGGCCTGCCCAGGAGGAACCAGCTGACTGAATACTACTCTCCTCCAGAAAGGGTCTCGGTCCTGTACTGCGGCTCCATCTCCTGACCAGGGATCTCATGATCGAAATGAAAAAAGGAAAGGAAGCTGACTCTGTCCCCCCTGCCATGCGACTCTTCCCACCCTGTCAGTCCCAGCCAGACCGTAGATGTTCAAAAGCGGCATCCTCAGCCCCTTCCCTGGACAAGACAATGGCTCGCCTGACAAGCCTTACCCAAGACCCTCTCCGGATCCCTCACTGCAGTCTCCCCGTTTTAAAAACGCTGTCTTGGCTTTTAGCCAAGTCTAAACACTGTGTCCACCCCCAGCCCCGCCGACCGGCCCTCCCGCCCCAGGGTCTGGAAAACAGTCCCGGGTGAGAGCCAGGACGCTCGCCCGAGCCAGACTCACCGGGCCGGTGGAGAAGCGCCGGAGCGCCTGGCTGCCCCTCCACAGCATGCTGGAAGGAAGCGCTCGGGCGGGGTGCGCGACAGCGGGGGCTCAGCCTGGACGCGGCCTGCAGCCTGCGAGCGCCGGGCGGCAGAAATCGCGGCTAGCTGGGTCCGCCCGTCCCGGGACTCGCCCACGGCCCGCCCCTTCGCCGGGCACGGCCCCGCCTCCTCAGCCGGCGGGGCTCGGGTGGCCAATCCCCTGCGACTGGGCGGGGCCCCAGTTGGGTGCCACGCTAGTACCTAGCGGGAGGGGCGGCCTCCAGTCTTGGCGCCGGTACTTCCCAGCTGGGGGATCTTCTACCAGTTACTCAAGCCCTGTGAGGTAGACAGGGATTTGCCTTATTAATGGTCAATCTGTCATCCCAAGTCATGGCCATAACAGCTCTCTGAGGAGGCAAAGATACGAAAGATAAGGGGTGGAGACACATGGCTATATGGTATCCTGTTACCTATCTTGTAAGCTGATAAAAGGATTTAAAGAAAGACTGTGTATAAAGCACTTGGCAAAGGGTCTGGCACACAGCTGGTCCCCAATAGATGATAGACAGATAGATACCCACCCTTTCCCCTTATCTCTCTAGAAGGAATGCTCAGACATGCTTTAGCTAAGCACTTGTCGCAAACAGAATTCCTTAGCCTGGCACTGAAGGCCGTCTGCAATTTGGCATTTTCTCTCATTTTCTTGCTGCTCCTTTGCACATGTAATTTAGCCTAACCCTCTAGTACGTGCTGATTCTTTCCTGGACAATGATTCCCAGAAAAGCTTATCACCTGTCACTTGTCACCATCTCAGCAAGACCAAATTCCTTCTTTAAAGGTACAGCTCAAATGCTGCCTCCTGAAGACATTTTTCCTGATTCTCTCCTCCCTTAACCCCCTTATTTCCCCAAAGTCATCTTTAATTTCTCTGAATTGGGAAAGATTTTTGTCTATGCGTCTCTTCTGATATCTCATTCTGTTATTGGTGTTTGTGTACCTGTCATCTTCTCTACTGGAAGCTCCTTGCAGGCTGAGTCCATGTCTAATTTATCAAAATTTACAATATCTAGCACTTAGCAGAGCTCAAAAAGTACTTGTTGAAAGAGAGAATGAATGATGAATGAATGTGTTTAAGAAGGAGAGAGGGGGGTGCCTGGGTGGCTCAGTCGTTAAGCGTCTGCCTTCGGCTCAGGTCATGATCCCAGGGTCCTGGGATCGAGCCCCGCATCGGGCTTCCCGCTCAGCGGGAGGCCTGCTTCTCCCTCTCCCACTCCCCCTGCTTGTGTTCCCTCTCTCGCTGTCTCTCTCTCTGTCAAATAAATAAATAAAATCTTTAAAAAAAAAAAAAAAAAGAAGGAGAGAGGAAAATAAATCCTTAAAGCTTGGAGAATGGCAGCAAACATCGAGTTTTGCTCTGAGAATTGCCCTTTGCCAATTCAACCCATTTCCCTGACAGCATTTTGTGACTTCTGGCTTCTTTTAAACTTCCAAATACTGATAATCACTTTATTTGTTGTGATCTGTGTTTACTGGGAGAGGTGGGCAAGGAGTGTGGTTTTTTCTGGGTAGGGGCTCCATAGTTATTTTCTCCAACTCCCAACTTTAGGAAATGTAGACTTTATTGTCTACCCACATATAATGAAATATTAATGATGTCTAAGATTTTCTTATGTAAGAATTAAAGATACTGTTCTCTTGATAACTAGTGGTTAGACCAGAGGCAATTAGAGTTTGACAAACAGAAAAGCCCTGCCAACCTAGACTTCTAGACAGAGCAAAAATGAAGATGAAATAAAGTCATTTTTATGTCTCTCAAACAAGAACTTCAGAGAATCTGAGGTAGGAAAATGTTCAAATTCATGCTATGAGCCCAGCATTACCTTGATACCAAAACCAGACCAAGACATGACAAGAAAAGAAAATTACAGGCCAATATCTCTGATGAACATAGATGCAAAATCCTCAACAAAATATTAGCAAGCCAAATTCAACAATATGTTAAAAAAATCATTCACCATTGTTAAGTTGGATTTATTCAAGGGATGCAAGGGTGGTTCAATATTTGCAAATCAATGTGATATATTACATTAACAAGAGGAAGGATAAAAACCATATGATCATCTCAATAGATGCACAAAAAGCATCCACTCATGATAAAAACTTTCAACAAAGTGGGTTTAGAGGAAATATACCTCAATACAATAAAGGCCATATATGAAAGAACCCACAGTTAACATTATACTCAATGGTAGAAAACTCTAAGCTTTTCCTCTAAGATAAGGAATAAGACAAAGATATTCACTCCCCCCACTTTCATTCAACATACTACTGGAAGTCCAAGGTGCAGTAATCAGACAAGAAGAAGAAATAAAAGGCATCCAAATTGGTAAGGAAGAAGTAAAACTGTCACTATTTGCAGATGACATGAGACTATATACAGAAAACTTTAATGACTGTATATAAAGACAATATGTAACTGCCGAGTTAACAGAGTGTAAAATTATCAAGGTAATACATAGAATGATTTTTAAAAATCAATTGAAAAGAAGGCAAGAAAGGAGAGAGAAAGAAAATATAGGGAATAAAATATAACATAATATAGTATTATATAACAAAATAAAATATATAAAATAAATAAAATATAGGAAAAACATAAAAGGAAATTAGTAAAATGTTAGATTTAAGTCTAAATATACCAGTAATTGCAGTAAATGAAAATAGACTAAACACTTTAATTAAAAGACAAAGATTGTCAGATTGCTTAAAAAACAAAATTCTTACAAGAGAGAACCATAAAATATAAAGATTCAGAAAGGATGATTTTTTTAAAACCCATCCAAACAGTAACCCCCAAAATCATACTATCGTAATAATTAAATAATTATTTGCTCTAGTCCTGGCAAATAGCAACAGTGTGATCTGCTTGACTGCAAATGACCAAATGACTGGTTAGTGTACCAACTAGGTATTGGTTTTGTGACCTACCATCTAAAATCCACTTCTTAGGATAACAGTATTCCCTTTTCCATGTGAGGATTTGCTTCTCCTCCTGTCTTAGGCCTTGTGGTTCCTATAAAGTTTTCTTTCCCCCTTACCCCACTAGGATCCAGGCATGGAGCATATGACCTACACTAAGCCAATCAGTACATCTCTCCCATCCCCTTAATTACAATGACTAGTTCAAATTGTGCACAAGATCCTAGTAAAGCTAATGAAGGCCAACAAGACCTAATTCTAGGACTTCTGTTTAAGCTATCAGTTAAGTGTACCCTTTATATCACTTTTGGTGTTGTGATAATGTGAACCTGAAGCTACCAAGGGCTACCCTATTGAACCTAAAGAATGTAGCAAAAATTGTGGAAGAGATAGAAAAGAAATAGTGAGAATCCAAGACCTGACATCATTTGAATACTGAAGCCAAATGCATGTGAAGGCCAATCCCACCACTACATGTTTTAAAAATAACATGCAGTAAAATTGATTTCATTTTTGCTGTACGGTTCTATGAGTTTTAACGTATGTAAAGATTCACGTAAGTAATACTGCAGTCAGGATACAGAACCGTTCCATTCCCCACCCCAACACTGCCCTGTCCCTTTGCAGTCATGGCTAACCAACCACCCCTTCTCACCCTGAGAATCTCTGCTCTGTTCTTTGTCACTGTGGTTTTGTCTTTTCAAGACTATCAAACAAATGGAATCGCATAGTATATAACTCTGTAGATTTTCTTCATTCCTCACAGTGCCCTAGAGATTTGTGCTCAAGTTTAGGGATTTTCCAGGGATTTTGAGATTCTTCTGCTATTGATTTCTGTATGATTCCATTGCAGTCAGAGAATATAGCCAAATTTCAGTCCATTAAAATGCATTGAGTTTTGTTTTATGGCCTAGCATATGGCCTGCCTTGCTGAGTATTCCTTGTATACTTGAAAAAACGTCTATTTTGGTGTTGTTGTATAGAATGTTTTATAAATATCACCTAAGACAAGCTGGTTGAGAGTATTGTTCAATTCTTTATTCTCATATTCTATTTGTCATATCAAATACTAAGAGAAGTATTAAAATTTCTAACTATAACTGTAATTACATCTATTGTTTCTATTCTGTCAGACTTGGGTTAATTAAATTTTATTGTTCACCAAAAAAAAAAAAAAAAGGAAAACAGTTAATTCACAGACATTCTGGATTCTGTTACATTCTTAAGAAAACTACTGGGGTTTTGATTGATTGATTTATTATTTTTTTTTAAAGATTTACTTATTTATTTGAGAGGGAGGGAGAGAGAACGAGCGGGAGGGGCAGAGGGAGAGGGAGAGAGAATCTCCAACAGACTCCACGCTGAGCACAGAGTCCAACTCAGGGCTCCTTCTCATGACCCTGAGATCAGGACCTGAGCTGAAACCAAGAGTCAGACACCTCACCAACTGTGCCACCCAGGCGCCCAGGGCCTTTTATTTAGAAAGGAGAGAATTTGCTTGGACTCAAACCCTGCAGAGGACAGCAGCTTACATTTCTGTTCAATTCATTTAGACAATGGTTTGGCCAGCATTTTTGCTCAGATTTGGGGGTTCACCTCCTTAGCAATTCCCTTGATTATCAGTTTTCTCTTCTAAATTTTCAAGCTGCTCTGCCAGCCCGATCTCCATTCTCTGCCGTCTTGAACCCACAGGACTTCAGCTTTCCTACCCCAGGTGCACATCTGGTGGAGAATATATGCATCAAAGGGCAGCAAGCACACCTCTCACCCAGTGTGGGTGTTTTTAAGCACTCTTGATTATGATTTCAGCAGGCTCTCTGCACGTAGTTTGGTGGTTAACCAGGGATCTGGGCAATGTTTACACATAGGTTTTGGATCTCATCCCCTCTGTGAGTCCCTTTTTTCAGGATGTTCCTCCAAATTTCCAGTTTCTCTTCCAACAATCCTGAACTTGGTTTGCTGCCACCTTGAGCCAGTATGACAGTATTTCATTTCTTGACTTGAAGGGGTGAGGGACACTGTCAGGCAGAAAGCCACAAACTCATAATTCTTACCAGTAAATTCTGAGTACATCCAGAACTCTGAGTCATTTTCCTGTGCTTTTCTGTCTGGTTTTATTATTTTTCAAATCTTTTAAAGTTATTACTATACTTTATCTACTTTTCTTAGTTTTTAACTGCAAGTAGGTTTACTTGACTACTTTATGCTTGTCCATTTCTAGATATGTTCTTGTCAATTACTTTAACATGCTAAATATAAGATTTTTCCAAGGTATGCTTTTTAAAAAATATTTTATTTATTTATTTGTCAGAGAGAGAGAGAATGAGAGCACAAGCAGGGCGAGCAGCAGGCAGAGGGAGAAGCAGGCTCCCTGCTGAGCAGGGAGCCCGATGCGGGGCTCGATCCCAGGACCCTGGGATCATGACCTGAGCTGAAGGCAGATGCTTAACTGACTGAGCCACCCAGGCGTCCACTAAGGTATGCTTTTTAAATTATGGTCTACTTTGTAGATCATCACTTACATAGAAATATATATATAATATTTTATTAAATTATTTTTTTACTCTTATAGATTCTTTAACAAGCAATGCCACCCACTGAAGAACTAAGAGGAAATAATTGTCCTGCAGAATGAATATTTATTACAGAGCAATGGAAAAAATGAGAATTATTAGTTTATTCTTTTAACAAATACCCCCATTGGGTATCTACCACTTATCTTTCATATCTCAGATTAAATGTCACTTCCTTAGTGAGGACATTCCTGACTACACAATCCCAAGTAGGTACCTTTTGTATTCAGTATATATACCTTTCCTTTGTAACTCTTATCAAAATTTTTTATCATTTAGGGGCGCCTGGGTGGCTCGGTCGGTTAAGCGGCTGCCTTCAGCTCAGGTCATGATACCAGGGTCCTGGGATCGAGCCCCACATCGGGCTCCCTGCTTGGCGGGGAGCCTGCTTCTCCCTCTCGCTCTGTCTGCCACTCTGCCTACTTACGCTCTCTATCTCTGTTAAATAAATAAATAAATAAATCTTTAAAAAAAAATTTTTTTTATCATTTAATTATTAGAAGTTTACTTGTTTAAAGCCTATTTCTCCCACTAGACTGTAAGCTCTATGAACATCCAAATCGTGTCTCTTTGATACAGTTCAATGCTAAGTACAGTGATCGGTACATAGATGATAAATATATATTTATAAAAGAATAAACTAATAATTCTCATGTCATGGGAAGGACTTCATGTGGAAAAGAGCTTGGTTTTTTGGAAGAATTAAAAGACCAATATGGTTGGATCATCATAAGCAAAAAGGAAAGAGGCTGAAGATGATGTAGGCTTTTTCCATAGATGCTATTTTTATTGCAAGCACAGTTTTTAGCCACTGACAGTATTTTAAAAAAGGGAGTGGCAATATTGTCAAAATTCAGTTCAGACGTTAACTTTTACATCAGAAACTAATGGCTTCCCATGACACATTATTCCTTTCTCCATCTAATAAAAACCTTTTTTTTTTTTTTTGAGAGAGAGAGGGGCAGAGGGAGAGGGAGAGAGAGCATTCCAAGCAAATTCCATTCCCAGCATAGAGTCCGTTGCGGGGCTCCATCTCACTACCCTCTAAGATCATGACCCAAGCTGAAACCAAAAGTCAGACACTCAACCAACTGAGCCACCCAGGCACTCCTAAAACCAATTTTTAACTGGATGTATGGCCACCCAACTCAAAGATTGCCTTTCCCAGACCTATCTGTAGGTCAGGGGTGGTCATCTCATTAAGTTCTGGCCAATGAGATGGAGTAGAAGTTTGGAACAACTGGTGGGGGGGGGGGGGCGGAGAGTGAAGCAGGGATCAGGAGTGATAGTCAAGGTAACAGCAGCACTTATTTTGCATTTACAACATGCCAGGAAGCATTTTAAGTCCTTTACATATGCTGGAAGCAGCAGGACCTGTTTGAGAAACTGCAAATGGTTTGGCATCCCAATAGAACAAAGTAGGTGTAGATTAGGGCATAGAAGAGGCAGAATATTTAGAGAATAATCAAAGGGCAGATTGAAATAAGCCTTGTGTTCCATTTTATGAAGTGAAAACTTCAAACCAAGGGCAATGGATTTAAAGTGGGGCATAACCTGATCAGATAGGTTTTGAGAACTGCACTTGGAGAACAGTGTGGACAATGGAAAGAGAAGATCTGTCACGGGTTTACAGTAATTGTCCAGGTGAGGGATTCTTTTGTAAAGAAATATATGAATTGGGGCACCTGGGTGGCTCAGTCGGTTAGGCGTCTGCCTTTGGCTCGGGTTGTGATCCCCATGTCCTGGGATCGAGCCCCATGCTCTCAGGCTCTCTGCTCCGTGGGGAATCTGCTTCTCCCTCTCCTTCTGCTTGCTGCTCCCCCTCTTGTGTGTGCTCTGGCCCCCTCTCTGTCAAACAAACAAATAAATAAATAAATAAAAATAAATATATGAATTAACACATTTGGAATCTTTTTGACAGATCACATAGGACTTTGTGATGACTTATTAAGTGAAGTGTCTTTAGGGAGTTATTACCATAGAATTTCTATTGTTGGAAACATACTTTAAATGTATATTAAGAAACAAGTTCACCAAGACCTTAGCTCTATAATATAGAACACGTGTTTTGGTATGGAATAAACTGGTACTTGAGTTGCGAGTTTAAGTGTTAAAGGCAAGGACCCTGCAAGAAACTTCTATGGGCAGCTGTTCTAAAATTCTTTGAAGTTCTCAAAATAGTTCAATGCTGTCTATATAAAAATTTTCCCCTTCTATTTCCAAGCTCTCTTCTCAGATAGTCCTGATAGGAATGAGGAAAAGTAGAAAGAAGTAGAAAGAAGGATATTCCTCAAAATGATTACTTGCCTTCTGTAGACTAAGCCTAGAAATATAGGACATCTGCTGTAATAAATAACTTTGAGAGAGCACATTTCAGTTTATAGTGAATGTGCTTTATATTTCACATCTAGCTTGTAATTCTCTAATAAAATTTGAAATTCTAGGCCCTGGAATTTGATTTAAAGGTATGTAAGATAAAGACAGGGAATCCCTAAGATTTCTTTAAAAAATAAAGTTACAATGATTCAAAATAGCAAACACTTCTATTGTATGCGATTGGCATTGTTCTATGCCTCTTACATGTATAAACTAAACTAGTCCTCATAACAATACCATGATGTGTTTACTATTATCACTCCCATTTTAAAACTGAGGAAATCAAGGCAGAGGTTAAATTACTTGGCCCCAAATCACATGGCTAGTAAGTGACAGAGCTATGATTTGGACCTACACAATTTGGCTGTAGAAACTGTGATTATAGAATGACGCTTGCCACTGATTTATTAACCTTAATAGATTAATGCACTTGCATATTCAAATTGCTCTGACCTGTAATTTCAGTGTATTACAATGCGCTATTAGATTAATAACTGATGAATACAAATGTGAAGAGTACAGCAAGTTGTACTCAAAATCATATAGAAAGTAAAGGGAAAAAAGTTTGTCAGCCAGTAGGCACTGATGTTACTGTTATTTTCTTTTCTTTTCTTTTTTTTTTTAAAGATTTTATTTATTTGACAGAGAGAGACACAGCGAGAGAGGGAACACAAGCAGGGGGAGTGGGAGAGGGAGAAGCAGGCTTCCCGCCAAGCAGGGAGCCCGATGCGGGGCTCGATCCCAGGACCCTGGGATTATGACCTGAGCCGAAGGCAGACGCTTAACGACTGAGCCACCCAGGCGCCCCTGATGTTACTGTTATTTTCAAGTTTGTTTTTTTCCTTTCTAAAATGTCCAGGGAGACTGCAAGCATCACTTGGGTTGGGTCCACCTTTCTTGCCTGTTTTTTTTTTTTCCCCATAATTATATCTAGCATGGTGCCTGGTATCTAGTGGGCACTCAAATATTTGACCTACTGCAGATCCACAGGTCTCAGGGAACGTTCTTCTAGAAACTTTTTACCTTTCATTTAGTTATTTTTGGTCCTTTTTAAGATTACAGAAATAAGACTTCAATAAGACCTCATTGTTAAAGATTAAAAAATACATAAGGGGACATAAAAAAACTTGAAAATCCGCTTTTTAATTTCCAACACACTCTTTCCCAGTTGGCTTCTATCCTGTTTAGTGCGATTTGAGTTCTCTTTCTATGCATTTACACGCCCATATGCACAAACAGGTTTACATGAGTATAAATGTAAGCACAAATACACATTATTCTGCAACTACCCTCTGTCAGTTTCCCATGTCTCTACAAACGTATTTCATTTTAAAAAACATCTATCTCGTATTTCATAATATGGATGTATTAAACTTTATGTAATTATTCCCTATTGATGGACATTAAGATTATTTCGTGTTAAAAACCATGCAGCAATGAACGTTACTGGGTAACACATCCCCATTCGCGGAAAAGCCAGTTAGCAGGTAGGAGCATTTTAGAACACACTCGAATAGCGCTGCTTCTTCCCTCCCTTCCTTTTTAAGAGGAGGTGGCGGAGGACCGCTGAGCACAAGGTAAGCAAAGTAGGAAGATTCCTCGCTGGCGCGTTCGTAAAGTAACTCCACCTCTCACACACCGTTTTGTTCTCAGGAACGGATTGCCCAGGACTTGTAAGAGGAGAGAAGCAGGAACTCCGATGACAGTGACAGAGAGGGCGTTGGCAATTCCTGCTTCTAAGAAGCGCCTGGACAGCGACGTACTCGAGGACCACGCCCTCCTGTTAAGCCACTACCCCATCAATTTTACCCTTGTTAGGCTAGACTGTTGGAACAACTCCCCAGGTATCAAATGACCTGGAGACAGCAGGGCGAAGTCAAAGGCACCGATGTGGCCTGAGATGTGAAGTGAGCGGTGGCGAGGCCCAAGTCGCCGCGGGAGGATGCAGCTAGCGCGGCCGCGGCCGACTCGCTTTCCCAGCAGCCCCCGCGCCCCGCTGGGGCCTTGAGCCCGGCCTGCCCTCGCGGGCGGGGGCGGGGCCGGGGCCGGAAGTCACGTGCCGTAACCGCGGCCGGGGTGAGGCCGCCGTGGGCGCCCAGGCTGGTTGGTTCTGTGACTAGGGGAGGCGCCGGGGTGATGGCGGTGGAGACTCTGTCGCCGGACTGGGAGTTCGACCGCGTTGACGACGGCTCACAGAGTAAGGGAGCTACAGAGCAAGGGCTGCGGGTGGATGCTCCCCGGCCCGCCTCAGCTCCGGCAGCGCTCCTGCGGGAGGGCTCTGCGTCGCGGTCGCTGCGCAGCCGTCCTGTTCGGGACACTTGCTGCCCCTTGGGGTGCGCGAGGGACGCGCTTTCGAACGTTACTTTCGGGGTTAGGGTCCCGGTGGCGGTGGGTCATGCCGGCCGAGGCAGGGCTCGGCGTCCGGGGCGGCGGCTCTCCGTTGGAGCCCGTGGTGCCGGGAGCCGCGGCGTCCGCTGTCCGCAGCCGGGGGCCGGGCGGGGCGCCCCCGGGGAGGCCCAGCAGCCCGGGCAGCCGAGGCCGGCCTTGCCTCTGGCCTCTCGGGGCTTTGCCACCTGTGCGGAGCGTTCAGTTCTAGAACCGGCGGAGGTCCGGGTTCCTGTTTTCGCTTTCCTGTTTTTCTACTTTTCCTCCAATCAACTTTTGGAAGTTTGAGTATTTTTTCTGCATATTCATACAACGGACGAGACAGGGAAAAAGCGCTCTTCACACGGTAAAAATAAACAAGCGAATGTCAGCTTATCTCCTTCCATGCCTTTTATTTAGGATAAGTGGTGTTTTTCAGGGGTGTCGGAGAGCTTCCATTGCGCCTAGAAAGGTTTCAAAAATTAAGCACCTTTTACCCCATAAAATCGAATTGTTTCATTTTGGACTTAGAAGTCAAAAAACCGTACCAGATTAAGTTCCATGCAGCAAAAGTTAGAGGCCAAATAATTATTTTAGTGAAACTCTACTTAAGATTAATACGAGTCGGGGCGCCTGGGGGCTCAGATGGTTAAGCGTCTGCCTTCGGCTCAGGTCATGATCCCAGGGTCCTGGGATCGAGTCCCACATCGGGCTCCCTGCTCCTTGGGAGCCTGCTTCTCCCTCTGCCTCTCTCTCTCTCTGTCTGTCTCTCATGAATAAATAAATAAAATCTTAAAAAAAAAAAAGATTAATACGAGTCGATAATCTGTTTCTTATCTCTAGTGATATTAATCTGTTTAAGTGATATGAGAGAGATTGGGACCTACTGCTTGTGAATTTGTTTTTTTACACCATTTTCCCAAAAGGTGAATGCAGTTTTTAAAAATTACACGTGAATTTTGCTTAACTTTACAAAGAATCATGTGTAGAAACTTACATGTAATTAGGTTTTAGTAGCCTCTTAGAGAAGCGTGAGCTTAATTCATGATTTGCAGTTTTTCATAAAACATTCCTAAAGTTATTAGCTCTTATGCAGCATTAAAAAAAATCTTGGTGGTAATGACAAAGTCCTTTAACTTTTTTGTGGAGAGGATTCTGTATTTATTGTTATAAAGTGAATGGCAGCTAGCGCGTTCGTAAAAGCGCGTTGTCATGTATAGAATTTTATGGACAGAGGTCCCCTACTCTAGTATCTTCAAAAAATTGTAATGAAAATATTTGCTAGGTTTGAAAATGGTTCAGCTGAGAGTAGAATGATCTGTTTCAGTCAACAGACTGAATACCAGGAACTGTACTAGGTATTAGGGATACAAAGATAACAAAGAATGTAGAGATGAGCCTGTGAATAGGTTTTTGGAATTTTACTCTTGAGGAATCACCATGGATTCCTTATTTTCAAATCTTTTTATTGTAACTTTTACTAATTTTACAACTATTCATTATTTTATCAGCAAGGACCTTTAATGGTACTGCAGGTTTTCTCTTGCCTACTACTTTGTGATTTCCCAAACAGACAAATGCCAGCATGCTTTTCTGGCATTGTCATTAAGAACTTATTTGCTGGTAAAATGCAGCTTTGGTTATTTCCCATGTAATTGAGAATTAGGCATGTGCTTGGGAGTTCAAGAATCTTTCTCAGTTTTTTAATTTAAGCTCTAGGGAAGAGAAGAATTCCCATCCGTTCTGTGTGCCTGGTTTTCGTTAATTTTTGTGCTATGAATCCTATCTTGACCATCTTCCAGAGTTGCTTAGGTTACTGCTATAATGAGATAGCAACCTTAATGAACTGAATTGATCCACCTGATTCAGAGCATTAGTTGCAAAATAAGGGAGAGTGGAGAGCTAGGTCTTCATCCTTAGAACATATTTTATCTTAGAATTGCTTTGCACTGCTGATTTGAGGAGAGAAAAATTTTAGTTTTTTTAGACAACAATGATTGAATAGTTATTCACATCAATAAAAGAAACTGGATTTGCTGCCTTTGGAATAGTGAATTCTTATGTGTATGGTAGAATATTTCCTTTAATTATTAACTTTGATGACTAGACATACTTTTTTTTTTTTTTTAAAGATTTTATTTATTTGACAGAGAGAGACACAGCGAGAGAGGGAACACAAGCAGGGGGAGTGGGAGAGGGAGAAGCAGGCTTCCCGCAGAGCAGGGAGCCCGATGCGGGGCTCGATCCCAGGACCCTGGGATCATGACCTGAGCCGAAGGCAGACGCTTAACGACTGAGCCACCCAGGCGCCCCGACTAGACATACTTTTATTGTCCAGTTTCTTCCAATGACTCCTTAGAATCATCTATTTAATGTGTAAATTTGTAAATATTAGCACAGTGTTCTTTTTTTAATTCTTTTTTAAAATTTAAATTGAATTAACATATAATGTATTATTTGTTTCAGGGGTACAGATCTGTGATTCATCAGTCTTGTATAATACCCAGTGCTCATTACAACCATACCCTCCCCAATGTCCCTCACCCAGTTACCTCATCCCCCCCCCCCCCCCCCAGCAACCCTCAGTTTGTTTCCTATGATTAAGAGTCTCTTATGGTTTGTCTCCTTCTCTGGTTTCATCTTGTTTCATTTTTTCCTCTCTTCCCCCATGATCCTCAGCCTTGTTTCCTTTTTTTTTTTTTTAAAAGATTTTATTTATTAATTTGACAGAGAGAGAGAACAAGCAGGGGGAGCAGCAGAGGGAGAGGGAGAAGCAGGCTCCCTGCTGAGCCTGGAGCCTGATGCGGGACTCGATCCCAGAACCCTGGGATCATGACCTGAGCTGAAGGCAGACGCTTAACCGACTGAGCCACCCAGATGCCCCTCGGCCTTGTTTCTTAAATTCCACCTATCAGTGAGACCATATGATACTTGTCTTTCTCTGACTTATTTCGCTTAGCATAATACCCTCTAGTTCCATCCATGTCATTGCAAATGGCAAGATTTCATTTTTTGATGGCTGTGTAATATTCCATTGTGTGTGTGTGTGTGTGTGTGTGTGTATATGTATACACACACACCACATCTTCCTTATCCATTCATACCACATCTTCCTTATCCATTCGTCTGTCAATGGACATCTGGGCTTTTTCCATAAGCACAGTATTCTGTACTCAGTGTTCTTTACTGGCTTTTCCAACTCTATTATGATAGTTAAATAATTAAAATATCTTGGTAAATTTTGGGCATTACAGAAATAACATTCATTATGATAAAGCAGGGCTAAAACCGTTTTAAAAACAGTATTTAGATGGGGGTGCCTGGGTGGCTCAGTCGTTAAGCGTCTGCCTTCGGCTTAGGTCATGATTCTGGGGTCCTGGGATCAAGCCCCGCATTGGGCTCCCTGCTCAGCGGAAAGCCTACTTCTCCCTCTCCCACTCCCCCTGCTTGTGTTCCCTCTCTCGCTGTGTCTCTCTCTGTCAAATAAATAAATAAAATCTAAAAAAAAACAATATTTAGATGTATTTTTAGACAGTTTACACTACAGAGACTTAAGAATTATGTTTTTAAATTTTGCTTCTATGACAACACAGATTTTTGTACTTGATTCAGGTCTTTTTTTTTTTCCCCCAAAAGTTATTTATGACTAAAACAGAACCAAGATGTTGAGTTGTCTAAGGCATTATTCAGATTGTTTAAAAGCCCTAGCTTAGGGGGTAAATGGGACAGTAATTTTTTCATAGTACTTTAAAGTTATAGTTTAAATGTGGTATTGCTGTATATTGTTAACATCTCTAGCTTTTAAAATTATCTTATTATTTGGAAAAGATTAAAAGCTGAATTATTGTTTAACTTTGAAACTTTATTTTCAAGAAGTCCAGACATTCCAGAGTAATACATTTAAAAATGCTTAGTAACTACTTTGCTGTGACTTTTGAGATTTTTTGAAGTAAATGTCCTGTAATTTATTACTTGTACTTCTTACATACTGTTTTAAAATTTAAATTTAGAAATTCATGCTGAAGTCCAACTTAAGAATTACGGGAAATTTCTTGAGGAGTATACATCTCAATTGAGAAGAATTGAAGATGCACTGGATGATTCAATTGGTGATGTTTGGGATTTCAATCTTGATCCAATAGCATTAAAGGTTTGATTTTGTTTTATTTTTAATTTATGTATACATTTTCAGGACATACTGTATCTTGAAAACATAATTTTAAAAAATGGAATATACATTTGGCCCTTGAATAATGTGGGGGTTAGGAGTGCTGACTTCCCATGCAGTTGAAAATCTACATAGAACTTTAGACTCCCCAAACTTAACTAACAGCCTGCTGTTGACCAGAAGCCTTACCAATAACATAAACAGTCGATTAACACATATTTCGTATATGTATTATATACTTTATTCTTACGGTAAGCTAGACAAAAGAAAATGTTAAGAGAAAATCACAAAGAAAATACATTTATAGTGCTGTACTGTATTTATAAAAAGATAAACCTGCATGGAAGTGGACCCATGCCGTTCAAACCTGTGTTGTTCAAAGGTCAACTGTATATTTTTATTATCTGGCATCTAGAGAACCAGAAGAAACTTGGAGAAAAATTGTGAATTTCCTTATCTCGAAGCCAGGCAGATGTGTGTTTTTCGTTTTTTGTTTTAATGAATAACACAAACTTTTGAGGTAGCCTTTGTTTTTCATCAAGAAAATGAAAAGGGTTGGAATAGAATATGCAAACTTTATTTGTTCCTTATTGAGATTATCTTACATATGGTGAAATGCAGATATACAATATACTGTTCAGTGAATTTTTGTCAAACACATGTATCCATCTCACTCATAGTCTAATGAAGATATAGATTCCATCATTTTCCCTTATGCCATTTAGGGTATCTTAATGTGGGAGTAATTTTTTTCAGTTTTTATTTAAATTCCAGTTATTTAACATATAGTGTAATAATAGTAGTAGAATTTTATTTAGAGTAATTTTTTAATGTATGAAATAAGTCACTCCTGGGGAGCCTGGGTGGTTCAGTCAGTTAAGTGTCTGCCTTTGGCTCAGGTCCGTGGTCCCAGGGACCTGGGATTAAGCCCTGTGTTGGGCTTCCTGCTCACAGGGCGGGGGGGCCCTGCTTCTCCCTCTCCTCCCCTGCTCATGCTCACTCTTGCTATCTCTGTCTCAAATAAATGAACAAAATCTTTAATAAAATAAGTCACTCCTGCTCTGTTCCATTTCGAGATCATTCTATCTTGTTTTATCTTTGAAACTAGCCTGTTACCACTTAAATAATAATTAACATTTACTGAACATTTATTATGTATTAGACACTGTCCTGAGTTACCTATTGACTTATTTAGTAACAGTTTTCTTGAAATTCACATATCATATAATTCTTTGGCTTTTAGTGTATTCACAGAATTGTGCAGCCATCACCAGACTCAATTTAAGAGCACTTTCACCACCCCCAAAAGAAATCCTATACCAATTAGCAGTCAATCCCCATCTGGTGTGTGTTAGTGCTAAGTACAGGGTCCAAGACAAGTTTAAATAGAATAGGGCTAGACTCAATTTGAATATTTAAAATTTCAATGATTTTTTTCAAATTAAAAAGAAATCTTCTTTCCCTTTGTTTCTATAGCTTTTGCCTTATGAGCAGTCTTCCCTTTTGGAACTCATAAAGACTGAAAACAAGGTACAGATTTCTAAACCTAAAAATCTATTTTTTAAATGCTTTAGTTATCTGCTATAACTTATCTTTTTATTTATGTTTTTCCTCATGAAACTAGGTCTTGAACAAAGTCATCACTGTTTATGCTGCACTTTGTTGTGAAATCAAGAAATTAAAGTATGAGGTAATTATTTGTACTCTTAAGTTAAAACATGATTTAAAAGCAAATATGTGCTTGTATGTATAGTGTACATAAAGATTTATTGCATGCTGGATGAATTGTTTAATACTAATAATAGTGATTACCATTCACTGAGTGTACTTACTGTGTGCCAGACACCATACTAACCCTGTTCATACTTAGAATGAGGCAGATAACGTGAGGAATAGATGAGGAAACAGGCTTGAAGAGTCACTTTCCTAACATTTTACTGGTAGTAACTATTCAAGTCTGGGTCTATTTACCTTCAAAGTCTGTGTTATTTGCCATATATATTGGCTTTCTAGATATAAGTGATTTTTTACTTTTTTTTTTTTTTTAAGTAGGCTCCACACCCAGCATGGGGCTTGAACTCACGATCAAGTCTCATGCTCTACTGACTGAGCCAGCCAGGTGCCCCTAGATACAATAAATATAACTGATTTTTTAAAAAACCTTTGAATTTTTAATATGTTTTGCATTTTCTTAGCCATGGGTCATTAAAACTCTGGTAGAAGTTGGTAAACTTCCTCTTTTTTTCTGTATCTTTTTGATACTATGTGGTTGCTTTCTATCTCCCATGAACTAGTGGGAGGATGTGGGACAATTAGAGTGGTCAGAAAAGACAAAGGCAGGGGTAAAGAAATTAAGAAATAACTTTGAGTATCAGTGATATCTTTGGCACTCTAAAGATTGAATTTACCTGTTTTGTAAGCAGTTTTTTAATTTAAATGGATTTGTATATGTGATCTAGTCCTCTGATTATTAAATATGGATAACTAAGAGAGCCTAGGAATTTAAAAACAAGGTAGCGACCTTTAAAATTATTTTAATTTTTTTTTTAAACAGGCTGAAACTAAATTTTATAATGGTCTCTTGTTTTATGGAGAAGGAGGTAAGTTTTAAAATTTTACATTGTAGTGTCATGATGCCTTTTTTGAGGTTGAGATTTTGAGATTGAAAACTTCATTCCAGGACTACCATGATTATGTAATGTATTGTGAGAAAATAAGCATTCAAATTTTTTGTTGGTTTACATGTTTGATAAGCAGGTAGAATAAGCCTGGGCGATGAAGCAGAAGCAAATTATCTAAAATTTATTTGTGGTATTTTTGTAAGTTACAAAGCACTATGGCTAGATAAGGATTTTCCTTGAATTCATTAAATAGTGAAACAGATGGTTACTTTTAATTGAATGATTAATGATTGTCTCATGTTTCTTTTCAGTATAAAAATTCTGTTTTCAATACTATGCAGATTAGAACATATACTAATGAATAAAAATTATTTTTCTTTTTGGGTCTTGACTAAGTTTAAATTAAAAAATTGAAATACGATTCTTCATGTTACCTTTTAAAGCTACAGATTCCAGCATGGTGGAAGGTGATTGCCAAATTCAAATGGGAAGATTTATTTCATTCTTACAGGTAACTGTTTTTTACTTATTATTTTTTTAAGTTTGGGTAAATTACACACAATTAAAAAAGATTTCTGACACCTTCAAATGCTAAGAATGTGTATTTTGAAGGGTAGGACACTTAGTTGGCATTGGATTATAGTTAAAGAGGTCTTAGTTCCTGAAAGGTTTTCATAGCATTTTACGGAAATAAGATCTCAAAGTAAGTTTGGTTCTTTTTTTTCTTTTCTTTTTTTAAAATAATTTCATTTGTGGACAATTTGTCACCATGCCTTTTAAAATAATTTAAGGGGCACCTGGGTGGCTCAGTTGGTTAAGCGACTGCCTTCAGCTCAGGTCATGATCCTGGAGTCCCGCGATCGAGTCCCGCATCGGGCTCCCTGCTCGGCAGGGAGTCTGCTTCTCCCTCTGACCCTCTTCCCTCTCGTGCTCTCTGTCTTTCATTCTCTCTCTCAAATAAATAAATAAAATCTTTAAAAAAATAATAATTTAAACTTCGTGTCAAGTAGGAAAAGATAATTTATGTCAGAAAAAGTTGTTAGTGGAGATGGTTACGCTAGTACATGAGCAGTGATAAGGTTTTTTAAAAGTAGCACTCAATGCTTCTAACCAGATGTTTCAATCAGATCAAATCAGATGTTTTCATCACTGCAGTTTTAGTTATTCTAGGTCTTTGGTTTAGTTTTGTCAAAAAAATGAAAGAACTTCCTATTTTTTCTTTCTCCATTATAAAAGCAATGCTAGTACCATATGACAAAAGCAAAAATTGGGAGATAAGGAAAAAAACACCCCTAATTCCACCTACCTCCTGATTGTTAGGTTCAAGATATGATGTATTTCATTTAATCAAACATACTAATATATTGTTCAGCTCATTTATATCTTTACTACCTTTTTTTGTCTCCTTGTTGTAATTGAGAGCATTTTGTTGAACTCGATCTCTGTTATGGTATGTGTCAGTCAGGGTCCAGTCCAGAAAACAAATCACAGTATTTCAGAAGAGGAGATTTGATACAGAGGATTGGTTATATAAGAGTTGGAGGGCTGAAAGAAAAGAGGATAGTGAGGTCATCCAGAGGAAGCAGATACCACCTCTACATCAAGAGGAAAAAAAGGGGGAAAGAGTTGGGGTTACCAGACTCTGGGAACTATGAGCAGGAGCCCCGTGTAGTTACTGCTCATACCTATGAAGGAGGCAGCGCCGCCTAGCAGGCTGGTACCAGTGAGAGGGCAATGCAAGGTTAGTTCTGGAGTGCTGAAAGAAGCTGGAGGTGGAGCAAACTGCCATTGCTGGGGTGAACTCTTATGCTGATGCAAACAGCAAGAAGTAGTAAGGATGTCCTTTTCCTGCCTTTAGTGTCCTTTTAGTGCCACCTGTTGGCAGAACCTAACAGGAAGCCTACTGGCAGGAGTCTAAGAAATGTAATTCACAGGTCCCAGTGAATGTGTCAGTTTCTTCCTCTAGTTTTATCAAATTTTGCATTTCTTATTTTCAGGATATTCTGTTTGGTGCGTGCAAGTTTAGAATTGTTAATCATTCTTTATAAATTGAATCTTTTATTATTATGTGGTGACCCTGTTAAACTATAATTATGTATATAATGTGCAGTTATGTAAATGTGTATCATATATAATAGCTGTGATAATGCTAACTATTTTGTCTGATATTCTCACTGCCCCAGCTCTGCTTTAGTTTACATTTTTTTTTAATTTATCTTTTTATATTCTCTCAACCTTTCAGTATCATTATGTTTTAGTTGTATTTTTTTAAAACCATGTGTCTGGATTTTCCTTTATTCAGTCTGAAAGCCTGAAAATCTCTTTTAATTGGTTAATTAATTCTATTTCTATCTTATGTAAATAGTCTTATACATTTGGACTTGTTTCTGCCTTTTTTGCTTTGTGCCTTCTTTCTGAATTTTCTGTTCTTTGCTTTTTATTGAACTTTTAGAAGTTTAATAAGAAAGGTAAAACTGGAGGTATTTAAGTAAAATTGAGACGCATTATTTTCATTTTCATACATTTTAAATAGCTTTTGGATCTCATCGACAGCTGCATAAAATTTCATTTTTAAACCTTCAACAAATGTTTTAGAAGCCTAGCGTATGTTAGGAACTGTTCTTGGTGCTAGGGATACAGCAGTGCACAAAACCAACGGAAATTCCTGTCCTCGTAGAACTTAAAATTTAGAATAGCCACAGCTTTAATCAGGTTTTGAATACTTTAGGATACAAACTGTTTTTTTAGGTTTAAGCATTGAGAGCTTCTGAAAAGAAATTTTCAGAAGGTGTGGGATATGGTAGATGCGAATTAATTATTTAATGACAAACATATTCCTGCAATAATTAATATTTCCCTTTCTGTGTGCCAGGCTTGTTTATAGATAAAGTTAAAGGTAATAAACATTTGAAGTTATTTCAGAGTGACTTCTGGAGAGCCTTTTTCCTCATTATCCTACTTTCTAAATTGGCAGCTTTTGAGCTTTTTCATTCAGATGTTCATTTATTTATTCATTTAATAGGACAGAAATTTATTGAGAAACAGTGGCTATTAAGGAATAAGATGGTCTCTGTCATTTAAGAATTACATGAGCAACTAAAATATAAGACTTAAAATAGAAGTATGAATGAAATGCTGTGGGGACAAAGCAGTAGAAATGACCTTGTGATGCAGGAGAGGAGTTAAGAATCAATTGCTTGAAGGATGCTTGAAGTTGTCTGGCTGCAGGTTAACTGGAAACTGTTTTGCTTTTGTTTAATATTGTTACCATAAAATTGAGAAATGGTGATATTTAAGAAGCAACTATGTAACATATACTCAACTTGTCATTTCAGGAACTGTCTTGTTTTGTTACGAGGTGCTATGAAGTGGTGATGAACATAGTCCATCAATTGGCTGCCCTCTATATCAGTAACAAGTAATGGATTTTATAAATATTCGTGCATTTATAATAGAGATGCAGGGAATGCTTTCTAAAACTAGCCAGTTACCTGAAATAGTTTTTTGTTTGTTCATTTGTTTACTCATTCTTACATTCATTTATTCACCATCATTTGAACACTCATGTTTCAAACACTACTTAATGTATAATACATAGGTTAATAAGACAGTTTCTGCCATGGTGAATGAGTTGTTATCTGTCTGAATAAGAATGTTGACAGAATATACTTAAATTTGATTTTATAGGAAAAGGCTAACATGGAATTAGAACATGTACCAAATTCTCTCTCCTTATTTCTCCTTTATAGTGACTGTTCCCTGGCTTATTATCTGGGGGAGTGGGACCAGGGAATCTACACTGAAAAAATTTTGGTTTTATTCAAATGATCTTCCAAGTTTGGGAACCACTGTTCTAAATCAGGAAAAATGATCAAATTTTCATAGCCATTACTGTTCTTAGGACCACAAAGTAACATCTCACATTTGATTAATACTTCATCCTTAAAATTTTCACCATTTACTATTTAATTATAATCTTACAGTAACGTTGTTTAGTTATATGACAAGGGGTTCTCAATTATGAGAAGAAGTGATTGAGACCCAGAGGAATTGTATAAGATTCCATAGCAATTTAGATGCTGTTCTTTGATCACCAGTCCATTCATTGTTGTTCTTACTATACCAGGCTGCATCTTAACTCTTTATGAACTGGAAGACTGTGTAACTGTTTCTCATTCTCATGTTTTTCTCCTCAGCCAGGTGTTTATTTTGTGTTCTGTTCTTTCACTGAAGCTGTTCTCATGGCAGGAGGGAATGAGAGCATAGCTCCCCTAACCCCTGCAGTACCTGATGTGTAATTCAAAGAGGACTCCCCACCACCACACCCTGCCCAAGAAAGATGAAGTTTATTTGTATTTTATATTTAATAAAATATTCTATCTTGTGGAATATCCACATGTGCTTTGATATACAAGTACTATTTTAAATAATTTACTGTTGAGTAGAAGATGTCTAGGAAATAAAATTGAATTATCTCGGGGTTTTTGACTTTAGTACAATGTTGGTTGTATGCATTGTTTTTCAGTAGGAATGAGAACTCAGAAATAAACCTGATTAGTTTCCAAGTGCCAGTTTGGGTAGGATAATAAAATGGTTGGAAACTGAGAAATTCTGTTTAGAAAAAAATGAGTATCAGTTTTGTTATTTTTCCACCTCCATCCCAAACTCAGTCCTTTAGGTTTAAATGACTAGGGTTATTCATGGGCCACATATTGTCATTTCCCTACCCATTGAGTTAGGTGTAGGCAAGGATAGCCCTGACTCTGTATATACAAGTTAGTTCTCTTCTTAGGAAAGTGGAGTAAGGTCTCAGAAATTCTAGTGATGACAGCCTAAATAAAGATACATAGGTGTTAAAAATCCCAAGACCTTCTGCTGCTATGTGTTTTCCTCAAAATAAAAGTGAACTGTGGTTAAAAAAAAAAAAAAAGTTTTTTTAATTGGATGTTCTTTTATTACAGGATTGCACCCAAAATTATAGAGACAACTGGAGTTCATTTTCAGGTAAAAGTAATTTAAGTTGATCTGTAAAACTATAATTTTTACTATATTTTGCTGTGGAGTTTATATGATTGGGGAGTACAACAATTATAGCAAAACTCTTAAAGGATTTTTTTTTTTTTTTGCCTTTGTTCTCTTTTATCTGTGAAGTTGATGAGGCATTACTGACCCACTATCAGTATAACTCTTAGGTTTTCCCAGTAGTGGCCCAGTGCAGGTTCTCTAAGTGGTCTCTTTGGAGCGTGAAACAATTCTGCAAAGTCACAATTAAGGATGATATAGTGGGCAAAGCATTTCTCTATTTAAAGCTTATTCCATCTGAGGATTAATAGTTTCATCTGTATGTTAATAAACTGATTTATCCACTGCTTTAATTCAGTAATAATTAGCCTAGTGTGTTTAACTTTAAAAATCCACAGGAAGCTTAACTTGTAACTAGTGATTAAATGATAACCATTAAAGGTTTTTTGACAGACTATGTATGAGCACTTGGGAGAGCTGCTAACAGTTTTGCTTACCCTGGATGAAATTATTGATAATCATGTCACATTGAAAGAGCACTGGACTATGTACAAAAGGTGAGCCAATTAAAATGTTTAAGATAGTCTCTTATTTTGTATAGTTAATGTACTAGTAAAAAAGGAAATAAATGTAAATAGTGCAGATCTTTTAAAAGACCTGGAAATCTGTATTTAGAAGGATCTCATATCAAATGTTCTTATGAATACGGTAACCATTTTTAAATTTCAGATGAGCTTGTTTGAGAGTATGGTATACCTGTATAAAGCCTCCTAATTCTTAAACTATGGTAGAATGTTAATTTGAGTACCTTAGAACTCAGATTAATTTTTCTATGGTTCTGTTCAAGTGACAGTTGTTTTTCCTGAACTTGGCTTTATTTCATTGTATATTCTTAGACTTTTTTAAGTCGAGGCATCTTAATGTTGTTCATCTGGAATCTAGAGAGTACCAGATATCTGAATTTAGGATGATATAAAAAGGTATGATTAGAAAATTAAATATATTAGCATTGTTTTTATTCAGATTTTCAAATGTGTAGAGCCAAACAAGAAATATAAATATAAAATTTTGATTTGGAAAATTTTCAATTGAAAAATTTATTAGGAAAATTGAAGGTCTTTCTCCTAATCTTCCATAAGGTTACTGAAATCTGTCCATCACAATCCTTCAAAATTTGGAATTCAGGAAGAAAAACTAAAGCCATTTGAAAAGTTCTTGCTGAAGCTAGAAGGGCAGTTACTTGATGGAATGATATTTCAGGTATGAGAGCTGTATCAGGCTATACTAAATGGGCTCCTTAGTTGATCCAGCTCAGAACTATAGTACGACGACGCTTTCATAGCATACTGTTGAAATATGTGTTCTTTAAAAGTGCTGGGGCTTAAAGGGCTTAAGACATTGTTAGTGTACTAAAATATAATTATTTTAGTACCTAGTAGCAAATAAAATTAATAGTACTAGTTGTATTTGGGGGTGAAGGTTTTTTTTTTTTTAATTACGTGAAAAGATAAAACTATTCAAGGATTAAGATCTAAGCAGTTGTATTAATGTTTGTTGTTAACCTCTAGATTTGGGTTTGTTATGCTACCTTTTAAAAGTCTTTAATTCTTCCTAGGCTCAGGGAATATAATTTGGGTTTGTGCAGGCCAGGTAGCTTCCTATCATTTAGTAGCTTTTTAAAGCTTAAATTAATTAAAATGAAAGAAAATTTCACTTTCCCCACCACTTTCAAGTGCTTACTAGCTGTATATAATCTAATTATTGCACCATACACCTCAAACTTATATATGTTAAATATCAGGGATATCTTAATAAAGCTGGGGGAAAAATAGCCACAGTTAGTTTGTGGCTAGCTATTGTATCAGGCAGCACAAATGTAGAACATTTCTGTGATCACAGAAAGTTCTGTTGGCTAGCACTGCTTTGGGTAGTATTCATCAGAAATTGCAGTATACTTAAAATCCATTTCAGGGTTATTTTTAACATTTTACATAATCACAGTTTTTTTTTTAATTGGTGTATAGTGGACACACAATGTTATGGTAACTTCAAGTGTACAACATACTAATTTGACAAGTCTATACATTATGTTATGCTCAGGATCACAATTTTTACAGATCGATCCCAACTCTTGTTTATATCAGTTTAATGGCTAGTATATTAGGTTCAGAAGGAAATTTTTTTGTCCTTGATTCTTTTTCCAGGAGACATTTTTTTTTTTAAGATCTTATTTATTTATTTGAGAGACTGAGAGCGCACGAGTTAGGGGAGGGGCAGAGGGAGAGGAACAGGCAGACTCCCCGCTGAGCGCACAGCCCGACATGGGCCTCTATCCCAGGACCCTGAAATCATGACCTGAGCCCAGGTCAGACACTTAGCTGACTGAGCCACCCAGGTGCCCCTCCAGGAGACATTTCTATACATGCTGTAATAAAGTGCTAGGAAAGTAATTGTAGTCAAAAAATTTGCTCTTAAAAGTGCACAATAAAATAATAAAGCATGTTTTCCAGTGCTTCATCAGATATGTCTTATATACATCATTGAATAACCCCATGTATATCTCTTCATGTAGAATTATGGATTTGTGGGGCGCCTGGGTGGCTCAGATGGTTAAGCCTCTTGCCTTCAGCTCAGGTCATAATCTATAAGGCCTGGGATGGAGCCCTGAGTCGGGCTCCCTGCTCAGTGGGGAGTCTGCTTCTCCCTCTCCCTCCACCCCGCCCTGCTCATGCTCTCTTTCTGTCTCTCAAATGAATAAATTCTTAAAAAAAAAATAAATGGATTTGTGGCTCAGTTTTATTGCACTAACTGGTACTCAAATATGTACGTACATACATATTTTCCATTCATAAGGATTTAGATATTAGATGACATTAAGGTAAAAACTTGAGCCTCATTGTTAGTAAAATTAAAATGATGAATGTAGAAGTTTATCACACATACTATATTTAAATCTGTTTCATAGTTTATTATTCAGGGTCTAAATTTCTCTTTAAATGTTTCCTCTTTAGGCCTGTATAGAACAGCAGTTTGATTCTCTCAATGGAGGAGTATCTGTGTCAAAAAATAGCACTTTTGCTGAAGAATTTGCGCATAGTATTCGCTCAATTTTTGCAAATGTAGAAGCCAAACTTGGTAATGTAAAATGCATTTTGAACTTTTTGTTGCTAAAGTTTGCATTTCCTTGAACATAGAACTTAAGTGTATTTGTTCCAATTTTCTCTCATGCTGTTGTTTTTAAGGAGAACCTTCTGAAATTGACCAGAGAGACAAGTATGTTGGAATTTGTGGACTTTTTGTACTGCATTTTCAAATTTTTCGAACTATTGATAAAAAGTTTTATAAGTCTTTGTTGGACATTTGTAAGAAGGTAAGAACTTGGAACTTTTATTTTTTTCAATTTGAATAGATGAAAAAGATTTTGGATTAAATTGGATATTCAAAAATGTATTTTATTCCTGCTTACAAAAGTACTAATTTTTGTAATACATTGTAATAATTATAAAAATAATATCGTAGTATTCATTTTTAAAAACCAAGCATTCCAGGAATAAGTAATACAGTAAATGGAAGTAGTGCATAATTCCACATCATATAAATATCTGTTCGTGGAGGTTTTTTCAGATTTTTTTCCTATAAATTACTTCCTATTATTGTTACTACTTTTTTCTCTTCTTTTTCTTCTGTTCTCCTCTTCTTGCCATTCCTTCTCATTATTGAAGTAGAAAAAAATTGAAATTGATTTTACATCTTTGCTATTTCCATGCTGTGACATCTGATTTAAAAACTGAAAATTTAGTTTGTGTGTAAAATCAAGTGATATGTGACCGTGAGTACCCAGCCATCTTGGGTCTTTTATTTTTTCACTAATGTAGAATAAAAGTAAAAGTCATGAAGATTCAAGTTTCTGTTTGCTTTTTGCATATTTTTATCTGAAAATCTGTAAGAGTGTGTGTGTGTGTGTATTTAGTAGTTAGGCAGAATAAAATTATTTTCATACTCCACATCAGATATTGGAATGCCTTAATTGTGCCACAGTAAGATAATTTGTTTCATAATCTATTAATGATTATAAGTTGTCTTCCATTGCATATTGTAGAACTATTAAATAGCTTATTGTTTAGCCTGCATTTATTAATTTCCCTTCCTTATGTTTACTATTTCAGGTACCAGCCATCACTCTAACTGCTAATATTATTTGGTTTCCTGATAATTTTTTGATCCAGAAAATACCAGCAGCTGCCAAACTTCTAGACAGAAAAAGTCTTCAAGCCATTAAAATACACAGAGATACTTTCCTACAGCAGAAAGCTCAATCACTTACCAAGTAGGTTTTATAAGTACTCACAATGAAAATATTTAGATACTTTATATTCTTGGATCTTATGTTGACTCTAAATATGTGGAAAACATTTGATTATAAGAACAAATAATATTTATTACCAGAGAAAAATTTGGACAGTCTGTAGGAGACTTACTTTTTAGGAGTTTTTTTTTTTTTTTTTTTTTTTTTATTTGACAGAGAGAGACACAGCGAGAGAGGGAACACAAGCAGGGGGAGTGGGAGAGGGAGAAGCAGGCTCCCCGCAGAGCAGGGAGCCCGATGCGGGAGTCGATCCCAGGACCCCGGGATCATGACCTGAGCCGAAGGCAGTCGCTTAACCAACTGAGCCACCCAGGCGCCCTGTTTTGTTTTGTTTTAAATGACTTAGGTTTAAACTCTGTTAAAGATGTAGGAAAATTATACTTTATGGAGATGTATGTGTGTGTACATATGTACCCATATATACATGTATTTGCACACATATATGCATACACAACTTTTTATCAGATACATTAAATATTTTTTGTGTAAAGTTCCTGCAGTAGATGTCATTTGATGACATTAAAAATATTGTGTGTCCATGATTCAGTGATGGTTTTTAGAGGAGTTGATTTTAATTTGATGTACTCCTTTTTTAAAATTTTTATTTTTATGAAAGTAATATATGTACATATTTAAAAAATCAAGAAGTACTAAAAGTTTAAATGGAAAAATAATTGTCCCCAGCCCACTTTCCCCCTGTACCTGAGTCCTATTCCTTAAAAGAACACTTTTAACTTCAGTTTCTTCTGATAGTTACATTCTTACATTTTGTCTAAGTCTTACTATGCAAAATTTCAAATATACACAAAATAAGAGAAAATAGTATAAGGCCCCCCCATGTTCTCATCACCTAGATTCAATATTTAAATTTACTGCACATTCTTGAGTACACTACCAAAATCACGTTGACCTGAATGAAGATTTTAAGTGAAGTGACCCAGGACTGTGCCACTGGCCCTGTGCTGGACACAGTTTTTATCTGTGACATGGTTAAAAGGTAATAGGGAAATTTATCTTCTTCCTTTTGATCTTGACCATCAAGGGGAAATTGGGCCACTACTGCAGAATGTGGGGGGGAGGAGGAGTATGTCTGGAATATAGGCGGTCCCCTGAAGCATCTCTTAGTACTCCCAAGTCCTGTGATTAAAGTCAGTGGAAAAATGACAGTTACTCAATTCAGGCAGGATTACTTGCAGCAGAGATTTCATAGCTCTCTCATACATTTTAAAACAGACCTGAGAAGGGAAAAAGACATAGTTTGGATTTAAGGAAGTGAATTCAGTAAGATGGAGAGACAGGGATCAGGTTTAGTAGCAGTAAATAAAAGATAGGGATATTTTGATGATCAGAAGCTTGATATTCTTTAACAGTGTAATGTAGTTGCTAAAATGCCAATACATACTTGAATTACATTAATAACTCTTCCTGGGTTATGGAAACTGATAGTTATAGTATCTACGCCATGTGAATTGGTAGTTTTGTTCAATTTTTATTGGTCACATCATAGTCAGTATTTGGTGGTGTCACATTTTAAGAGGGACACAAAATGCAGCAACCCTAAATGAAGCTGATCAGGATATGTCAGAAGACCTGACAACCATGCCCTTTGAAGAGTCTCTATATAGTTTGGCCTTTAAAAGAGAAATCTGAGGAATGTTATGGTGAGCTCCTTAAATATTTGAGGGGCATTCAGGTAGAAGAGGGAACAGATTTGATCTCTGTGGCTCCAGAAGGTTGAACTAGAACCAAAAGATGAAGATGACAGATAATAATAATCACCAATATTATTGAGCTCTTTGTAGCAGGCATTATGCTAAAGGCTTTAAACACTTTGTCTTACACAAACCCTGTAACAATCTTCTCATGTGGAAAATAATAAAGGTCACAACTAATAATAACCTGGTCCTTTCTATAAGTCAATAACTAAACTATTCCATGCACTTCACGTGTATCATCTCTTTTAATCATCAGAGAATCTTATGAGGTAGCTACTGTTGTTATGGCCATTTTATAGGTCAGATAATTAAAGTACATTAAACTTGCCCAAATTTAAGCAACTAGTAGGTGGCAGAACTGGACAGTCCTAACTCTAGAGCACAAGCTATTAACTGCCACTCTATAGTAGTAGTATTTTTAATCCCATTTTTAGATAAGGAAGATGAGGCTTAGAGAAATGAACTTTGCCAGGTCATATAGCCAGGCGCGGGTCAGAGAACATGCAGACCTGCACCAATCCTACTGTAGAGCGTTTGCAGCAGAGTCGTGTAGGCTGTTCTGAGAGGTAATGCGCTCTTTTCCCTAGAGCTGTGTAGGTAGATTGTAGATGACTAGTAGTCCAAGATGCTGTAGGATGGGAGGCTTATCAGGTGCGAGACCGAGTAAGTTGACTTTCAATGACCCTCCCCCTCCACAATAACATTTTATGTTTCTAAATTATTTGATTCCAAAGATACATAGTCACCATAGAGCTCCAGGGAGCTAAAAGGGATAGTGTCCTTTTCAGTCTCCTTGCAGTTCTCCCAAAGAAACATAAAATTCACTCTACTGAAATGAAACCCAGAAGAGGGGAAACAGTGTGGTCAGCATGAGTTTTGTCTAATGTTTTAGGAAAAGTTGGAGTTACTAAGAGCTATCCCAGTCAGGTTCTAGAGTTCATTATACAAGTGAGAAGGGAGCAGTGGGGGACAGTTTCCCTGCCCCCACACTATGCACTAGACTCTAACTGGCCAAGTGCTCCAGCCACGTTCTTGACTGGAGTCCAAGGTTTATAGGTTGGTTGCTGCATTTTGCTTTTCATTCACAACCATTTCAACACTGGAAATACTGACTTTAGAGGATAGAGGTATGAACCTTCATTTCAAACCTCTGTTGACATTACAAGTGTTGACACTATTTCGTGTTTTTTATTGGGACAGGAAATTTTTTCTCACTAGTGTTTTTCCTGTTTGTACTTTGAAATGAAGCTGACCATATGACAGACCTTTGGCTATTTTTGGATACCCTTTGTCAATTAACTTGCTTTTTAAGGCTTGAAGCAGTTTCATTTTTACATATTTGCAAGAGATGAAGATCATCTGGTGTCTGGGTGTAGGAGTGATGGGTGGAGTAATAAGCAAACCTCTGCTTTATTCTGCATAGTCTGATCTAAAACTGAGTGAGTGCCTTTGACTGTGTTATTATCCTTCTTCATGTTAGTGATTACTCTCAGGGAGCACTCCATAATCTAGGCCTCTTCCTTCTGTCCTTGCTTATGATTTTTCTATCCCTCCTGTATAGTCTGTCCCTGCTGAATACTGATCACAGCCTCCTCAAAAGTGGAGGCATTGCCCTAGGACCTTACTCTTTCTCTGTATTCCACACTTTTAAGTAGAATAATCCACAAGTCAAATAATAACCCACAAGTCAAATAATGTTAGCACCTTTGGAGGCAAAGCCAAAAGTACAATTGTCAGTGTTACTTGTTTAATGGAATTCTGGCTCAGCAGAAATTTTTCTGAGATTTGATGCTGGGGTATCATGTCCTTAAGACAGTCACGAAAAATTTTGGTGTAATCCCTCTTCAGGCTGAGTTCTTGAGATTGTCAGACTGCTTGGCAGTATGACTGGCAATAAACTCAGTGTGGGATCTGATCTCAATCAAATGAGTCTCTTCAGTCCCTTGCCCTGAGACCTATCCTCTAGCTGATTCTGACTGGCAATAATGAGATGTTTCTCTGACTGAAGGAGGTTTTTTGTTTTGTTTGTTTTTTTAAGGTTTATTTTAGAGCAAACTGGAGTGGGGGTACGGGCAGAGGGAGAGGGAGAAAGAATCCTTAAGCAGACTCCCCACTGAGCGCGGAGCCCTATGTGGGGCTCCGTCCCAGGACTCTGGAGATCATGACCTGAGCCGAAATCGAGAGTCCTCGGCTTAGTCAACTAAGCCACCCAGGTGCACCTGAAGGAGGTTTTTAGAAAGAGTTGGTAACGTCAGATCCCACAGAGGGGAATTGTTCATTTTTTTTCACACTAAATCTTTATAAAGTGTATATTGAACAGCTTCTGGGCTAAAAGTTCCCATCTTGAGCAATTTGAGATGCACTGATAGAGTGATTCAGTGTCTGTAATTGGCCTGTGTAGGAAAATTATGTTACTGCTTTAGTGTTTCCTGATGGGAAAGCTTCCTAGATTTGGACTTATATCTTGGCTCGGCTATGTACCAGTTGTATGATCTTGGGCTTGTTATTTAACTTCTCTGTGTATCAGTTTCCTCTTCCATAAAATGGAGATCATAATACCTACCTCATAAGGTTAATGTGAGGATTGAATGAGTTACTTTGTGTAAAGTTCTTAGAACAGTGGCTGGCATATAGTAAGCATTCAGTAAATGTAGCTTTTATATCCAGATTCTGACTACTTCCAGTCTCCCATTCTGGTTCAAGTTGTTATCCCCTTTCTTCTGCATTATCACAGTAGCTCCCTGAGTGATTTTCCTGCTATTACCCTTGTCCCCTTTATAGTTTATTTTCAACATATCAGCCAAGGTGATATTGGTCCTCTTCAAAGTTAGGTCAAGTTACTCTGCTCAGATCCTTTGGTGGCTTTCCACTGAAATCCTCCCTATAAATTCTTACACAAATCCTGTTCTACTCCCCACCTTTCCCACACTGCCCCCCAACCCCTCTACTTCTCTGATTTCCTTTTGTTTTCTCATCCCTGCTCTCTGACCTCCAGCCGAACTGACTTCTTTGTTATTACTTGAACATGCCAGACATACTTCCTGTCTTAGAGCGTTTGCATTTGTTATTTACTTTCCTAGAATTCTCTTCTCATATATTTACATGGATTACTCATTCATCTTCTTCAAATCTTGGCTCAAAATCATCTTTTCAATGAGCCTGCTTTGATCACTGTATTTAAAATTGTATCTGCCACTCAAGTCCCTGTCTCTTTTCCCTGCATTTTTTCCATACCACATATCATTTAACATCTTACAGATTTTAATTATTGATTTCTTTATTATGCAGCTCTCCTTTCTAGAATGTAAGCTTCATTGTGGCAGGGATTTTTATCCATTTTGTTTACTGCTAACTTTTGTTTTTAGTACTGAGAAACAGTGCCTAGCCTGAATAGGCATTCTGTAAACATTTGTTGAATGAGTAAGTTATATATGTATGTAGGATGTCTATAATTTGAAAACCGGAAAGGTGACTGCTGCAAGGAAATATTTTATCCCAACCAGTTCAAAGAAATGGAAGTAAATTTTCCTTCCTGTGCTGAGTAACCACAATATTTTCTTTTGTTAGAGATGTACAGTCTTACTACGTCTTTGTGAGCTCATGGATGATGAAAATGGAATCTATTTTATCTAAAGAGCAGAGAATGGATAAATTTGCTGAAGACCTCACCAGTAGATGTAATGTTTTTATACAGGTAGTTGCATCTTCTTACTTAGAATATTTTGGGGGTCATTTCTTTGTTAATCCAATGTATAGAAGTTACACTTTGAAAAAACTGGAAAGGATATGTTTTTATTTTTAAAAACTGAAATTGATTTGATTATGTTTGGATCTGTGTGATTTATTAATTTAGATATTCTAATACGTGCAATTATATTCCCTTCAAAGCATGACTTTTTTGCTGTATCCATAAGTTTTGATATGTTGCATTTCCATTATCCTTTAGTACAAAATATTTAAGAAATTTTATTGTGATTTCTTTTTCAGTCTGTGGGCTATTTTGAAAGATATTTTTTAATTTCTAAAGATATGAGGATTTCCTAGTTATTTTTTTATTATTGATACCTAGAAATACTAAGATAATTTTGGTATTTTGAAATTTGTTGAGATTGGCATTATGGCCCAGCCTATGGTCAAGTTTGGTAAACATTTCGTGTATACTTGAAAAGAATGTGATTTGCATTTGTTGGTTGTAGTGTTCTGTATATGTCAAGTAGGTCATGTTTGTTAATGATTTTGTCTGCATATTGTATCAGTTACTGAGAGAATTGGGTTAGACTCTCCCACTGGCATTGTGGATTTGTCTGTTTATCCTTTGTCAGTTTTTTGTTTTATGTATTTCGAGACCAAGTCAGTGCATAACATTCAGGATTGTTATTATCTTCCTGGTGAATTGAACCTTTTATCATTATGAAACGTCCGTTTTATCTCTAGTAATGTTCTTTGTCATAGGTCTTGTGTGTGTGATAGTAACATAACTATACCAGTTTTCTTTTAGTTAAGGTCTACATGGTATGTCTTTTTTGATCCTTTTACTTGCAACCTGTTTGACTCCTTATATTTAATGTCTGTCTCCTGAAGCATCATAAATTTTTCCCCAGTCTTACAATCTTTGTTTTTTCATTATTTTTTTTTTTAAAGATTTTATTTATTTATTTGACAGAGAGAGACATAATGAGAGCAGGAACACAAGCAGGGGGAGTAGGAGAGGGAGAAGCAGGCCTCCCGCAGAGCAGGGAGCCCGATATGGGACTCGATCCGAGGACCCTGGGATCATGACCTGAGCCGAAGGCAGACGCTTAACGACTGAGCCACCCAGGCGCCCTTTCATTATTTTTTTTAAAGATTTTATTTATTTATTTATTTAGAGATATAGTAGGGGGGAGGAGCAGAGGGAGAGAAAGAAGCAGACTGCGCTGAGTGCAGAGCCCGACGTGGGGCTCAGTCTCACAACCCTGAGATCATGACCTGAGCTGAAGCCAAGAGAGTCGGATGCTTAACCAGCTGAGTCACCCAGGCACCCCTTTTCATTATTTTTCCTGTCATTGCTGGTGTATTTGGATTTAAAGTAGCACCTGACTAATTGTTTTCTCTTTGTCTCACTTGTTCTATGTCCCTTTTCTTTTCCTTTCTTCCTTTCTTTTGAATTAGTTTAATCATTTTATTTCTCCCAATATTAGGTTTTTAATTCTGTATTCTTTTATTGTTTTTTTAATCGTTACTCTAGAGATTTTAAGATGCATCATTTAACCTTCAACTCCAGAATAAATGAGTACTTTTATCTCTTTCTAGACAGTGTAAGGATCTTAAGCCACCTTAATTCTATTTATCCCCTTCTCACCTCTGCTGCTGTTGTTTATTTTTATTCTCTATATTAAACTTCACAAGGTGGTATTATTGCTGCTGTTGTTTTATAATCAGGGTCCATTTAGCTTTATCCACATATTTATCTGTTCTGTCCTTCCTGCATCTCTCCATCCTTCTATTTGTGGAATACCTGTTAGTATTTCATTTAAAATGTCTTTCTGATGGTGAATTATCACCACTTTTTCTCTGAATATCTTATTTCAACTTCATTTTTGACAGTAGTTTTGCTACATATAGAATTCTGGGTTGGCAGGATCCCTTACCTTCCTCCCCCCTTTATCATCTTCTGGCTTCTTTTATTTTTGTTGAGAAGTCAGCTGCCAGTTTTGTTGCTTTTTTTGGTGAGTCTTTCTCTAACTGCTTGTAAGATTTACTTTTTCGTTTTTAGCAATATTACTAGGTACTTAGGTGTAGTTTCCTTTGTGCAGTGCTGCTTGGGATTTGTAGAGCTTCTGGAATTTGTGGAAAATTCTCAGCCATTAACTTTGCAAGTGCTATTTCTATTTTCTTATATCTCTTGCTCTCTTTCTCTTCAGCTGTGTCTAATCTGTTAAACTATTTACTGAATTCTTAATTATTTTACTTTTTAGCTTTTTGTTTCTTATAATTTCCAGTTCTTCTTCTGAATAAATTTTGTTTCATTTCCTTCAACATATTCAGCATAATTATTTTGAAACCCATGTCTAATAATTTCATTATCTGGATATTTCTGTTATCATTTCTCTGGTTTTTGGATATGTCTTATTGCTTTGTATGCCTGGTTATTTTTTATAATGTATGGCACATTGTATATGAAAAACTGTGGATATAATTGAAAGATCTGGATATTGGTTTTTTTCCTCCAGAGAGGATTTAATAATCTTTGCTTGTGATGTACAGCTCGTCTAGGACAACTAGCAACCCAGATCACCTCAACCCAGTTATGGATTGAGATGATTTGAAGTGGGACCTAAATCCTTTGATGGCTGTTTTTTTTGAGTTCACCCTTACTTTTTAGGTAGTTTTTCAGGATCTGAATCCAGAACCTAGGTTTTACAGGACCTCCATCCCTCTTTGATGGGCCATGAACTCCTTATTTTTATCCCCCTTTCCTTTCCGTGAGTTGTTGGAAGATAATGTTTGGCTTCTGTCTTACTTTCTTTTGGAAAAGGCAGCTGCCTCTTAAGGGAAGGCAGCCACAAGTGCCCGGCTCACTTCTCTGGGTTTCTGTCTTCTAGATTTGGGCCTTATATTTCCTTATCTTTGTGGTAGTTCTTTGATGCCTTCTAAGAGATTTAAAAAAATGTTTTGCCCAGATTTGCTAATCGTTCTTTGTAGGAAGACTGGTCCAAATTGTTTATTCTGCCATTAACAGAAACAGACCCTAGACCTCTCCCCTCCCCATCTAGATTTTTAAAAGACATCCTTTGTATATATCTTTCACAAATTAATGACCATTTGGGAATGGTGTGATATCAACCCATGAGTTCTTTCTCCTCCATTACCCTTCAAAAAAGAAACTCCCTTTTTCTCCCTGCCTTAGAGTTACACTTTTGCTGTTCCTTGTTTTTGCTTTTTAACTTTTCGAAGTGTTGTGTTAGGGCCGAGTCTGGTGTAATAGTCCTGTAGCTGACAAGGTAAGACTTGGGGCTCTTCCCTGTGTGTATGTCCCAAGCTTTAGTCTTATTGTCTGTCACCTTTCTTAGGATGCTACCTTCTCTCTCATGTCTTATTCTTTAATTTAGCTCATCTCCTTATCACAGAGCTATTATTGGTTCAGAGAAACTCCTCCCTCCCACCCACATTGACTGTCACTCCTTTACTGAGTCACTGTTACACTGATGGGAGAGTACTTTATCTCTCACATATGGTAGAGGAAAAGAAAGAAGGTTGAGAATCACTACCATATGGTTTCTGCCCAGCTCCTTGGATATATCCACAATAGTATGGTTTAGGTTCATCTCTAGACTGTACATGTATCTTTTTTTGGTCCTTTATAAACCCAAAGAATCTTTATTATTATGTTTCTATGTGGTTTTTTTAGATCTAAATGAAAATATATCTGAGAGATAAATATCCTTTTTCCTGTTTTCTTATTTCATCCCATTTCCCTGGGTTTGCTAGCACTCAAAATATTTTTTAAACCTCACAAGACCTGTGTGCTTCCTTTGTGAATGGAAGGGTAGGAGAAAATCTGTTCATATCGGGCTGGAAGGAGAAAAAATCTGATTAGCACCAACATAGGCAGGGGACACGGTAGCAGATGGACAGTAGTAATTGACCTTGGTGAAAAGGAAAGGTGGAATTGGCTTGGAAGTGAGAAATACCTTTTGATATGTGTATTGGCCAGAGAGCAGCTCTCCTCATTTTTCAATTCCTAGTTCCTTGGAGTCCTTAGCTTTTGTCTGCAGCAGATAGGAGTCTTTATACTCTTGTCTGGCAGGTAAGATAAGGATGAATAGATATCTTCCTGACATTCAGATCATTTCTCTGAAGGGTTTGTGTGTTTGTTTGTTTGTTTTTAATGGGAAGATTCTTTAACTGTGATTATATAACATAATTTCAACAGTACTAAATTTATGGTATGTAATGGGTTAAATACACTTTTAAGGGTTGCATTGAAACTTCACCATCATGTGTATATTGTATGAGGAAAAGTATTTAAAAATCTTAAGAGCAGACTTTAAAATGAATTTTACAAACAATAGTTATTGGCAAGTTGAGGAATAATTACTGTTACATAGAGAATGAAATGTTGAAGAAATGAAACTTTTTCTTGTGATTATAATCAGTGTGTTATTTTTTTATAGGGCTTCTTGTATGCATACAGTATTAGTACCATTATTAAAACCACAATGAATCTCTACATGTCGATGCAAAAACCAATGACCAAAACCTCAGTTAAGGCATTATGCAGGCTTGTTGAACTTCTCAAGGTAGGTTTAAAATTATTTTACTTGCCATTATAATTGAGAATTGACCTGTGCTTAAATTAAGGTGGTCTTGTAATATTTGACTTCTTGATTATGAGAATAAAAAATTGTGGGAAAGTGTACTTTTCTCTCAATTGGCTAAAGAAACTAGCCATTGAAAGACATTTTTGAGTAACTTTTTATGAATGGCCAATATATTTAAACTTTGTTAAAAATTAGCATATAGGGGCGCCTGGGTGGCTCAGTTGGTTAAGCGACTGCCTTCGGCTCAGGTCATGATCCTGGAGTCCCAGGATCGAGTCCCACATCGGGCTCCCTGCTTGGCAGGGAGTCTGCTTCTCCCTCTGACCCTCCCTCCTCTCATGCTCTCTCTCTCTATCTCATTCTCTCTCTCAAATAAATAAATAAAATCTTTTAAAAATAATTAGCATATAATTTTGATTTGAATTTCCCTGATGGCTAATGATGATGAACATTTTTTCATGTGTCTGTTAGCCATTTGTATGTCTTCTTTTGAGAAGTGTCTGTTCATGTCTTCTGCCCATTTTTTGACTTGATTATTTGTTTTTTGGGTGTTGAGTTTGAGAAGTTCTTTATAGATCTTGGATACCAGCCCTTCATCTGTATTGTCATTTGCAAATATCTTCTCCCATTCTGTGGGTTGCCTCTTTGTTTTGTTGACTGTTTCCTTTGATGTACAGAAGCTTTTTATCTTGATGAAGTCCCAAAAGTTCATTTTTGCTTTTGTTTCACTAGCCTTTGGAGATGTATCTTGAAAGAAGTTGCTGTGGCCGATGTTGAAGAGGTTACTGCCTATGTTCTCCTCTAGGATTTTGATGGATTCCTGTCTCACATTGAGGTCTTTCATCCATTTTGAGTTTATCTTTGTGTATGGTGTTAGAGAATGGTCGAGTTTAGCCATCAGGGAAATTCAAAACCACATTGAGATACCACCTTATACCAGTTAGAATGGCAAAAATTGACAAGGCAAAAGACAACAAATGTTGGAGAGGTTGTAGAGAAAGGGAAACCCTCTTACACTGTTGGTGGGAATGCAAGTTGGTACAGCCACTTTGGAAAACAATGTGGAGGTTCCTCAAAAAACTAAAAATAGACCTACCCTATGACCCAGCAATTGCACTCCTGGGTATTTACCCCAAAGACAGAGATGTAGTGAAAAGAAGGGCCATATGTACCCCAATGTTCGTAGCAGCAATGTCCACAATAGCCAACCTGTGGAAAGAGCCGAGATGCCCTTCAACAGATCAATGGATAAAGAAGATGTGGTCCATTTATACAATGGAATATTACTCAGCCATCAGAAAGGATGAATACCCAACTTTTACATCAACATGGATGGGATTGGAGGAGATTATGCTAAGTGAACTAAGTCAAGCAGAGAAAGTCAGTTATCCTATGGTTTCACTTATTTGTGGAACATAAAGAATAGCATGGAGGACATTAGGAGAAGGAAGGGAAAAATGAAGGGGGTTGGATATCAGAGTGGGAGATGAACCATGAGAGACTGTGGACTCCGAGAAACAGGGTTTTAGAGGGGAGGGTGGTGGGGGGGTGGGTTAGCCTGGGGGTGGGTATTAGGGAGGGCACGTACTGCATGGAGCACTGGGTGTTATATGAAAACAATGAATCATGGATCACTACATCAAAATCAAATGATGTATGGTGACTAACATAACATAATAAAATAAAATTTTAAAAATTAGCATATGGTGAGAGAGAGAAGAAGGAAAATGAAAAGGTTAGCTTAGGTATTGTAAAGTTTTAGTCATGGAAGTTTTAAGCATGTTGCCTGAATTATAAAAGAGTATGATCTGGCACAAAAATTGACACATAGATCAGTGCAACAAAATGGGGACCCCAGAAATAAACCTACAATTATATGGTCAATTATGACAAAAGAGGCAAGAATATACAGTGGGGAAACAGTCTCTTTAATAAATGGTGCTGGGAAAATAGGACAGCTACATGTAAAGAATGAAACTGGACCACTTTCTGATGTCATACACAAAAATAAACTCAAACTGGATTAAAGACCTAAATATGAGACGTGAAACCATAAAAATCCTAGAAGAGAGTACAGGCAGTAATTTCTCTGACATCAGCCATAACATTTTTCTAGATATGTCTCCAAAGGCAGGGGACACAAAAGCAAAAATAAACTATTGGTACTGTATCAAAATAAAAAGCTTTTGCACAGCAAAGGAAACCATCAACATAACAAAAAACAACTGACTGAATGGTTGAAGATATTTGCAAATGATACATCCAATAAGGGGTTAATATCCAAAATATATAAAGAACTTAAACAACTCAACACTAAAAAAAAAAAAAAAAAAAAAAATCCAATTAAAACATGGGCAGAGGACCTGAGGAGACAATTCTCCAAAGAAGACATACAGATGGCCGACAGACACTTGAAAAGATCTTCAACATCACTCGTCAGGAAAATGCAAATCAAAACAACGAGATATCCCCTTACACCAGTTAGAATGGCTAATATCAGAATGACAAGAAATAACAAGTATTGGTGAGGATGTGGAGAAAAAGGAACCCTCATGCATTGTTGGTGGGGATGTAAATTGGTACAGCCACTGTGGAAAATAGTATGGAGATTCCTCAAAAAGTTAAAAATATAAATACCACATGATCTAGTAATTCCACAACTGGATATTTACCCAAAGAAACTGAAAACACTAATTCGAAAAGATAATATGCCCCCCTGTGTTTATTGCAGCATTATTTACAATAGCCAAGGTATGGAAACAACTTAAGTGTCCATTAGTAGACAAATGGATAAAGAAAATGTTGTTATATATGTAATAGAACATACACAGCCATAAAACAGGATGAGATTGTGCCATTTGAGACAACATGGATGGACCTAGAGAGCATTATGCTAAGTGAAATAAGTCAGATGGAAAGATAAATACCATATAATTCCATTCATAAGTAGAATGTAAAAACAACAACAAATGAATAAACAAAAATCAGAATCAGACCTATAAATACAGGAAACTGATGCTTGCTGGCGGGGTGGGGGCTATGGAGAGTTGGGTAAAATGGATGAAGGGGAGAGGGCGGTACAGGCTTCCAGTTATGGAATGAGTAAGTCATGGGAATGAAAGGCACAGCGTAAGGAATACAGTCAGTGATATTGAAATAGAACTGTAATGGGACATTGGTAGCTGCACTTGTGGTGAACATAGCATGATGTATAAACTTGTCAAATTGCTAGGTTATATACCTGAAACTAACGTTGTGTATCAACTATACTAAAAAAAAAAAAAAAGACATCCATTTTATAGTGTTCAAATGCACATGAGGCTAGTCAGCATGAGGCTAATTATTTTGTAATTCAGAGAAAGTGCTGCAATGTTGTGATTTGAATACTTCTGGAAATATAAAATGTTTCTTAGCATACTCTATATAAATAAATAAAACCCCTTGTGGGCAGGAAAACCCACTTAACCTTTTGTAAAAATTGAAATTAAAAATTTTCTAGCTAATTTCTGCTAGTGCCTTTAGATTTGCTTAGGAAATAAAAATTTGGGGGCATTTTTAGCCTTTTTTTCTTTAAGATATTATTATATTTATTATGAACTATCAAAAATGTATGTATATGTGTATTTATGCATACATATTTAATAAACATAATTTTAAAAAATAATAGACACTTAAAAACGCACCATCCCATTTAAGAAATACTAATATTTTCACAAACACCCTGTCCCTCTGTGATTACATCTTATCCCGTTCCCTCAGAGGAAACCATTGTCTTGAATTTTACGCTTACCATTCCCTTGTTTTTCTTTTTTTTTTTTAAATATTTTATTTATTTATTTGACAGAGAGAGACACAGCGAGAGAAGGAACACAAGCAGGGGGGAGTGGGAGAGGGAGAAGCAGGCTTCCCGCAGAGCGGGGAGCCCGATGTGGGACTCGATCCCAGGACCCTGGGATCATGACCTGAGCCGAAGGCAGACGCTTAATGACTGAGCCACCCAGGCGCCCCTCCCTCGTTTTTCTTTTTTAGTTTACCGGATATGGATGAATCTATAAACCATTCATTGTTTAATTATATATGTTCTTGAAGTTTATATTAATGAAGTAATACTTCATGTATTTTTGACTTGCTTTTTTTTTAAACTCAGAATTTTGTATTTGAACATGTTGGGATGAATAGCTGTCCTTCATTCATTTTCATTGCTGTGTTGCTTTCCTGTGGATGGACCTTTGAGAGGTTTCCAGTTGTGTTGCTATTATAAACAAAGTTGCTGTTCTTGCATGTTTCTTGGTGTAATCGCACAAGAGTTTTTCTGAGGTGTTAATGTGTCTACTGGTGGATTGCTGGGTTGTGTATTCTGTACATGTTCAGCTTTTCAAGAGGATGCCAAATTGTTTCCTACCATTGTTCTGTCAGTCAGTTTACATACCTCCCCAATGGACTAGACTTCCCATGGTTCCCTAACTGGCCAACATTGGTATTATCTGGCTTTCTTTTTCTTTTTTTGGTGGGAGGCAAATGATTTTATTTGTAGTGTTTATTTCCCTGATTGTTGGCGATGGTGTCTTTTTTAAGTGTTTATTAACTGTGTTTTTTCTTTTGTGAAAATGAGTTCTTTTGTTCAGTTTTATCTATTATTTGCCATTAAAAATGTTCCTTTTTTTTTTTTTCCTGAGTACTAAACCCTTGTGTATGGCAAATATTTTCTCATACTTTGGCTTGCTTTTTTATTTTTTTAATAGTGGCTTTTGATGAACAGAAATTCTTAAATTTTAATGTAGTTGAATTTACCAATCTTACCCTATATCACAGTGCTTTTGGATCTCATTTACAAATTCCTTACCTAACCTAATCCAAGGTCCTCAAGATAGTCTATAATTTGCCTAAAAGTTTTAAGTTGATTTTCACAACATTACTTGTGGTTCTTTTTAGGCAATAGAGCATATGTTCTACAGAAGAAGCATGGTTGTGGCTGATTCGGTCTCACATATAACACAGCACCTTCAACATCAGGCTCTTAATTCTATTTCTGTGGCAAAGGTATGAAGTTTGTTATGTATTCAGCATAATTATCTTTTCAGTTTGCTCTCCTGTTGTTTTATATGTGTTTTTTTAGTTTAGTCTGTTTACTCCATACCTTCAAGTGTAATAATTCTTGGTCCTTTTCTCCATGGTATTTTATGATTGTTAATTAGAGCGATCAGGGTTATCTTAACTCTGAACATGCAGCATGGAATACATTAACACTCCTCTATTAAAAAATTACATTTTGTGGCTGAGTCTGTTAAGTGTCTGTCTTCGGCTCAAGTCATGATCCCAGGGTCCTGGGATCGAGCCCTGCATTGGGCTTCAGCGGGGAGTCTACTTCTCCCTCTCCCTCTACTGCTTACCCTGCTTGCGCTCTCTCTCTCTCTCTCTCTCTCAAGTAAATAAATAAAATCTTTTTTAAAAAATGACATTGTGTGTGGTTTTAAAATATACCTCTTCTTTAAAGAAATAATTTCCTTATTAAATTAATATAGAAATTTTAGAATGTGGCCTCTGCTATCTTGAACTGCCTCTCAAAAAGCCTAATATGGAAATTTAAAAACATGCTTAATACATCTGCTGTCCTTGACAGCATTAAATGGTAATGTTATAGAAGTAAAGCACATAACATCAGAAAAAGCTGAACAGGGAAAGCATTTGTCTAAGCTCTCTTAAATGGAATTGTGGAAAAGATTACCCTGAAGTTTTTCTTCTGAGTCTTTTGTTATTCAAGAATGAAACTGTTATTTCTTGTTTTTTCTCCTTTTATCTTTTAGAAAAGAGTAATTTCTGACAAAAAATATAGCGAACAGCGTCTTGATGTGCTCTCTGCTCTAGTTTTGGCTGAAAACACTCTAAATGGACCAAGCACAAGGCAACGACGACTTATTGTTTCTTTGGCACTAAGTGTTGGCACACAAATGGTAAGTGTATTGCTATTATGGAGGGAGAATGAGATCTGCGATTTCACATTTTACTTGTTATTGACCTAAGAAATCTGTCCTTACTTTGCAACTTCTCTGTCATTCTTTCCCCTTCCTGAAAGAAAACATTTAAAGATGAAGAACTCTTTCCACTGCAAGTAGTCATGAAAAAGCTGGATCTTATCAGTGAGCTTAGAGAAAGGTAAGTAGGGATATACAATGATACTCAAAAGGTAAGGTAATAGAAACATCAATTTTTTGTTTAGCATAGCAAGAGAAGAAATATAACCTAGATAGACCATTAGTTCCTCCTTGTCACTCCTTTAGCATGACCAAAATGAGACTGTGACTAGCGATCATATTTCTTTAGTTTTGCTTCTACAGTAAGGAGGTGGCTTCTGGAAGAACTCCCATGAGAATGTGATACCACCCCTAGAGCATCTGCTAGACCCTGATGCCTATTGGGTTTACTGTCATTGTCCACTAGCATAGTGGACTTTAAAATTGCTGCTTTAAAACAAGGTTTCATCTATTTGTGAGAGACTTAGAGAGTCATGTCACATGTCACATTCTGTAATTTTATTTTGATACATGAATTGGAATTCACTTAAATGAATTAGTTTTTGGAAGCCCCTTGTGACTTTATTATTTTCTTTTTATTGAGGAAGTAATACGTTTCTTGAAGGGAAAATGGGTCTTCTGAATTTTGATTCCCAGGTGACTTAAGGTTACAGCACAGTTTTCATTTAAAGCTTAATGTTTGAAACTTTAACGTTTTAACTCATTTAAAACTTACTGTTTTTTGTTCTGAGAACTTGAGACTTTTGTAGTTAGTAGCATTTAACTTTCTATCTTTGGAAGAAATAGTGAGCCTGCTTCATTATAAGATACTTAATGATCATTTTTTTTGCTGCAGAATGGTGTGATATGGTCATTTGGCAAAGATTATAGACAGGTTAAGTGTAACTGGGTTTCTGATTTTGTTTTGTTTTTGGTTTTTTTTGTCACTTTTTTAAAAAGGTTCTGTTTTTCAACTTTGAGACAGGTAAAATGGTGCATGTGATACAAGTATTATAAGTTCAGTCATACCAAATAATATTGAAAATTTTAACTATTTAAAAGTTATATCATTTTTCAAGTATGCTTTAGAACTAAAGCATATATGCAGAATTCTGACAATATCAGATATTGGAATGTTTTGTTACCCTTGTTCAATCTGAAAAATACTTATCTTTTGGCTTTTCTGTACTAATTTTGGGTTATGTGATACAGGGAATAAAAAATGGGTAAGACTGAGCTCTTACCATTATGGTATAGAATGTTGTTCCTTTCATTATTTTTGGGATGGGGGGGTGCTTGAGTTTTGCTACCACTAATTACTACTTTACATTGTAGAGTCCAAACACAGTGTGACTGTTGTTTTTTATACTGGCACCGAGCTGTCTTCCCAATTTATTTAGATGATGTATATGAAAATGCTGTTGATGCAGCCAGATTACATGTAAGTGAAGAATAATGTAAAAAATAATCCATCATTTTTAGTCACCATACAAACCATTCTAATTAGTTTTAAATACAATCATTTGACTTAATAAATCATTTTAAAATTGACTGCTAATGTTTTTACAATGCTGTGCATATTTAATAAGCAGTTAGTTTAGTTAAATTTGATATTAATGTTAATGAATTAACTTTTTTACTCATATTCCTATCATTCTCATTTCACTTGATTTTAGTTTATGTCACAGTAGTCTGACATTTACTTGTCAGCAAGGTCTGTGTTACTCAGATCTGTTTCCTTACGGAAATAAGTATTTGAATGCTCAAGACAAAGGATAAGTAAATGTGAATTTTTTTTGATTCAAAGTATCTGCTTTAGAGAATAAAATCTGGCTCTTATTTAGGAAAGTAAGACAGACATGTTAAAAACACTCTTCAAATTGAGATTTTGTCTTTAAAGATAGATAATTAACCTTTGTGATAGTCCTTTTTTTTCCCTTTGTGATATTTCTTAATTAGAGCTCTGGTTTTTTGAAATTCATGAACATTCTGATTTTCTTTTTAGTACATGTTCAGTGCTTTACGGGACTGTGTACCTGCTATGATGCATGCAAGGCATTTAGAGTCCTATGAAATACTTCTGGATTGCTATGACAAAGAAATTATGGAAATTTTAAATGAGGTAATATATTCGAGATTGCATTCCAAATACATGTTTTAAGCTTTTCAATATTTGGAAAAACTTCCTGGATTGAAGCAGGCTTTCATTTACATATATGTTATATATTCATATTCATATCTCATAATAAAATTTATGAATCACTGTCTAGAACAAAGGATTTCTTTTTAGTTATACTATCACTATTGTGCTAAATTGGTCTTTAATTCCTAATTTTTTAAAAAATATTTTTTATGTATTTTTTTGAGAGAGAGAGAGAGAGAGAGCATACAAGCAGGGGATGGAGAGGGACAAGCAGACTCCACACTGAGTGCGGAGCCCAAGGCAGGGTTCAATCTCAAGACCCCGAGATCACCACCAGAGCCAAAATCAAGAGTCGATGCTCAACTGACAGCCACCTAGGTGCCCCTAATTCCCATTTTTTTATATAGAAATTCAGACTAGGAATTTGGAAATTGGTTTGAAAATTGAGTGCTGCTAATGGTAATGCAGTTACTGCAACTTAACTACCGAAATTTTACTGAATTATTTGGCGCGTCACTGACTAAAATTTTCTGTTTATTTAAATTTTCTAAATTTAAAAGATTTACTTGTATAACAAATAATTCAAATGCAGTGTAATATATACCTTCTTGTTTTAATGGAATGCATATTATAAACACTGATATCTTTAAATTGTCATCTAGCAATGTTATATGGAGGGAGAGATTAAAAATGAGTAAACTTCACAATATAAACGATATTCAGGTTTGATAAAATTGTGAAAAAGTTTATGTAATTTCTTGTATTAACTATTCTTATATGTATTTTATAATAACATACATGTTTGGCCAGTATTTAGAACTTAATGGTAGACCAGAGAAGATGATAAATTTCATTACCTTTAGTGCAATGAATTTTGTGATTTTTTAAAAAAATGATTATTATAATAAGGAAGCTTTTTTTAAAGATTTTATTTATTTATTAGAGAGCATGCTTGGTGGGAGGGGCAGATGGAAAGTGAGTGAGAGGATCCCAAGCAGACTCCCTGCTGAGCATGGAGCCCAACATGGCATTTGATCCCATGACCCCAAGATCATGACCCAAGCAAAAATCAAGAGTCAGATGCCCAACTGACTGAGCCACCCAGGCACCCCTATAAGGAAGCTTTTTAAAAAATTTCTTCTCTTGGGGCACCTGGGTGGCTCAGTCGTTAGGCATCTGCCTTCGGCTCAGGTCATGATCCTGGGGTCCTGGGATCGAGCCCCGCATTGGGCTCCCTGCTCGGCAGAAAGCCTGCTTCTCCCTCTCCCAGCGCCCCCTGCTTGTGTTCCCTCTCTCGCTGTGTCTCTCTCTGTCAAATAAATAAATCTTTGAAAAAAAAATTTTTTTTTCTTCTCTTGCTAGTTCTCAGGACCTTTCCTTCTTAGCTACTGGTTTCCATAAATGTTATACTTTATATTGTTTATTCATGTTCCTTGTAATGAACTCATCAGACATTAGCTTTTGAAGTTCTTTTCAAGGGTTTTAAGTATTAATGAACATAAAAATTTAGAATTTATCTAACTGCTCCCTGGTCAAAAAATCATCAGTTTAGTTTATTTTGTTTTAAAGATTTTTATTTATTGGTCAGAGAGAGAGCACAAGCAGGGGGAGCTTCAGGCAGAGAAAGAAGCAGGCTCCCCACTGAGCAAGGAGCCCGATGTGGGACTTGATCCCAGGACCCAGGGATCATGACCTGAGCTGAAAGCAGATGCTTAACTGACTGAGCCAGCCAGGCGTCCCAGAAAAATCGTTGGTTTAAAATGGAGAACAGGGGTGCCTGCCTGGCTCAGTCAGTGGAGTGTGTGACTCTTGATCCCGGGGTTGTGGGTTCAAGCCCCACATTTGGAGTAGAGATTACTTAAAAATAAAAAATCTTTAAAAAAAATAAAATGGAGAACAAAGTAATTTTCACTTTGCCAATAAAAATATTTTACCATAGCTTATTTAGACTTTTAAACCAGTTTGACAAATTTTTTCATCATTGCGCTGATTATAAAACTCTAATGGTCAAGCATAGATGCCTTAGAAGAACAATGCAATTGGAATATCATTTTGAAAAATTAAGGTATCAATTCTTTGTGCATAGCATTTACTGGACAAATTATGCAAGGAAATAGAGAAGGATCTGCGACTTTCTGTGCACACTCATTTAAAACTGGATGACCGAAACCCTTTCAAAGTTGGCATGAAAGACCTGGCCCTTTTTTTCTCTTTGAATCCAATTCGATTTTTCAATCGTTTCATTGACATTCGAGGTAAGTGTTCTGTTTTCCTTCTTAAAGTCATATTCTGTATCTGTTTGCCCTTAACTATTAAAGAACAAAAAAACAAAACTTTGAGGGTATTTTTGTATTACTCATTTATTCTTTAATTCGTTTTTGTTTCTTCATTTTTATTTTCCTGGTACCTTATTTTAAAGGAAGAAATTTAATGTTCAAAGACAAGTTGTTTGCAAAAAGTTTCATTTCTCTTGCTTTTTTACTTTTCATGAATCAAAAATTTATTTTTTATTAATTATTTTTTTGTAGCTTATGTAACTCACTACCTAGACAAGACTTTCTACAATCTAACAACAGTGGCTCTTCATGACTGGGCCACTTACAGCGAAATGAGAAATTTAGCTACCCAGCGTTATGGATTGATTATGACAGAGGCTCATCTTCCTAGTCAGACTTTGGAACAGGTATAGTATAAAGTGTTTTTAGCATAGTGTGTTTATAGCAGAACAGCGTTTCTCTAAGCAGTCTTTTTTTTTCTTTTTACTTTATTTAGCATGTGTTTATATCTCAAAATATTTGCTATAAAAACTACATGCTTGACAAGAATAAAAAATTAGATGGTGTTAATTTGCTTTATGAATAATTTACCACAGGCTTCCTGTTTACACTCTGACTTTTGCTGAACATCTGAAATCTGCATAGATTTAGATACAGTGTTTCAGAAACACTGGGATTGTGAGGTGACTTGTGCAGAATTGTAAAAAGTTTAGTCAAGATCACAGTTAAGGATTTTAAATGTAGATATAACATAGGCTTTAATGTCTTAGGAAAAAATGGTTAAATGTATATGATTATAAATTTATTCTTACAATGATGAGTGCCTACAAGCATTTGACTTTGCTAATTCAGTGAGCTAATTTACAATATGGTAGTATCTCATGAGTGCAAAAGTTAAAGTTTTCAGTTAATTTGCATGTATTTTTTCTAAGAAAAACCAAAAATAGTATTTATCAAAAAACATTTATTCAGTTCCAAAATTTGAGGATCATAATTTTTCCTCCATCCTTTTGCATTTCTAGGATCAGTTTGTATATCCTTTCATTCATTTATACATTTAGTATTTACTGAAAAGATGCCAGGCACTGAACTATGTTTTGGGACATTAAAAACAAAACAAAACAAAAACAATTTCAGCTCATGTACTTATAACCTAGTAGGAGAAAAAGTAAGTAAACAGATTTTTAGGTTGAAACATGAGAAAAACGATAATAAAAACTTTAACGGGTGTTGTGATGCTCCTTTGAGCCCCAGTTAGAAAAGCTGTGGGACAATTTATATGATGCCATTAGACATTAGAGTAATAGCTGAAGAATGAAGGATTCTTCATAGGTAACTTGTATGTTAAAGGTGGTCTAGTGTAATTTAAAGAAGCATAAGGATTTGGAATTCGATTTTCTAAAAATTCCCAGGTCTGCCTTTTCCTAGCTGTTTGACCTTGGAGAACTCCTTTAGCTTCATTTTCCTCAGTTGTGGAATTTAGAAGACTAATACCTCATTTTTTTTTGAGAATTACATATAAAGAACCTTGCACAGTGCCTGAAAAACAGTATGTATTTTATAAATATCACCACATATCCTGACTGCCTTTTAGAATCTGGCCATTAGTTTATTTAGTAAAACATATACAGAAGATCTTGGGAAGACAAACAAATATTCTCAAGAATGGTGGGGAAATGATTGAGTCATGAATCTCTGAAATTTTAAACATAACTCTTCTTGTCTTTACAGAAGGGATAAGAGAACAAGCAGCCACGTTTCCCCAAGGAGATAGTCCTGATTATAGCAGTTAGAAGGCTTTGGTCATACCTTTTGTATAGTTTTTTAAAGTAATTTAAAAATATTGTTAGTAAGTCACTATATTGATACAAGTCTATCTTCAATAATAATAGAACTTTGTGGGTTGTTTTGTAGGGCCTGGATGTTTTGGAAATTATGAGAAATATCCATATATTTGTGTCTCGATACCTCTATAATCTCAACAATCAGGTGAGTAGGTTTTAAAATTCTTTTTAAATGTGGGTGGATGTATAGTAGGGAGTCTGAGAGGCAGAGTTGATTCTCATTAGTGAAAACTAGTGAAATAAAGTGGAATATAATTGTTTAGAGATCATCTTTTTATTCCTTTGCTTTGATTGTATTATCTTCTTGAATGACTTTCCAATTAAATTATCTTTAATAAAATAGATTGTAAAATTTTCTTTGTATAACTGACCAGTGTTGCTATGGATTGTGTTGTTACTTAGCATAAGTTTGTTTCGTTGCAGATTTTTATTGAACGAACAAGCAATAACAAACATTTGAACACTATTAATATTCGGCATATTGCTAATTCAATTCGAACACATGGCACAGGAATCATGAATACAACAGTAAGAACTTTTTTGGGGGGGTTTGGGTGGGTAATAGACTCCTGTTTAATTTGGTAGTTTGGCAAATAGTTTTCTCATAGAATATTCTGGTAAACATATACTACTGCTTGTTTATATTATACCTGAGTTTCCATCTTCTGGTTGGTGTAATTAAAATGTCGGGGGGGCACCTGGCTGGCTTAGTTGCTGGAGCATGTGACTCTTGATCTTGGGGTTGTGAGTTTGAACCCCATGTTGGCTGTAGAGATTACTTAAAAATAAAATCTTAAAAAAAAAAATGGCACTAAAATTGTGTTGGATGTGATGGAAGCTCAGTGATACAAAGGCATTTTTGAATATCTTACCATCTCAGGATCATCATTATAAACAGCATTGGAGATTTGAGCACATTGACATAAATATATGTATCTGTGTGGATTGTCTGATATTCTTTGAAAGTTGCTTTTGCAAGCAAATCATTGATAGCAGTTTATTTAACATCAGTCATGCTCTTTTTTTGGGGGGGAACTTAATAATTATTTGATATCCATAAAAGTAGAAATTTTCTAAAAATATTTTGAATTTTAGAAGTGGGCCTTCTATCACTTGAGAGACTCACTTGAATTTGTATGCTATTTTTTCTTCTGCGGACAAGAGAAGTCTTTGAATTTACCTGGTTTTCAGGATACACTTAACTTCTCCTTGAGGAAGAGTATGAATGCTTAAATAGTAAACTATTATTAAGCATATTTGAAAGTAAGGGAATAAGAAGGAGTTATGTAACTGGAAATTACATAGGGATCATTTTAATATTCGGTAGGGAAGCCATTAAAGTACTTGAGCTGATAGGAGATGTGATTGGAGTTCTGTTTTAGTGGTTACCAATATAGAAATGAGACAGAGTTTATAACTTAAAATAAGGAGTCACCTGGTAGAGGTCATGTCTGAACTTTTCAGGATAAATAAACTCTTCTTTGACCTCATCTGTTAGATACTCACTCATTCATGTAATAGATATAATTGTGTATGTATTTTATCTGAGGCACAGTGCTGGGCACTATGGTGAGAAAAACAGTTTGTGCTCTCATGGTGATTATACTCTAGCATGGGATACAGTCATTTATCAGTTGATCACACTAGTGAATGTACATTCCTGATGTCTGGTGATGACTAAGTGAGTATAGAAGAGATAAGATCAGAGACTGGCAGTTACCCATTATTAAGAGTGGGAAGGATAAAGAAGAGACTATTTCTGCTAACACAACTACTAGTAAGGAGATCAAGAAAAAGCAGTGTTTGAGGATCATAGGGGAAGGGAGGGAAAAATGAAACAAGATGAAATCAGAGGGAGACAAACCATAAGAGATGCTTGACCACAGGAAACAAACTGAGCGTTGCTGGAGGGGAGGGGGATGGGAGGATGGGGTAACTGGGTGATGGACATTAAGGAGGGCACATGATGTAAGGAGCACTGGGTATTATATAAGACTGATGAATCACTGAGCTCTGCCTCTGAAACTAATAATACGCTATACGTTAATTGAATTTAAATTAAAAAATAATAAATGAAAAAGCAGTGTTTAAGCCACAAGAAAAGTTATGAGAAAGCACCCATTTCTAAAACTGGGTAAATGAAGACTGTTTAAAAAAAATGGCATATATTTGCCAAAACAGTAGTTTTTGAGGGTGGAGGAGACGAAGACTAGTACAGGGCTTTCATCCTCTAGGACTCCCATCCTCTACGTTATTATGGCTTTAATCTCAGCTCAAATTCAACTTTTTCAGGGTTTTCTGAGTCTAGGTCAGGGCCTTTTATTATTCTCAAAGCACTGGCACTTCTCATTGTATGAATTATTGCAGTTGAGATTTAATAATTTATTTAACATATAATTGTTTAAAATGTCACTCCTGCTAGAATATAGACTACATGATGACAAGCACCATGTCTAGCATGAGAGCAGATAGACCGTTCCTTGCACATAAGAGGTGCTCAAAATATCCCTGGATAAATAATTGAATGTCTTCCTTCAGGAAAGTTAAAGAGCACCATGTTTCTTACTTCAGTATCATTCTAGACATGTAGATTAGTAAAAAGTAGTCTTGCAGATGGAGGATCAGAAACTTCTGATTGTGGTTTATTACTTAAAAACTAGTGTGTTGAATCTGGTTTTTTGATTCTCACTATAACTCTTACTTCTATTAGGAAAATATTTTCCTTTTTTTCCCTTTTTTCCCTTTTGTGTAGTTAAAATATTTAAAGGGAGCTTATAGAAATTTCTGTAAACTTGAGCAATAAAAAAACTTCATTTATTATGTCCAGTGTGAATTAGACTTTATAAATATTAGACTTTATGAAAACTCATATAAATTAGAGTTGATAGATAACTGTTATTCAGTCACATTGATTTTAGATTAATTTTTATATTAACTGTCCAATTTTTTGTATTTTAATTTTATAGGTTAATTTCACCTACCAGTTTTTGAAAAAGAAGTTCTATATATTCAGCCAATTTATGTATGATGAACATATCAAATCTCGATTGATTAAAGATATTCGGTTTTTCAGGGAAGTCAAGGACCAAAATGATCATAAGGTATTTTCACATATTCTTTTTAAGGTAGTTTGACTGAACTGTTGAGTGTATAGCAGATGTTTATGCTGAAGTTCATTATGAGACTCTGTAGTGGAGTTTTCTTTTTTTAGGTATTTTTCACAATAATGTCTCCTAGATCTGGCCTCCAAGTTTCTTGTATTTCCCCTTATAATATCTTACTCTTTGCATTCTCTGTAGGCCACAGTGTAAGGATCGGTATAGCCAGGTGTTAACTTTTCTTTCTTTATTTTAAATAACGCAGAAGCAAAACATGCTTACTTTGAAACATTTAAACAATATAGAGTGCATAAACTAAATGATCTCCCTCATTTCTCTTCCTCCCAATTCCATCTCTGGAGGCAGTTGCTGTTAACATTCTGATGTGATGCTTCTAGATGTCTGTGTGATAAACGTATCTATTTGCACCTACATGTACTGCTTTTTTTCCTAACAAAAATGGTGTAATACTACACACATTATTTTACAGTATACTTATCACAGTTCTCTACATATAGATCTGCCTCATTCTTTTTAACAGTTGATAGTAAAGATGTATACTATAACTTATTTAACCTTCTCCAGCTGACAGATGTTTAGGTTTTTCTGATTTTTTAGTGTTATTAACAGTACTGCAGGTAACATCCTTTACATATTTATCTGTGAATTTGGAGACTATTAAAATTCTGAAAGGTGAATTGCTTGAAGAGAAATTTCTAGGGCACAAAATAAGAATATTTAAAATTGTGATACATGTTGCTACACACCCTAAAAACACTGTACCAATTGATATTCCCATCCGTAATTTATAAGAATGCTGTTTTCCCTTCACCCTCTGGACTGAGTTTTGTAATAATGAAGAGAAATCTAAGTGGTACTAGTATAGAGGCCTGTAGCCGTGTGGATAGAGAACCAACATGATTATTAGGTGGGTTTTATATTTGATTTGCAGCATACATTCCTAGTAAAATAACTAATAAAATTATAGATTATAGTTATCAGAGAATTTAATTATCTCCTTTTTATTGGAATAAATTATATTCAGAGAAATAATCATTCTCTTGTTTGTAAGAATTGTGTCCACTTGCTATTAATATACAATGAGTAATTTCCTAACTCTTTTAATCAGCTGAGACGTGAAAAATCATTTTTTATTGGTGCAATTAGAAATTTTAGCTCAGCTAATGTGTATTATTTGGGAAGGAGTATGTTTATATATATAATACCTATTCAACCCACAGGAACTTGGTTGGACATCTCTGAAGAAATGTTTCTAGGAGGAATTGGTTTGTCTATCTAACAGAGTAGTTGGATGTTGGGAGACTAATAATGGTGGTGGAAAACTTAAATTTGGTGACTTTAATAATTATTTTCCTTAGCTATGGCAAAAAGAAATTTATATTGACCTTGAACATTGGTAGTTTTTGTGCTGTAAATTTTTTGTCATTAGATTTGAGTGGTTTTTTTAAGGACAATGACAAAATTAGGAAGGCAAGTGGTATTAGCATGGTTGATTTTATAGGCATTTTATGCTTTAGGGGTCTTTATTAATAAAGGTAGTCTTTAAATTATCTCTTTAGTATCCTTTTGAAAGAGCAGAAAAATTCAACCGTGGCATCAGAAAACTTGGAATTACCCCAGAGGGACAAAGCTACCTTGATCAGTTCAGGCAACTCATCAGCCAGATTGGTAAGTTTTATTATAAAAGAGTTGGGAAATAAAATACAAATTCCAAGAATCTTTCTCCTTAAATATCTCATATAAATAACTCAATATCTGAGTGCCTGAGATTGATTTTATTCCACTAGAGTAATGTTCTTACCAAAAGTTTTTCAAGTATGATTAGACTGTTGGTACAGAAATAATTGATACCCTGTGGACTAATATGTACCGAATAAAACCTCTTCAATTAAATTAAAAATATATTTAATTCATCTCAAATATCCTGCTCATAATAGTCAGGTGGTAACTATTAGGTACTTACCCTGTTCATGGCACTGCTTTGGGCTTTAGAAACTGGTTTCCTGGGGCACCTGGGTGGCTCAGTCATTAAGCGTCTGCCTTCGGCTCAGGTCATGATCCCAGCGTCCTGGGATCGAGCCCTGCATCAGGCTCCCTGCTCCGCAGGAAGCCTGCTTCTCTCTCTCCCGCTCCCCCTGCTTGTGTTTCCTCTCTCACTGTGTCTCTCCCTGTCAAATAAATAAATAAAATCTTAAAAAAAAAAAAAAAATCTGTTAGAAACTGGTTTCCTGGGTGCCTGGGTGGTTCAGTCGGTTAAGTGGCTGCCTTCGGCTCAGGTCATGATCCCAGGGTCCTGGGATTGAGTCCCGTGTCGGACTGTCTGCTCAGCACGGAGCCTGCTTCTCCCTCTCTCTCTGCCTGTGCTCCTCCTGCTTGTGCTCACTCTCTCTGTCAAATAAATAAAATCTTGGAAAAAAAAAAAAACCAAACTAGTTCCCTGAAGTTACAGCCTAAGTGCAAAGGTATAAAATAATTTATGTGAAAAGTTAATTAATATAAGTAAATAAGTTACATTACTTACAAATAAGTTTAATTAAAGATGAAATGTTAAGTATTATAATTTTCTGTGTTATATCCTTCCATATTTGTATATTATTTCTTGAGTTGTCCTGCCTCACAGGTAGAACTTGTCTTCTGAAATGTGTTATATTTAAAAGCAAGAACTACATTTAGTAATCAGAGATTAACAAAGCTGTACTTATTTGAGCTTTCCACACACATTATTTCTGGTAATGTCCTCACAAAACCCCTATGTGAGAGGCGTGTAATCATCATTTTAAAGATGAAAAAAGAGAAACTCAGAGAAATAGTGTTGCTAGGATTTAAACTGGGTTTTTTAACTTAAGTCTAAAGGTATTTTATCTTCTTCACAGTTGTAGACTCCCAAGCAGTTAGTAAATTCTTATTGACTACAATTTGGTAAAATTTTACTTCCTGAGATTCATTCATTTATCAAACATTTACCAGGAATCTGTTGTACCAAATACTCTTCTAGGTGCTGAGAAAAGAGATAGCCTTCATTCTCGAGGGGCTTTAAATTTACTAGTGGGGAAGATATTGGAAGGATTTAGTTCTGGAGTAAAGTTACTGAACACTAGCTTAAGCTTTATAAATTAATTGGTTTACATATTAGGCATTTCTATTATGTTATTAGTACAAGAACTTAAAGAATTTTACATTTGACTTTTTAAATTTTAAACAATTTAATAATGAGGTATTGTCCCACAAGTACAGTTTTCTTTGTAGAGACATTTGATGTCATATTAGATTGTAAACTTCTGGAGCAATAGATCTTAACCCTTTTTGAGAATCTGATGAAAACTCTGGATTGGTTTCCTCCAGAATCATATACTATACATACAGTTTTGCATGTTATTATACCAGAGTTCAGGTGCTTAAAGTTAGAGTCAATGGACCTCAGATTAAGAGCTGTTTTTCTAAAGCATTGTTGCTTAAAACTTCATTTATTTGCATACGAATGTCAGAGGTTTTTTTTTCCCACATGTGAGTACTGCTTGCCCTATTACTTAATGTTTTTATATTTTTAAGGTATAATTTTGTCTTATGAAATAATCTTTAATTATGAGCTTACTATGCTAGTCATTTTCCCCCAGTACACATCAAAATACACATATTCCCCCCCAATACACAAAAAATAGTGTCACCTCAGTTGCCACCAGGATGCGTTCAACATTTGGTGAATATTATCCTTTTCACTTTGTTCCAGGATTTTATTCTTTATTCTCTTCTTAGAAAATATAAATTCTCAATCTCCTTATAAAGCATAGTAATGTGTTTTTGAGTCTCTTAAATATCTTGAGAAAAAGAGTAAGAAATCTGAGAGTTGGGAGCAAAAGGAAAAGTCCTTTTGTCTAATAACCTGCCTGCTGACATAATCACCACAACCACTAACATTTATTGAGCATTTACTATGTGCCAAAGCTTTTCTGAGTGCTTTATTGGTTCTAATTCATATAAAACTCACAGTGCTATGGGTATTACTACTCATTCATTCTTCAGGTATTTATTGAGGACAACAAGGCATTAAACAAAATCTCTGCCCTGTAGAGCTTAATGAAATAGATGAGGAGACTGAGATACAAACTTTATAACTTGACCTAGATTTTCTTACTAAAAAGTGGCAGAGTCCATTGAACCCAAGAAGTCTCGCTTCAGAGGGTTCCTCCTAACTGTTGCTCTATACTTGCCTCTCACTAGCACATTTCAATCTGCCAGATATTGTTCTGCCAATTGTAGGAAAACAATGAAACCAGGTGTTTTATTTTTCTAAGATAGGTATTATCATCTGCATCTTAGAAGATGTATCTCTCATATTGGGATAAGCCTAAAATAGAGTAATACTTACTTTGAGAGTTGTTAAAAAAATTAGGTGAGATAGTGTATGTAAAGCATATATTACTGTAATGATTATGAAATATTAACTGCTTCTTACCTTTTTGTCCGTTCTTTCTCCCAACAAATTTCAGTTCATTTGAGCAATATACAGGTGACTCTTGAACAACATGTGTTTGAATTGTGCAAGTCCTCTTATATGCAGATTTATTTGGATGAATATAGTGCAGTACTGTAAATGTGTTTTCTCTTATGATTTTCTTAACATTTTCTTTTCTCTAGCTTTATTGTAAGGACACAGTATATAATATACGTAACATACCAAAAATGTGTTAATTGACTATGTCACTAGTTAAGGCTTCCGGCTAATAGTAGGCTATTAGTAGTTAAGTTTTGGGGGAGTCAGAAATTATATGCAGATGTTCAGCTGTGCGGATATGGGGGGTTCGGCGCCCCTAACTCCCATGTTGTTCAAGGGTCATCTGTACTATTGAATTCCTACTATGTGCCAGGATATGTTGGCTCTAGGGATGGAGCAGTGAGAACAGAAGCTCTGTCAGGGATTTTGCATGCCAGTTGGGAGAGACACAAATAAAAAGATACAGAATATGTCAGTGTCAAGTGTTGGGTAAGGAGATGTAATAGTTTTGGGCAGTGCCGTTCGGTGATGTTCAATGTAAGCTCTAAGGAGGTGACATTTGAGCATAGACCTAAATAACATCAGGGAATAAGCCATGTGCATATTCAGGGAAAGAGCATATCAGAGAGAGGTGACAGTAAGTGCCAAAGTCCTGAGTCTGTTTAGCATTTTTGGGAAATAGGGGCCGGAATGGAGGAGTTAGTAAAGTCCTGAGTGGTGGGGCAGGATATCAGAACAGTAGCAAGGGGCAAGATCACACAGGGCTTTGTTGACCACATAAGAGATTTGGATCTTATTGAGATGGAAAGCCATTGTAGAGTTTTCAGAAAAGGAAAGGATATGTTCCAACTTAGTTTGAAAAGAACCATCAGCGCTGCTGCTATGTAGATATAAGATTGGGAGGTAGGATGCTGAAGGTGGAAGGAGGGAAATCAGGAGGTCTTTACATATTGCAGAGGTATAGGCAAGAGATGTATTGGTTTGGTATAGGGTCATAGCTATGAACATGAAAAGTGGTGGGATTCTGGCTACATTCTGAAGGTAGAGCTAGTATAATTTGCCCATTGATTAGATGTTAAGTATGAAAGAAAGAAAGGAGTCAGGGATGACTTGAAGACATTTTGCCTGAGCAGTTGAAAGGATGGAAATGTCAGTTTCTTTGAGATAGGAAATATAACAGGGTGAAGGTCTTGAGTTTGACTTGAACATATTAAATTAAAATTTTTTCTTAGTCATGAAGGCATAGGCATTGGATTAAAAAACCGGGAAGAGTAATCCAGGCTGGAGGTATAATTTGGAGGCGTCAAATAAAGATTTCTTGATATCATTTCCAATTGCATGTGTGCGGGTGGCGAGGGGAGGAAAGAGAGAGGGAGGCACTCGATGTGATAATGAAGAAATTATTGACTATGTTTTTTAAAAATGTAGTCATTTAATGAAATTGTTTATCAAATGTCAGTCACATTTATTTTTTGATACAGCTGTGTATAAGTATATATATTTATATTTTAGGCACACTAATATGTAAGTTTTACTTTTATGGAGCAAGAACTAAAGTAAAGCAGAAAAGAATCCTTTGGTACTTAAGAGTGGTGAAACCTGGTAATTGACTGCTATATATGACTGTATTCCTGACTGTTAGCGTTTAGAGTTATTTCTATAAATATCTGATGTGTGTGTGTGTGTCATTTTTAAGGTAACGCGATGGGCTATATACGGATGATAAGATCTGGTGGCCTCCACTGTAGCAGCAACGCCATCAGGTATGGATGGGTGCAAACGTCGTTTTTGCCTTGCTTATGCCATTTAAGAATTTTATGTCATTTAAATTTATCTTTATTGTAGTTGATATTGTAGACAAGTGTTTTCTTATTGCTATATTTTGAGATAAAATATGGAAGAAAACCATTAATTCTACTGGTTAAATTTTTTTTCTTGAATTTTAACACTGTAGCAGATCTCTGAAAATCTTTCTCTTAAAGTTACAGTTAACCTATCAGTACAGTTTGAATGGTTCTAAAGATTACATGACTTTAAGGATTAGAATTTGATTATTCATATCTAAAAGACAATTTTAGAATTTAATTGGTTATATTAATAATAGAACTGAAATGCCAAGTTCTTTCCAAATATATAGTTGAAAAATTTAGCCTTACAATACCACTTTCATATCTATGTCAGTTGTACATATTTAATAAAATTATTTCCCAATTCTTAGATTTGTGCCTGATCTTGAAGATATTGTAAATTTTGAAGAACTAGTAAAAGAAGAAGGTCTTGCAGAAGAAACATTAAAAGCAGCAAGGTAATCTAATTTTGAAATAATCTAAATTTGGAGACTTAAAAAGTATATGTTTATAATAAAATCATCTTAAAGGGAAGATTAGAGGGGCACCTGGGTGGCTCAGTTGTTAGGCGTCTGCCTTCGGCTCAGGTCATGATTCTGGGGTCCTGGGATTGAGCCCCGCATCGGGCTCCCTGCTCCGCGGGAAGCCTGCTTCTCCCTCTCCCACTCCCCCTGCTTGTGTTCCCTCTCTCTCTGTGTCTCTCTCTGTCAAAATAAATAAATAAAATCTTTAAAAAAATAAAGATTCTCTCTCTCCCTCTGCCCCTCCGCCACTTGTGCTCTTGCATGCTCTCTTGTTCTCTCTTTCTCAAATTAATAAACTAATAATGGTAGAAATTGATTATAACACATTGAGTAAAGAACTTAGGAGCCCCAGTGATGGTAAGAAAGGAGCAGAGGGAAAGTTCTTCTTTACAGAAGAATGCCAGCGAATCGATACAGAATGGATGAGAAAATCTAGGGAGAAATCACTGTTTTGCAACCACCACTCTCATGCTTGAAACCAGACAAAAATCATCAGTAAAACCGTTTTGAAGAACAGAGTATTCGTTCACTAGCAGAAGATTATCCCACAAATTGCTTAATAACCCCAAAAGGGAGCTATCTTTAGAGAGATTGATGTATTCCGCCAAACGATCAAGCATAGCATCACCAGTTAACAGGACACACTGACATTATGGGGCCTCCTGATGCAGTGTAATGGCAAATACCCATGTTGTGTTCTTGCCAGAAAGATTTACTCTGAATTTCTTATGTGGAAACCATCTGAGACATTCAGAGTGTGGGGCATTCTATAAAACACCTGGCCTAGACTCTTAAAAAATGTCACATGTCATAAAGGACAAAAAAGGCAAGGAACTCTTCTAGATTAGGAAACTGAAGAGATCTGATGACCAAATGCAGTAGGTAATCCTTAATTTATCTTCGATGAGGAAAAAAAAACATTTGGGGGATAATTGAGGACATCAGAGTTTATGTACATTAGATAATACTGTATTTTATTTTGGGGTGTAATGATATATTGTGGCTTTGTAAGAAAATGTCTTGGTTCTTAACAGATTCATATTAAAGCATTTGTGGGCTAAGTGACATGGAATCTGCCAACTTGAAATGTTTTGGGAAAAAGAAAACAAATGTGGCAGATGTTAAATGGTGAATCAAGGTGAGGGGTAAATAGGTGTCCAGTACACTATATTTTAACTTTTCAGTAGGCTTAAAATTTTTTTTAAATGAAAAGAAATGGAAAATGTGTGTGCATATTTATGAGAATAAGGCCCCAACACAAGATTTGCTTTGCAATAGTCTATTAGGTAGCTTAGTTTTTTGCCAAATTAAAGAAGCCATGTACAGTTAATAATATATTTAAAGTCCTGTGCCCTGAAATGATTAGTTTGTGGCTTGTATGTCAAAGAAGAAAATCAGACTGTTATTCTTATTAAATGATGTCATTCATTTAAAAATTGATGACATTTAAAAAATATTTTTGAAGCAGTTCCAGGAGGTCAGAGAGGTGGGATAATTGTCTTTTAAGATCCCTAGGGTAAAGCTGTCTGCTAATAGCAAGGTCCAGATCCATGCAAAGGAGTGGATGACTGACATCAAGTGAAGGAAAGTTCATGGCAGGTGAAGTCAAGAAGTTGTGGAATTATGATAATGAATTGATTATCTAAATGAGCAATGAAGTCTTCCAGAATGATAGCGAAAATACATATTATAGTCTGAGATAAATAAAAGTAGGGCAGTGGTTTAAAAGGAAAACTGCTTTCAGGAAGGAGTAGTTAGGTAGTGGATATAGTGGGATCACGTGAGTCTCAAAGGAGAGATTCCTACCTTTTAGTGGTGGGGGAATAATTTGAAAGTGGTGGTAGGTATAAATGATGGATGAAGGAGAAAAAGCAGCTTATGTTTCTGAACATTAAGTGGGAAGCTAAGTTCTTGAAAAGGAGCCAGATTTCAGTTGAGGTAGGGAGGTACAGAAGAAGCATTAGTGAAGACAGTTAAAATGAAGAGGAATTTATTTAAATGTAATGGAGGGGCGCCTGGGTGGCTTAGTCGTTAAACATCTGCCTTCGGCTCAGGTCATGATCCCAGGGTCCTGGGATCGAGCTCCACATGGGGCTCCCTGCTCGGCGGGAAGCCTGCTTCTCCCTCTCCCACTCCTCCTGCTTGTGTTCCCTCTCTTGCTGTCTCTCTCTCTGTGTCAAATAAATAAAATCTTAAAAAAAAAAAAAACCACAATGTAATGGAATTCTACAGGACTTATTGTGGGCAGAAGAAATACAAAACTTAAGTTCTAAGATGCTCTACATATTTTATATTAGGGACTAAGTTAATTAAGCAATAGTGATCAGCTTTTTTTTTCATATGGAAATGAGTTCATTCTGAACTCCAAGGAAATTGACTTAGAAATGTCTTACAATGTTTTATACTTTTGAGTACTCTCATCTAAGGTGATAAGAGATGGATTTAAAAAGTCATATCTTCTTGGGGTGCCTGGGTGGCTCAGTCGGTTAAATGTGTGATTTTTTTTTTTTTTTTTTTTAAGATTTATTTATTTTGCAGAGTGGCGGGGAGAGCAGAGGGAGAGGAAGAGAATCTCAAGCAGACTCCCTGCTGACCATGGAGCCTGAGGTGGAGCTCGATCTCATAACCCTGAGATCATGACCTGAGCTGAAATCAAGAATTGGGAGGCTTGGGGTGTCTGGGTGGCTCAGTTGGTCTGACTCTTGATTTCGGCTCAGGTCATGATCTCAGGGTTATGAGATTGAGCCCCATATGTCAAGCTCCATGCTGGGCGTGGAGCCTGCTTAAGATTCTCTCTATCCCTCTGCCCCACTTCCCATCTCCCCACCCTCGCCCACGCGTGGCGTGCGTGCACACACTCTGTGTCTCTCTCAAATAGATAGATAAATTAGATAGATGAGATAGCCATACCTTCTTCTGAGAAAGGAACCAGGTAAATAATGTTTTGTATTTTAGGCATTTGGATTCAGTCCTCAGTGATCACACACGAAATTCTGCTGAAGGCACGGAGTATTTCAAAATGCTTGTAGATGTTTTTGCTCCAGAATTTCGAAGGCCAAAGAATATACATCTTCGAAATTTCTATATTATTGTTCCCCCTCTGGTGAGTATTTTTAGTACCCAAAGTGAATTTTTTTTAAAAAGTTAGTAAATAGATCCAGTTTCTTTGTAGCAGGAAATGCACATAGTAGACTATATTACTTTCTGGTTGTAGAAAAGCTAAATGTGATTTCAGGGAAGGTGGCCTGGGAATTTTACTTAACTAGCTATGCAGAATGAAACTTACTTTACAGTTGAGATGGATTTTTATTTGTTAGTAACTGCTAGAAAAATCTAGTGTTATTTAAATTGAGTGTACTCCATTATATATACACCATATAATCTTTGGGCTGATTATACCATATAATCATTTTAAGTGATTAATGTAGACTAACTTCTGTTACAATATGAAGTTATTTCTCACACGTGTCTTAAAAGTATTACTGTTTAAGGACAACTTCTCTCTATACAGTAGTAAATACTAACATCTAGATTCAATTTTAAGTGCTTCCTCATAGTATATATCGTGTGTCCTGCTCAGTTCTGTATAGTTGTCATCCAAATAGAGCTCAGGATACTCCAAATCACATCATACAGACAGTTGGAGTGGGGAAAACGGAGTTAAGAGAGAGAGCGGCATACTAGCAGTAAGAGTTACGTTGCCCTAAAGATTTCTATAATAATACTGTTTTTTAAAAAAAAATTGTAAATGGGTAGCTCTAACATCTAAATATCACTAGACAAATGTGGCTTTTGATTACATCTAACTTTGATAAAGAGTAATAAATTTTCATATTGCTGCCTGATTTGTTAACGTATCTTCTTACATATTATTACCATGGTTATCCTTTGGAAGTAGAGGATGGTGTGTGGACAGCTTTTTTCTTTGTAAATGTTCTTTTCTGCTGTTTTTAATATGTTTATTGTTAATGCTCCATCATAATTGTTAATGCTTTATCATAATTATATGTTGTAACTGTGATGTAGCAAGCATCATCTTTTCATCCTAAAATAGTGTCAGACTGGAAGCAAATCTTAGTTATACTTGGATAACAGTGTAGTTAACTTAGGGTGACCTCATCATATTTTTTTAATTTGAAGGACAGTATACTGAAGCCACAGTAAATAACAAATTGTGAGTTTACAGGAGAGTAGAGTTTTGCAGGGCAGCTGTCCGAATTCAGTTAGTGATGGGTGGATGGGTAGCACTACCGGGAAGTATAGGACACTCTTCTTGTGCTTGAGTTTATCATCTAATTCCAGAAAAAAGACAAACATAAATGAGCTATCTAAAAAAAAGATTTAAATAATAGTTGGTAGAGATTTCACAAATCTGTGATTAATTGCCCAGTGAGTTTTACAGGCAAAAAAAGTGAAACTTGGTGTTTTTGTTTCCAGCATCAGCTATTATAGTACCTTCCACGGTGTATCACAATTATTCCTAAACATGTCTCTCTTTACCCCTCTAGAGCTGTGCTATCCATATATAGCCATAAGTGGCTACTTAAATTTAAATTAATTCAAATTTTATAAAATAACAAATCTAGTTCCTCTGTTTTGCTAGCCACATTTCAAGTGCTCAGTGGCCATATATGGCCAGGGGCTTACTGTACTGGACAGTAGGATACACAGCATTTCTGTCTTTGCTGAGAGTGCTGCTCTAGAGTGTGTACTCTTTGATGGTATTCCTTTTTTTTTTTTTATCATAATTAATGCCTGGTATATAGTAATCTTTAGTAAATCTTTGTTGAATAAATGATAAGGTATTTTGTAGGAGCTGAATTTTTAGGGAAGCAGTTTTTGGAGGAATTCATTTATCCAAATAACTACTAATTCATTTTAACCAAGAATATGATAAGAAATAGTGTTTTAGGATGAAGTGGGTGGGCAGAAGCAAGGATTACCACCCATAAGAGCACTTAACGCTTTGAAGTAAACAAAGCATACCTACTTTTCTGACTCCAGCTTTCACTTAGAGTATGGCTTTGGGCAAGTTACTTAGCCTCTCAAGCCTCAGTGTCCTCATCTGTAAAATGTACATAATATTTTATGAGGAACCATATACAAGGCACTGTGCTTGGGGTAAGTGGTGATCGGTGATCGAGAGTGCTCATTGTTAAAGGATTCGGAAAGAAAAGCCATTAAAAGATACTGGTACAGATTGTGATCTCACCAGGAGGCTATTTATATGAGGAAGATGTCTCAAATCAAAAGGACAGGAACCTAGAAGAGATCCTGTTTATAATTTTTGAAATGTCTGTTTTTAGGAACTAAATTCTGAAGATATTTTAGCACAGTTGTTTCTCTAATATGTTATGTCTTTTTAGACCCTCAACTTTGTAGAGCATTCCATTAGCTGCAAGGAGAAATTGAATAAAAAAAATAAAATTGGAGCTGCTTTTACTGATGATGGCTTTGCCATGGGTAAGCTTAATGGAATTGTTTTTCCATTAGTTTTATGTTTGCCTATTATAATGGATTTTTAGAAACATTTGCTTAATAGGTCTGTGTGCTCTTTGTAGATTCGTTTTTTCCTGAGCAGTGTTACTCTTTATTTTTTAACTAGGTCATCTGATTAGTAGTACTTGTTTTCCATCATTTTATAACTATCATTCATGCCCCCTTGGTATTGCTAATCACTTATTCTCATTGGACCTCATATTTAGACTTTGTTGTGGTGGTGGTTTTAGAGTTTTAGCATCTTGTGTAGAGTTTCCCTGCAGCTTCCTCAGTTGCTGGCTGTTTAGCAGTGGAGGTTTTTCCGCAACCTTCCATCCATGTTCTCGCTAAGTGATTTTCATAGCCTTGTTGTTTCTTTTTTTCTTGACTGGTTTATTTTTAGTTCTTTATACTTTTGTATCTTTTTTTAAAGGAGTAGAATACAACTTCTGTACTCTTTGTCATTTAGCTTTGGTTTTGCTAATGACCGCAGGTGTGGCTTACATTTTGAAGCTTTTGGATCAGTACCAGGAATTTGACTCACTTCACTGGTTCCAGTCTGTTAGAGAGAAGTACCTGAAGGAGATAAGAGCAGTTGCTAAGCAACAGAATGTACAGTCAGCTAGTCAAGATGAAAAACTGCTACAAACCATGAATCTCACTCAGAAGCGCTTGGATGTCTGTCTACAGGTAGAGGAGAATAATAGTCAAATCTGCTTGATATCTGAAAAAACAAATCCTATGGAAACCCCCTTTTAAACAAGTGAAACAAATAGTGGTAATAAGTGTATTTTAGAAGAATGGCATTTGGAAGCCATTTGATTCCATATTAAAAATGGATGGGATTACTTCTTTTTTTTTTTTTTTTTTAAGATTTTATTTATTAGAGCACGAGCAGGGTGTAGGGCAGGGGGAGAGGGAGGAAACAGACTCCCTGGCTGAGCAAGGAGCCCGTCCCAACCTGACCCAACCCAGGGCTCCATCCCAGACCTGGAGACCATGACCTGAGCTGAAGACAGCTGCTTAGCAGTGGAGGTTTTTCTGAAACCTTCCATCCATGTTCGCTCTAAGAGAGAACCAGGGGCCCCTAGTTCAGTTTCTGTATTTATGATTTACAGGAGAGCTTTTTAGAAGTTATAGATCTATAATAATTTTAATATTTTGCTATAATAAATATTTTCAGCTTTTATTTTACATTTTTTTATTTACTTAGGAATTTGAATTGCTCTATTTCTCACTGAGCAGTGCAAGAATTTTCTTCAGAGCAGACAAGACTGCGGCTGAAGAAAACCAAGAAAAGAAAGAGAAAGGTCAGTGAGTGGCTTAAATTTGGAAAGACCAATAAATCTTTAGTAGTAGCCGCTAATGCCCCATTTTATCCGGTCAGAATTCTAGCTTCCTTTTCCTTTTGGAAAATAATTTAGACCTAGAAATGCCTTAAAAAAAAAAAAAGTACAGCCTACATGGATCATTTGTGAAACCGAACAGAAATGTATATAGCTTTTACATTTCCGTCTGGGGTAACTTTTTATTCAGTTTCATCTTTTCTTAAATAAAATTTAACACGTTTTTTCTTTCACCCTTCAACTTGTGTCTGAGAAGAAGGAACAGATTAGGAGGAACCCTAAATGTTTTCTGAAGGCAGAGCTGCTGATAACTAGACACAGACTGAATGAGATAGGACGGGGGACTGAGGAGGTAGTAAAACAGTAGGGGCTCTGTGTAGTGTCGTGGGTAAAGGCCTCCTGCTCTCCAGCATAGCCAGAGTCAGAGCGCAGTGTAGCCCTGATAACTGATTGTCATATCCGTGAACTTGAGTCATTACGGGAAGGATTCTGTCCATTGTATTCTTTGTAGGATGGTGTAAATTGCTTATTTCATACTTAAGGACTCCTATGATACGTTTCTGTCAGATTTAAAATTTAGGAACAGTTGTCTTCCCTGAAGAATGGATGTTTCCTCTTTTCTGTTACAGAAATTATGTAACTTAGTTTTCCTTTTTGCTCAGAAGCTCAAAACTAGATACAGCAACTGAGTTGAGTTTTTACGTTTGCCCTTTTTCCTGTTTTCTTACTTGTATTTCACAAATCAGGGCGTAAAACTTGTATTTCATAAAATAAGATGATTTTATTAAATTTTAAAATATATATATTTTTTACACTGAATAGAGGTGATTCTTTTGGGTAGACCACTTATATCAAGTATCTATTCCCAGATAATGTTGCATAAATTAAATACTATGTTAATAATTAGGATATGCAGGCATTTTTGGAATCTAGACTAAGTAATAATTATGTGCTTGAAAGTGATTTCAGGCTATTACCTGGAAGATGTTCAGTATTTATTACATGAAAATATGTATATATTCTGTTTGGGTCCTTTTCCAAGGCTAAAGTAGATTGGAAGAATTTGAGTGAGGTTGATCTAAATTATGAGGAAATTCAGTTATTGCTTAGGTTCTGCTCAGGCGTTTCCTGCCAGAAGCTTGTCTCCAGCGGAGCTTACTGGGAAGACTCTGTAGGTGGATTAGATATTTACTTTAAGGCCTAAAGCATTAAGGCAAAACAGATGAACCTTTCTGTCTCAGTGGAACTCCTTGCTTTGGACTGTTCTTAACGAACTCTGTGATTCTGGCTGATGCGTAGTGCCCACATGCCCAGGTTCTTCTGTTTTGGGGCTCTTAGTTCAGCGTTGCTCAGATGTGTAGTCGGAGTTGCAGGAGACATGAGATAGTTTTCCTCCATTAATGAAACATGTGCCTGTGACATTTTGCATGAAAAAACAGGAATTCATTTTATCACAATCACAGTAAAAAGCTGCTTTAAAAAATAAATCATAAACACAAATGGGAAGTTATGTATTCTGGACAGTTTTACATGTGCATTTGCAGCAGTGTTTCTCTCAGTGACAGCAGTGCACTCTAATAGTGGTTTGTTGGCCTGGCTGGGGGACCAGCCGAGAGGCAGCGTGCCTTCAAACGTGCCAGCGAGACTCCCCGCCCCCCCCCCCCCCCGCCCCCCAGATGCAGTTCTCATTTCTCACAATTCGACACCCCTAGTAAGTACCGGCCAGAACATTACATTTGCAATAGTTAGCTTAGATTTCTTTCTTTTTTTTTTTTTTTTTTAAGATTTTATTTATTTATTTGACAGACACAGCGAGAGGGAACACAAGCAGGGGCGGAGTGGGAGAAGGAGAGGCAGGCTTCCTGCTGAGCAGGGAGCCCGATGCGGGGCTTGATCCCAGGACTCTGGGATCATGACCTGAGCCGAAGGCAGACGCTTAACGACTGAGCCACCCAGGCGCCCCGTCAGCTTAGATTTCTAAAAAATTAAGGTAAATACACTCGACATACTTTAGGGAACTACTGTTAGGGAACTATTTGGTAGAAGCCCATTTTCTTAATTTGCAGTTTAGTAATTCAGTCCTTCTCAATTTTTACTTAATTCATTTTTAAAAAATGAACATGTATCTGTCCATTGTTATTTTCACCCATGCTTCCAGAAGAGACAAAAACAAGCAATGGAGACCTGTCCGACAGCACTGTGTCTGCAGATCCTGTGGTCAAATGATACTGATGGTATGTGTTGCCCCTCTGAGATCATCAGGATTGTGTCAGGACTGTTGCTGGTGAAATGAGGTTAATGAGCTAATGATGAAGTGGGTCGTGGGCCACATCTCTGGTAATCGGTGGATGTTGCAACTCTGTAAAGCAGTGCTCTAAAGTTAAGTCTGTTCTTCTTCCAAAGGCTCTATCTACTTTTCAAAGGTTGAGAATGAGGTTTTAAATTGGATTTTTGCCTGGACTTTAGGCTAGCAGATGTGCCTGTGGAGAGTCCTGTGAAGTGAAGCCGTGGAAGGGCCACTCCGGATTCCTAAACTGCTGCCTCAGAGCTCTTGTAACCTGCGTGAGGGTTTTTCATTTGTATTTGCATAGGTCTTGGATCCATTTTTGTCTCAGTCATTGGAAATTCAGTGCATATGCTATGTACAGCCAGCAAATACATGTTTAAACAAAATGAATGAAACCTGAAATTGATGAAGCATACATATCAATATTCTTATAACAGGAATATGTAAAGGTGGTTTTGATAGTAGAGGTGAGGCACAAGTATGTTACGTACCTTTAATGTACAGTGTAAAACTGATTCACTGTTACTTTCATGTGACTCACGAGAGCTGTTAATGTCTTTGGTAAGACATTTTATAACTAGTTTACATTGCTTTGAAAACATGTAACCTCCAACAACTGCTTTAAGACTTACTTAATACTCAAGATGAAAGAAAATTCAGAGAAAGCCATAAGAGTCCTGCTTGAAGCTTCACTTTTGGTTGAAGGCACTACGTATGATATCAGAGAAAATTATACGGATTTTTATTTTCACATCCAAACTCAGGTTTCTTCTACATGAGGTTGAATTGAAATCTTGGTGATAGTTTGGGCAGACTTTTTCTTTAAACCAAGTATAATCTAAGACATCAGATTAAGCACTGTGCAGGCTTTTTAAAAATTACCACTGTGACAATAAAGTTCTAATAACTTAAATCATTTACTGATTTAAAAAGTACAGTAAGATTTTGAGTAAATTTAGTTCCTGGCAGGCTACTAGCTTTATTTTTGTAAAGATTATGTCAGTTAATAATTAAATGGTTAATCATGACCTATATATAATCTTTTAATATGATACAGTGATACTTTTACAAAGAAAACAAAGTTTAAAACTGTACACGTAATACATCATTTGGGAAATACTTGATTTTTCCATTGCACTTGCCTATTAAGCATTTCTTTGGGTATATCCTGCAAGGAATTCTAACGTTGTTTGATTTCCAGCTTTTGGAACAGGTGTACAATGCCCTATCTGTATTCATTGGTTACTGGCAGGGTAACTTTCCCAGCCCAAGATAAACACTTCACTGTTCAGTCAGAAGAAACAGAATAGGTAGAAAATGGTTTTTGTTTATTATGTAAACATGACTTACAGAATTCTGTACAATGGATGGATTAAAGGCATTTAATATTTGTAATTCATACTAACTGTAGAAATGGCCCTAAAGCATGCTGCATAACTAGTAATTTATATTTTCATTATTATAAATGTTATATTAATGATTTTGCTTTGATTGCATCAAATTCGTCACCATTTCATAGCAACAATATTGTTCTGTTTTTTTCCTCTGACTTCCCTAAAACAATCTCCTTTAATATGGATAGAAATTGTCATTGGAAGAGAATCCAGTGTCTCTGTTCATTATCCCCACATATCAGTTATTATCGATTTTGTGAATACTGTGTAGAGTTCATATGCTGACTCCATGGATATGTACATTGAGAAGAGAGTGATTATTATTTTGCCATTAGTTCAAAATAATGTCACTGCAGTCTGGATAAGTTACACATATTTGAAATAAAATCTCTGAAAAGATTAAGCATACTTAAATGCTATTAAAGTGCAGAGCAGTAGGGCTTGAGTGTTTCACACCATTTAATACACACATTTAGATGATGGTTTTCTTTGCTAACATATTGTTAAATATTGTTTTCAGACATACTGTAATTTAAAATTAGTGTGAGCATTTGTTGTAAATTTACAAAAAAATTCAATAATGTTCAAATTCTCAGGAATTAAGGACTAACCATAACTTTGTCAGTTCTAATTAAGTTTGTAAAGGATGGCAAGTTTATTACTTCACTTGAATGGGGCTCCCCCAATTCTAAGAAAATATATGTATAATAAAACATTAATAAATACAGTTTTAATAATTTACTTCCCCTGGATGTTTATGTTCAAAATTGAATGTCTTAAACCAGTACTTCTTAACATTAACCTTTTTGGAGTTCCCTCTAATAAAATATAGGGAATCTATCTTTAAAAAAAATCCTTGCATGCACATAGGCAGAAATTTCAAGTATAAAATTGGTATTGGTTCCTCTCTATATATCCCAGGTGAAGAACTCGTACTTTCCTTTGTACATTCTTGATCTTTCCATTGCTTGCTATTTTCAAATAAAAAGAACCCACATGAATTTTTATTTTGAATCCTATTCCTGGGAAGGGATCCTTGGTTTACAGTGTTTAATGTTAGAAAAACTATTGCCATTTACAAACATGAGTTGAACTGAAATGGTAATAATAAATGAGAGCCTTTTAAATACAGTTGACCCCTGAACAGTATGGGTTTAAACTGTGTGGGTCCACATACATGCAGTTTTCAAAAATAAATACAGTATAGTATGATAAATGTATATTTCTCTTCCTTACGATTTTAATAGCATTTTTCTCTAGCTTTATTGTGAGAACATAGTATGTAATACAAATAACATATATAATGTGTTCATTGTAAGGCTTCCAGTCAACAGTAGGCTCTTAGTTAAGTTTTTGGGGAGTCAAAAGTTACATACAGGTACTTGATTGCATGAGGGCTTGGTGCCCCTCACCTCCGTGGTGTTCAAGGATCAGCTGTACTACCCTGGAGAAATTGTTTTTGGTAAAGTCTGGTTGCTGCTCCTTTGCTCTTCTGAGGTAGTAAATTTGTAAGATTGGGGGAAAGGTGGGATAATACCATCACATACATTATCCTGTTACTTTTTGATGGCTAAATGTAAAAAGATTTTAACTAATTTTAACTAATTTTATTTTTTTTCCAGCTAAAGTTTGAAGTTTCATACTGATGGTATTCCTTTTAAGAAAGTTTTAACCCTACAATTTCAAGTTTTTAGATGTTAGGAAGACTTTAACAGGTTATTAGAGATTTCAGATTAAAAAAAAAAAAAAGGATCCAGAAGAAGTGCACATCTGTAGAGATTAAATGAACATCAGGCAGTGAACTCAGAGAAGGTGATGGCAAAGTTAGTGCTTAATTTATACAAAAAAGTTCTTATGTATAGTGTATACAAAGTCAATTTGGGCAAATATGTGGATACTCTGTTTGCCTCTCTTTACTATAAAACGCGGCTTACCTGACAGTCCAGTTGTTCCCATTAGTGGAGTCACACTCAGCAAAGGAGTTGAAATTTATCTTCTGATCAGTGTAGATCTGATGTCATAATTCTGGGATCATCTTTAAAGGCTATACATTATCTAGTGTATGTAAGGTCTTTGTGTAGTGAAACATTCTTTAGTAATGCCTCATTATCATTAAAGTGAGGGGGAAAGTTAACATTTTTGTATCTAGAAACCTATCTATATTGACTTTATAGTATTTTATCATTTCAGAATTGGCACAAAAGGTTAACAAGGCATTGGAGATGCTAACTTTAAATTGATATAATTACTGAATATCAGAATAATCTTCAAAAGTTTACGTACTAATAAGTACTGATGAGAAAAGTGTTTGCTAATTGCGGTCTCTGGTTTGTCACAGAGCAGCAAGAAGCATAGGCTTTGGAGCCAGACTGATGCGAATCCTGATTTGGCGCCTAACAGCAGGTTCTTAGCCTCTCTCTGCTTCATTTTCTCGGGCATAAGATGACCTAATAGTATAGAACTCACAGATTGAGGATTGAGTTAATTTGTGTAAAGCACTTTATAGGTTAGGAAACAGCAACTACTATAAACACTAGCTAGCTATTATGATTGTTCATAGGCAGAAATGCACTTGGCATACAGCTGTTAGCTTTAGTATTTTTACTTTTACTCTTTTAGGTGGAAAAGCTTGAGGATAAACAGTATGTGACTCTGAGTGGCTCTCATAAAAACTATTCCTTTTTAAATGGCCAGCTAAGTGTAGCCAATGGAAGGGAAGTCTTGCACTTCTTAAAAAAGGGTAGTCTGACAGGTGGCTAACCAACCAGACGCAATGCTGGGAAATGAAGATTGGTGCGAATAGCTGGCTAAGAAAAAGGGTCCCATTTTCCCACCTTTCATTTACATGACACTTGTTAATTTTTCATAGTGTGTTCATTTGGTAAATTTGAAGAAAGGGCAAGTTATCTACTGTTTCTAAATTTTAAAATTATTTAAAAATACATAACATATGCAAAAGAGTATATAATATATGGAGAATAAAAATGGAACACTTCAGTAGCCACCATGTAGGTTCAAAACCTGTTGCTCCCACCTCAGATGCTCCCATTGTTCCTCCTCAGATCTCGGCTCCCTTTTCCATCCAGAGGAAACCACAATGCAGAATTTTGGTGGTAACTATTCCTTGCTTTTCTCTAGTGTCATAACCTATCTGTATTTTTTCTAAATAACGTGGTGGTTGGTTTGTTTTTTACAGTTAATATAAATGGATTCTTACTATGTAGCTTATAAGACTTGCAGTATTGTTGCTGAAATCCATCCATGTTGATGCATTATAGCTATAGTTCATTTAGTTTTACTTCTCTAGTATTCAGTTAATGACATGTGGGTCATTTCCAAATTTGGGATACTGTGAACAGGGCTACTGTAACCGTTACTGTACATGTCTCTGGGTATATGTGTTAAGAGTTTTTCCACGGTTGTACCCACAAGTGAATCTGCTACGTAGCAGGGCCAAGTACAAGAGCAATGGATACAATGCCAGGCTTCTCCCACCCCAGCAGTGGAGGAGGCTTCCCATCACTCCATCCCCACCAACAGCCACATTTCTACCGGTCTGGTGAATATGTAATATTGCAGTGGTTTTACTTTGCATTTCCTTGATTATTACAGGAAATTGAACATATTTCCATTTCAAAACCCTTTTTATTTTTTATTCTATGAAATGCCTTTATGACTTTTTGTTTTGTTTTTAATGTATTTTATATATTCTGGGTACTGATTTTTTGTTGGTCATTTGTGCTTGCTTAATATGCTCTGTTAATTTTGTGTTTTCATTCTCTATGTGTTTTTTTCCCCCCTCTGTGGTTTTTTGATGTTCGTTTTAATGTACTGGATTTCAGTCTTTTTTTTTTCTTATGATTTGCATGCTTTGCCACAAATTTTTTTAAAGTTTTATTAGTTTCTAACAATATTGTTCATGACTAGATTCTTCTCTCCCACCCTGAACAGTGCTAAGCAAGAAAAAAATTCAGGGGATTGTGGCTCTTGCCACCTATCAGAGAACTTACTGATTTAATGTGGTTACGATATACAACTTTTGTAAGGCATTCGTTAACACCGAACTAATAATTTCATGGTATATCTCCTGCTGGCTTAGATCAGTTCACTTTGTCTCTAATGGTACACATGCTATGGAAGTGGATTCCTGATGACCCTGTAACAATTCTGGATTACAGAAATTGTTCTGTTAATCCACCATTTTAAAAGCAATACCTTTTAACAACTTGGCACTGAGATCACATTATTCCATCGATGTTGAGTAGAAGTATTTGATGGTACATCCCTCTCTGCTGTGATTTCATTATGCCCTATTTTTTTGGAAATTAACAGTGAAGCTATAGAACTGACTTTAGTTTTCTTCCAAGGATGTTCTAGAAAATAACCATAAAAAGCAAAAGAAAGAAACAGAATGATAGTTTTTATTTGCTGGCATTTACTGCTAGGTTAATTTATTACAAAGACAATGATACTCTGTTGAACTTGGTTATAGTTAAACACACTGTGCCAATTCAAGATCATTTTACTTATCTTAAGAGGTAGGGGTGGAAATAGGAACTTTGTACCAAGCCCCACAGCCAGCTGTGCTTCGAGTGAGTTTTAAAATTAACTGGTCCATTCCTTAAGGAGGGTCTGGCTCAGAGGAATCAGGAGTTGGTAGAGCTTCACCCTGTCCATGGTGATCCACCACTAAAAATATCTAAAGGACCAAAAACTTCTGAATGCTGGTTCATTAAGGTTCCAATGTAAAACTGAACATCTTTTGTTGGTACTCATCTGCTAGTCTTTTTATTATATGTCTGGAAAAATGATCAAAGCTGCATATTTTTTTAATTTATTATTTTTTTTAAAGATTTTCTTTATTTATTTGAGAGAGAGAATGACATAGAGAGAGCATGAGAGGGGGGCGGGTCAGAGAGAGAGGCAGACTCCCTGATGTACAGGGAGCCCGATGTGGGACTCGATCCCAGGACTCCAGGATCATGACCTGAGCCGAAGGCAGTCGCTCAACCAACTGAGCCACCCAGGCGCCCTCAAAACTGCATTTTTGCTAGTGCTCAGGCCTCAAAGCAGGGCTTGTCACCTAACTGCACAAATTAATGCTATTAAGTCCAATTGTGAGACAAGCTTGATTATAAATACACAGTTTTCAGAGTGACAGGCACTTAAAGCTCATGAAGTAAAATACAAAAATAGATTATATTAATAGGAAATATTTAGTGTTTATCAAATTATAAATCTAGGTTTCTACCGTTTTTAAAAAAGGATATTGGAAACTGAAGAGATGACATTTGAATAAAGTGAACAATCCATTTTTTCTTCAACTTTCATTCTGAGCGCTGAACAATACAATCTAAGAAAAAGACTTACCACAAAGCACCTAAAATAACATTTGTAGATGGGTAGGAATGTTGTCAACCATTTCTTACTGTTTCCCTCCCATCTCTCAGTATCAAGGCATCCAGAGGACATTCCACAAGCGATTGTCAGCATTCTGAAACCAGGTCATGGGCCTGTATATCAGAGAAGTTGAAAACCCTTAAGGAGGTAGCTCTCCTTCCTGGGTGCTCTTCCCCCAAAGGCCCAAGAGAGTTATGCTTCAGATTCTGCGCCTCTATTTTCACTTGGACTTCCATCATTGTCATCTGGTTGATCGTTTAACAGTACATATTTTCCATCATTGGTTAGTGGTATGGACAGCATTAACTGAGCCAATGCTTCTGGATCCTGAAGTTAGGGGAGTTTAAGAAGGAGAAAAGAAAACGCTTAAAATGCACTTAAGAACCCCTTTGGGCTTGGCATTCATGATGTTCTGTAATCTAGTCTCACTCCTTCTGTTATCTGTATGTGCCTTCAGATGAGTCTCCTTGCTTCTCCGAAAAAACTCAATTGCATTACTGCTAGAATCTAGAGCAAGGTTTTGGTCTCAGCCAAAATACTGTTCACACAAATCATAACAACTGTCTTCCCAGAAAAAGTCCAGAGAGGAACTTCCTTTACAATACCTTTGTCTTCTAGGTCTTTAACTCCTTTCTCTCTTGGTCATCTGGGCTCACTGCTTGTTTTTATAAGTTTTATTGGAACACAGCCATTCATTTATATACTGTATATGGCTGCTTTTGTTTTACAGTTGCTGAGTTAAGTAGTTGCAACAGATGTAAGCTTAAAAGGTTTAGTCTTTCCCTTTACAGAAAGTTTGTCAACCCCTGATCTATAACCATAAAATACTCACTTGCGCTGCTTGCTACTCTTTCATGTATTTTGGTCTTGGTCCTTGGCCTTCCTACTTTCCCCCAACAGACTGGAACTGCTCATATGGTACTCACTAGCTGTATGTTACTGCTTAAATTAAAATTTAAAAATCCTGTTCCTCAGTCACATTAGCTACATTCAATCTGCATATTAAACAGTGCAGATATAGGTCATTTCTATTATTGAAGTTCTACTGGACAGTGCTGAACTAGAAGACTCCTGAGGCAGGAACCAGATCTCCCTTGCTCACTGCTGTAATTCCAAAGTTTTTTTTGTCCAAACTTGGCTCTCAAAAATTTGTTGGGTGAATGACAGACTGGGAGGAATGGGAATCTTCACACCTAGTACATTTCCAGGTGAGGTCTGTCTGTGACTGCTCTGAGCAGCAAGGCCTTTGAGCACATAGTAGGTACTTAAAGTTTCTACCACCTCAATTTGAAAGAAAGAATATCTAGACAACAATAGCAAGCAAAAAATTGATAATATAAAGCAGGACTGTAGCAGTGAAATTTACGAAGAACTCCACATGTGTTACCAGCGATCATGGACCTAGCAAGTCTGGTGGTTAGAATGCTTAAAAGGAAATCTCAAATTTGGCCACACTGCTTAGTGAACATCTTTGCTCTTTTTGAGAGAAATCTTAGTATATATAGAGATTTGGAGCAGTTGTTAAAACCAGCACTAAAATGCACCTTACCTTCTGAACTTCAATGATTTCTTTTCCCAAATTAATAGCATAACATATCTGCAAGACAAGAAAAGTAGTGTTTGGCAAAGGTAGAAAAGGATAAAGAACTTTGGGGGGGGGGGATGTGACTATGGAAGTACAGTGAGGTCACTGCCCACGTCAGTGTGGGGACAGGGGAGCTGGCTGTAGGAGATTCATCACGTGGGGCTCTGACCATTAGCGCCCACCTGTCTTGGTCTCCTGTTGCCAATTTGTGCATAACAAAAATGTCCAGGTTCAGTAGCAACTGAAGTTATTCCAGTCCTTAAAATTCTTAATGGAATACTTTATTCCTTTCTCTCTAAATCACACTCAGCTACCACATGTTCATGCACACAGTGGCAAACAGGTGTTTGCTGAAAGAAGAGTTGATTAATTTTGATTAATACTAGGTAGCAAATACAGTCAAATTTTTCATACTAAATGAGAAGAATTTCCTGATGTCTGCTTCCTTGGTTTGCTCTGAGACTAGATTTTCTCCATTGTAACTTTCGCTTTAGTTTTTTAAAAAAGAACAAACTTGAAGGCAATTGCCTTTTTTTTTTTTTTAACATTTCCTGATACCTCTTCTAAACAACTGTATCCCACCATTAACATTATTCATCACTCTGTTTAGGATGACATGCATTTTCCACAGAGAAACTGTATTCCAGTTGGTTTTCTTTCAGTGGGGCCTTCCTAGAGGTATTCTCTAAACTCCTCAATGGGGAAACAAAAAATAGTCAATTAAATATCCAGAGGATAGTGCAAAAACCCCTTTACGTATCTGTTTGGACAGAGAGGTTATGGAATCTTAAGATGAAAAAAATAAGACCTTTTCGCCTTCTGAGTTGCTTTCAAAAACGTATGTGCTCAGAGCCTCTCCACCTGTGGATTCTGGTGTGCGGACCACGAAGCCAACCAGTCTCTTGTTCTCTTGATGAGCAGCAAACTGGGTGATGCTGGTGAGTTCAAACTGGAAATAACAGGAACAGACTGAGTATCACACAACTGTTATTCAAAATCAGACAAGTCATTCTCCATGGAAAACATCATGGGAAAAGTACACTATTAGAAGACAGGCATTAAATTTGGCAAAATCGGTAAAGTGCCTACTTTGAATTAAGGAATGACTACTAAAGTCAGTGTGCATGCAGGTACTTACATTGGCCCTTGTTACTTGAGTCTGAGGATCTATCAACCTGAAATTTTAAGAGATTCATTATATCACACATGCTGGATAAACTTATATTCTTAGAAGCATCCGCAGAGGTTCAGAATGAAATCACACAAAACAGAAGGCCTGGCTGAGGGCAAGGTGACGACTCCGTGGGACTATCCAAAGGGGGGGACGTGCCATGGTTCCTGCCTCTGTTGAACCTGTGTAGTTAGAGCTCAGTGTGTATCTTCACGGAAGGAGATTATGGAGAATTTCACATTTGTAAAAAATTTATCAGCGTGAGCGCAAGCAGGGGGATTGGGAGAGGGAGAAGCAGACTCCCACAGAGCAGGGAGCCTGATGCGGGGCTCGATCCCAGGACCCTGGGACCATGACCTGAGCCGAAGGCAGACGCTTAACGACTGAGCCACCCAGGCATCTCGAGAATTCCACATTTCAGTGCTTATCCAGAAAGGCAGCATTATAATTCCCCATGGTGCTGACAAAGAATATGCATGGATCATATTCTGTACAGCCTGCTTCTCAACAGACATTTACTGACTACGGGTTTTCTTTTGAAGTGTTTCATATACATCCCTCCTCCCTTTTTTTAAAATATGGGGTGTGAGAGAGTAGTGAACAGATTTTAACAAAACTATTCTGTCAGTTTGGGTGTGGGGGAGTACTATTTATGGAGGTGTTCTAGATGTATCTTGAATGGCATCTGGAGCATCTGATAATCAGGCTGATGTATCGGGGAAAAAACACTTTTTTTATATATATGTATATATGCTATCATATATACATATAAATTTCTATTTTCTAAATGTGGTATTATCTATTTATTGATGATATGCTATAAATTCTGTGTGTAAAAGCAAAAAAAAGTCTTCTGTGTGTTTAAAAAAAAGGTTATTCCATTTATATGAAATGTTCCAAACAGGCAAGTCTATAGACATAGATTAGTGGCTAATGGCTGCCTAAGGCTGGGGGGTTTCGAGGTAAAGGGAATGAGTGCTAATGGGTATGGGTTTTCTTTGGGGATGATGAAGATGTTCAATGTGGTGATGGCTGCACAGTTCTGAATATACTAAAAACACTCTGGATGGGTGAATTGTATGGTAGGTAAGTTACAGCTCAGTAAAGTGGTTACCTCCCCCACTGGTTACAGTCTGAAATACATACAGTTCTACTTATGAAAACATGGGGTTTATAATCAGAGGGCTCTAACCTGGCTGTTCCAACTGTGATCTTGTGCAGGTCACCCTGACTTCTCTCAACTGTTTCATCTGTAAAATGGGGATAAGAACCCCCACTTGAAAGAGGTGGTAAAGACAAGGAGAAAATGTGTATGGAATTTTTAGTAATCTATAAAGCTAAATAAATGTTATTTTTTATGTCCCTATTAATGACTATGAATTTAAAGATTTAAAAAATATACATCATATAAAGAAGATGTCGTTGATATATACAATGTATTACTCAGCCATCAGAAAGGATGAATACCCCTCATTTGCATCAACATAGATGGAACTGGAGGGCATTATGCTAAGTGAACTAAGTCAAGCAGAGAAAGTCAGTTATCATATGGTTTCATTCATAGTGGAACGTAAGGAATAGCGCGGAAGACCACAGGGGAAGGGAGGGAAAAATGAATAGGAAGAAATCAGAGAGGGAGACAGACCATGAGAGACTCTGGACTCCGGGAAACAAACTGAGGGTCACAGAAGGGAGGGGGTGGGGGATGGGGTGACTGGGTGATGGGCATTAAGGAGGGCACGTCTGGTGATGAGCACTGGGTGTTACACGCAACTAATGAATCGTTGAACACTACATCAAAAACTAATGTACTATATGCTGGCTACCTGAACATAAAAAAAAATAAAAAATATACAATCATAAACAATTTCCCTCAAGTTGGGTTAAGTTCCCTTAAGTATTTTGTAAAATTTTTTCATAAATAGAAACTTAAAACATATTTTCTGAGTACTTAAGAGATTGCTATCTAAATCAGGTAACATGGATTTGCCTCTTTATATCTGATTTTCTGTGGGACTTCTAAATTGTCTCAAAACATGAATTCCAGTTCAGGGATATGTGTGTGTACACCGTGGTAAAATACACCTGACATAAAACCGAGCACTGTCGACATTTCGTATATTTACCACGTTGGACAACCATTACTGCTCTCGGGTTCCTAAACCATCTGCATCACCACCTCACAAGGCAGCTCCACACCCATTAAGCAGTCCCTCTCCAGTCCTCTCAGCTTCGGCAACCACTAACCTACTCTCTGTGGATTTGCCTACCCTGGACCTTTCATGTAAATGCTCATACAAAACGGCTGACACTCGTGTCTGGCTTCTTTCACTTGGCAGAATGTTTTCAGGGTTCAGCGAGGTTGTGCCACGTGTCAGGACTTCATTCCTCTTCAAGGCTGATTCATATTCCACTCACTATATGTAAAATACCACACTTTGTGTATCAGTTTGTTGACAGACATCTGGACTGTTTCCACTTTTTGGCTGTTGTGAATTACGAACATGTGTGTATACATTTTTATCTGAACACCTGTTCTCAATTCTTTTGGGTATCTACCAGAAGTGGAATTCTAGGTTTAACTTGTGGAGGAACTGCAAGACTATTTCCCACAGTGGCCGGACTGACTGTTTTAATGATTCCCACCAACAACGGATTCCAATTTTTTCACATCCTTACTAACACCTGTTATTTTCCTTTTTTAAAAAAATTTCAGCCATCCTAGTGAGTATGAAGTGGTATCTCATTGTGGACCTGATTTGCATGTCCCTAATAACTAATGACATTGAGCATCATTTTATGTGCTTGTCGGCCATTTGTAGATCTCCTCTGGAGAAATGTCTACTCAGGTCCTTTGTCCATTTTTTTGTTTTTTGGTCTTTGTGTTGATTTTTATAAGAGTTCTTTATGGGGCACCTGGGTGGCTCAGTCGTTAAGCGTCTGCCTTCGGCTCAGGTCATGATCCCAGGGTCCTGGGATCGAGCCCCGCATCGGGCTCTCTGCTCTGCGGGAAGCCTGCTTCTCCCTCTCCCACTCCCCCTGCTTGTGTTCCTGCTCTCACTGTCTCTCTCTGTCAAATAAATAAATAAAATCTTTAAAAAAAAGTTCTTTGTTTTGAACATATACCTCTACTAAATATATGATTTGCAAATATTTTCTCCATTCTGTGGACTGTCCTTGTGCTTTGACAGTGTTCTTTGATGTACTATCTTTTTCCACAATGCTTTTACATTTACTCTGATCTTTTTGGTGGAGATTTTAAAAACAGCCAATGCCCATAAAAGGTGCAGGACATACTTGTAGAAAAGCTTTAAATAAATACAAGGTTTTATTTGTAAGAAACTTATTCTCAGTATAATGTTTATAATAAATAAAAAGGACTGATTTTAATGAATGGAAGAAACTATTCTGATTTTTTAAAAAGTCCCACTTTTTTGAAGCTAACATTTACTGAGCACTTTCTATAATGTCAGTTGTGGTCATGAATATTTTTTATTAACTCATTTATTCCTCATGACAACACTATGAGGTATGGATATGGTTACTTTCATCTTATAGCTGAAGAAACCAATGCACCAAAGTTCAGACTTGCCCAGGTCATACAACTCACGAACGCCAAAGCCGGCAATAAACCTGGACATTCTGGCTCTAAAGCAGTGCTGTCAGCTCAGAGAAATAAAATGTAAGCTTCGTACATAATTTAAAATTTTCTAGCAGCCACATCAAAGAGTGAAACAGGTGAAATAACATACTTTATTTAATCTATAAGATCTAAAATATTACCAGCTAGACATGTTATTAACATAAAAGTTCGTGAGATAGTTTGCATTCTTTTGGGGGGGTTAGTATGAGATCTTAGAAATTTGTTTTTTACATTTAAAACATTTCAATTCAGACTTCAGTTCTGTTTCAAGTGCTGCACGTGGGTGCAGTCCTGGATGGTGCGGCTCTTACGAAGCCGATGTGGACCCTCTACCATTTCTCGTATCGATCTTACCACCTGAAACCCCAAGTCATGTCGGTAACATCACTTGGCGTCTTTAGTTTCACCCCAACAAATATTAATCAGATTTTACTAGTGGTGGTCTTGTCATCTCAGGTAGGTTCATGTTCTGTTTTCACTGTTACTTTTTATAAATAGTACATTCAGAAATGAGAAAACCCTTTCTTTTTCAAGCTCTGAGATATACGGAGCAACTCCTGAGTGATGGCATCTTTATGAGCAGTAGGATTCACTCACCACTAAATTTCTGAAGGTACCAGTTACTGAGGGGAGCACCTTCTACCCAATGTGTCTTATAAAATCAAAATGTAAAAAGGAATAGGGCAGAAACGAGAGTAGCATCTCCTCTTACTCCGATCAAACAAATATTCTAGTATGAATGTTCTCGATGAGTAAATGTGCCTTACATGGGCAATCTGATAAGCTGTAAGAAAGTCTGAAATGAAACAACATACCTCAGAGTCTGGCTGGTGACCAGTAGGTGGGATTCCGTCGTGCGGAAGATGTTGTGAATAGCCCGAGCAGCCAACACTTGTCTCATTGCTTCATAAATCACTTCGGTAGTGCTGTCTGTTTTAACTGCCATCGATCCCAGAAACCGAACTATAAACATCTGTTGCAAAAGGGAATCTGCAAGACAGCATTTTCTGCTCAGGATCACACTCACTTCCTGCGGCTGCTGGTCCGCCCACCAGTCAGGGGCGGTCAGAGAACTGGCTGAAGACCTCCTCCTAGGGTGCTTTCCAGCCAACTGCTCAACGCTGTGCGTGAACCAACCCACGCTGCCAAAGCCCCGAGTCTCCTCCTGTCCACGTTTTGTCTCGTTGGAACGACTTCATTAGACTAGAAAAGCACCTCTTTCTGTGCATCTGCACAATGAGACAGCAGTGCCAGATGAACGCCCTTCTAGCGCGAAAACTCTAGGTGACTGGGACGTGGGCGGCACTACACGCGTCTTTTCTCTGAAAATACGAGCTTCTCCACTTAGACAACGGAAAATTCAGTGCTTTGGCCCACCGATAAAGTCCTCTTAAAGAAGAAAGCCTGTCTGAACAACAGAAGACCTGGTGTTGGGACTCATTCGGTTCACGCGCCTCGTGTTACTGAAGGGCTGGAGGGCATCCCGTAAGCTAATGCACATCCCAGACTACTTTACCTGGTTCTAGTAAACAACCAGGACTGGCTTCCTGATAAATGTCAGGCATGTAACCTGACAAAACTGACTAAGAGCGACCATAACCGGAAGATCACGAAGGTTTAAAGGTGGTTTTTTTAAGAACAAATACTTATCCACCATTTTAAACGAAGATGACCACTCTTTCCTCACTTGCCCTATTAGTGTCTTTGCCCCTAAAAATAACTTAACAAAAGATTAGGAAAATATAACTGATGTAAAATTATAAGTAGTTACTCCCGCATGAAGACAGTTTTTTTTATTTTATAGACCTTCCGGTGTGGATTATACAGAAGGTCAGCCAGAGACAAGTGGGCAGGTCTGAGGCAGAGCCTGTTAGCTTCCTTCCTCCTTCCTTCCGTCCTCTCTTCCCCCTCACCCCCTTCTGCCTAATTCTGCAAGGAGTACCGACTCTCAAGTCCTACTTTTACATTTACGAAGTGGCCATTTATTCTTTTTTTTTTTTATTCTTATGTTAATCCCCATACATTACATCATTAGTTTTAGATGAAGTGTTCCATGGCCATTTATTCTAATGCCATCCTCAGGCTCCAGTCATGAAGCGGGTAAACGAGGCCTCGCCAGCACTTCTAGCTCCGAAACGGCCTCGGCTCCCAGCCGAGCACCAGGCACGTCAGCTCCACTGTCAGCACACATGCCACGCATCAAATATCTGAACTTCAACGAATTAAATACCATTCACCCTTGCCCTTTTCAAAGTCAAGAATGAGTTGTGTGTGTGTCTTTGGCTCAAATGAAATAGCCTGTTTAGGACTCCCCCCGATTGCATTTTGTTGTGGCCATTTCATCCTCCTCACATCTGATCTAGAGTAATCGGATACCGGATTTAGGCTCGGCAGCTTTCTGCGCAGGAGCTACCAAAAGGGTGTGGGTGAGCCCAACAGTGCAACACCCGTAGAAAATCTGTCTACTTCCCTGCAGTTTTTATCCAAGACCTGCCTTAACTGCACATGCCCTAGGGAGTTCCCAGAGAACAACAAATCTGTGGGTCATAATTTTTGCTTCACAATCCAAGTCCTGGCTCTCTGGAACGTGACTTCACGTCTCATTTCAATGATCTCTTGTCATTCTGTGAGGGGAAAGAGTGGGCGCACCAAACCAGCCACTCACCTTCTGCTTCTGGAAAGGTCTCATCCTCAGTCTCACCAAAAGGGTTGATGCGCCTAGGGGAACGGCCAGAGTCCAACAGTCAAGACCTTTTCGGCTAAAGGGACACTAACTCTTGAACTAGAAGAACAGCAACAGTCTTGGCAGATGGGTGCCGACACAAGAGACCCCAGGTTTACTTTCATTTCTCCCAGAGACAGCCTCCCTTAGCCCACACCTGCTCCCTCTGTTCTGATCCAGGAATTCTGTGGCAGGAAGGACGATATCGAACTGGATAGGTGTTCCAGGTGCAATGAGCTCATCGGCGTCAGGGACACGGGCCGCTGCTTTGGGAACAATCTTGTCATTCTCCAGCTCTAAATTTCTCAGGTTCTGGCTGGAGTATAAAAGGGGGAGAGGAAAATCAAATCCCTTTTAACCTTAGAACTTTATAATCAAATGAACATGTGTTGAATGCGGATGGACAAGGGCAAAGATGTCAGTCCTTCAACTCGTTCTACAAATAAACCTTCACAGAACGTCATTCATGTCCTTGGTTAAACTCCTTCAGGGCCCCCCTCCCCGAGTTAGCTCTGCTGCACAGCATTCTGCATTATGTTCTATTACGTAGCATGTTATCTGCTGATCTAGGTCCTTCTTCCTGTGAGCTGGGTTTTTTTTTATTATGTTAATCACCATACATTACATCATTAGTTTTTGATGTAGTGTTCCATGATTCATTGTTTGCATATAACACCCAGTGCTCCATGCAGAACGTGCCCTCTTTAATACCCATTTCCAGGCTAACCCGTCCCCCCTCCTCCTCTCCTCTAGAACCCTCAATTTGTTTCTCAGAGTCCATCATCTCTCATGGTTCATCTCCCCCTCCGATTTCCCTTCATTCTTCCCTTTTTTTTTTTTAACATACATTGCATTATTTGTTTCAGAGGTACAGATCTGTGATTCAACAGTCTTGCCCAATTCACAGCGCTCACCATAGCACATACCCTCCCCAATGTCTATCACCCAGCTGCCCCATCCCTCCCACCCCCCACCACTCCAGCAACCCTCAATTTGTTTCCTGAGATTAAGAATTCCTCATATCAGTGAGGTCATATGATACATGGTGAGACAGGTTTTTGAGAGCAGGGGCTACAGCTAAATTCTATGTATTACTTGGTACATAGAAGGCACTCAAAAATGTTAACTGAGGGCGCCTGGGTGGCTCAGTTTGTTAAGCGACTGCCTTCGGCTCAGGTCATGATCCTGGAGTCCCTGGATCGAGTCCCACATCGGGCTCCCAGCTCAGCGGGGAGCCTGCTTCTCCCTCTGACCCTATCCCCTCTCATGCTGTTTCTCTCTCTCTCTCAAATAAATAAATAAAATCTTTAAAAAAGAAAAAAAGTTAACTGAACAAGGGAATACATCTTGGCCTAGCATTCACAACATGGCTTTACCTTCTCCGGAGAGCCCCCTTCCCCACCCCCGTAACGCACCCTCCCTTGGAGCTATCCCTCACACCCCACGCTCTCCCTTGTTTCCTTCTCCATCCCAATTCCCCCCCCCTTCCAACACCAGCTCAAATTCCTGTTCCTTCTCCAAGCCTTTCAAGCCAGCCCCGACCCTCTGTGAGTCCCTGAGCTCTGCTCTGTGCGCACACACGCAGAAGGGACCGTCAGCACGGTGATTAGTCACGTGCCACCATGTTTCCTCTGTCAGGCTGTTGTCATTCAACTTTTCACGCCTTTATGATCTTTTCTCCCCAGCTCCAGGGTCCGCTCCTTTGAGGGACAAAGAATGTCACAGTATTTTGATTTCTTACACTATTTGGAGCATAAGAAGGCTTTCGATATCTCTGTTCATTTTTCTCGAGTCTGTCAATAACCGAATCTTCTGTATGAAACGACTTGCTGACAGGTGAGCACACTGACCCGGAAGTGGCTAGAGATACAACATGGGTGTGTAGACACCGCAAGGAGCGACCCCTCTGTTTCACCTCCATCGTTACCGGAAAAGGAAAGAGCGGTCTCGAGGGAAATGGAGTAATCCCGAGGGCTCTCGGTGCCCAGGTGCGTGAGCCAGGCTGCCGGCGGCGGTCTCCTCGCTGCCAGCTTAGTGCTCTCGCTGACGTCCCACTGCCTCAGTCCAGAAGGGCAGAGTCCCACCTGCTCGCTCATCCAGTCTCTAAGGGAGGGGCAGGAGCCTGTACGTGGTGAGCACTGGAGGAAGGGAGGAGCAGAAGCTTAAAGGGAGCAAAGGGCGTCCCCGACTGGCTCCCCAGAGAGTCTACGGGAAGAGAACACACTGACAACGGGATGCGGCCACGTGTGGAGGGCAGTGACCCCATCAGGTGAGGTCTGCACTTGAGTCTACAAGCATCAGGAGCCACGGAAGACTCTGAACACAGGAGTGACATGATGGAGCATCACCTGTGACCTCCACGTCACCAACCCTGATGGACACACGCTTTGTGAGCGTTGTCCTACTTCAAACACCCCCACGTCAAAGCAGCTCACGGAGTTGAGCCCCCCTCCTCAAAACGCTTCTTTCTTGGTTCCTACTGACACCATTTTCCTGGATGTTTCTTGGTGGCTTTTGTAGGTTCCTTCCCTTCTATGACAAGTGTGGGAGTTCTTCAGGATTTTGTCCGAGGCTCCTGTCTTCTCCTTCTACGCTCACTCCCTCGATGATCTCTGCCACTGCTGTGTCCGTGCCCATGAGTTCCCGACTCATATACTCAGCCCTGGGATTTCCTCTGTGCTCCAGACGTGTATCATCCGTTGATCACTTGACACTTCCTGGGATGTGTTGCGGGCCCCTCAATCTTCTGTCCAGATGTGAACCAACTCTTGATACCCACTACCAACTCCTTTTCAACTCTCAATGTGCCACCATCTGCCCAGGTGCTCAACCCAGACTGTGCTCATTTGATTTGTCCCCTTCCTTCCACTCACATCTCACTATAGCACAAGTCCAATAGATTCTGCCTCCGAAACAAGTCCCTGAGCCATCTACGTTCCGCCTCCTCTGCCTCGATCCTGGTTTAAGACTCCATCATCATCACCTGGACTGCTGCCCCAGGCCCCTGACTCGGTATCTGCTGCCCAGCTCTGTGTTCTGTGTCCTCCACTGTAGCCAGAGCTGCCCTTCGATCATGTAAAGCGGATCATCTCTCTCCAACACGCGCACATCTAGCTCTCTGCACCCTTCGACAACTCCCCAAGTCCCTGACCATGACTTCCTTCATGATCTGTTCTGCCTCCCTCCCTCCCCAACCTCACCCTGCTCCGTGACCCCCCTGTGCCCACACTGTAGTTAACTGGCCCCCTTTCAGTTCTTCAAACACACTAAGCTCTCGTCTGCCCTCTAGCCTCCAGAACTGCTGCCAGGAATGCATGAATCTGGCTCTTTGTATGAGTGCCTACTTCTCATTGTTCACTTCTCAGTCTAAGTATTATCTCCGAGGGCAGGCCTCTCCATGACAGCACCTTCGTCTTTAACACCAGAGCGCTTTTCTCCATTTTAACAGGGGAGTATTTATTTACCTCCTGCTGGTCTTTACCGACAAGACTTAGCTTTACCACCTCGCCCAGTGCCTGGGGCACAGAGCAGATACTCCACACACACACACACTGATACCTGAACAGCTGGACCAGTGAATGAGCACTGGAGGTACACTGCCTGCAGGGGCAGGGCCACCCGTGAGACTTGCTTAGAAGTGAGTGGCAGTTTGTTCCCACGAACAGTTTCTCTGCTTCTTTCCCCTGACTGTCATCAAAACATTTCTTTATTCTTAATGAGCTGACCCTGAGAGAGACAGGAGCACTGCCCTCCCCCACCCCCCCAGCCTCCACAGCTCTGGGCCGTCTGGCAGCCACATCCGTCACCCTTCCAGTCTCTGAGTTGATTCAGCTGCCTGGCTAGAGGTCTTTGTTGTTTCAGGATTCTTCTGTGTGACTTACTTATTCTATAACAGGGAGAAAAATCAGTAACTGAATAATTAAATCTGAGCTACAAATTGTTTTTTTAGAAAACCAGTCATACCTTTAATTACTAACACTAGTTAAACGACACATGGGCACCCTAGACAGTGTTAGAACTGCAAAGGGACTGGGGAGGTCACCTAGTTTTGCATCTTCTTGTGTCACAAAGTCAAGGAGACAGAGGCCCAGAGAGCTGAGCCACACCAGGCCAGCTAACTGTGTTGAAGGCAGAGCCATCGGAAGGTCTCATAATTCCGAGGCCAGCGTTCTCCAGTGTGCCCAGCTCGCAGCTGTACGGAGAGCAGGCTGGTGCCTTCACTGATGAGGCTCGCGGCCTAGCCCACTGGCCCGATCCGTATTCCCACTTCCACTCGCAGCGCCCTCCGTAGCGCTGCCCTTCATGAACATGCTGCCCGTGTAAACTGTGAAACCCAGCACTCAAGTGTCACCTGTTGCCTCGTGCCCATTTTTATTACCTGCGCTCAGCTTCTCCAGTTCTGTCTTAGCTACTCCAGCAGCAGCCTGTTGGGCGTCCCTGCCCTGTCCACCGCCCCGCCACGCCCCAGATCCAGTGTGTCCTTTCCACACCAGCTGTGGCGGGCCACCCCCCTCAGCCTGCAGTTCTGCTCCATGGCCCAGAGCACCTAGGCAGGGCCCCCAATCCATTCACATCAAACTCACAGCCACTTTCTGACCTTCTTGTCTACTGCTCCTTCCTGCACACCCAGGGCTGGCGCCCCGCCGCACAGCATCAAGACCCCAGGAGCTGAACTCTTAGCTTTCTGATGACATCTGTCTGGACTCACGAGATAGCATCTGTAAAGCATTTATTTAATGGGGTTTTTTCTACCATGCCACTGAAACATGGATACCACACACAGGCGTAATTGTAACTTCGGCGTGAGCAATACTACAGCGCTCTATCAGTTAAGCAAATGGAAACTCCCATTAAGACAAGAAGTGAGATTCTTGGACTAAACCCTGAAGCTGTATTCAAAACAAGAGCGAAGCTAGATGCGTGAAAATGTTCACTCTATGTGATAAGAGCAAACAAAGGAAAGGGGGGCCACCTAAATGTTCCACAGCTAATAATAAGTCACAGAAGAGTGTGTGTAGTTACTAAAAGGAACAAATATGAGAAATGTAAAAATATGAAAAATATATGTGAAAAAGGAAAAATTAACGCACACGCCGAAGGATCTGTACGTGGGCGGGTAAGGCCTGGGCGGTAACACAGACGCAGAAAAGGTGATTTTGTTTCTTATTTAAAAAAAGTTGTTTGGGCTCCAGAATTTTGTTGATGCTGACAGAAAACGTGAGAAGCCCTGACCAGCAGACCCTTGGCACCGGCCCTGTCTGCCCGGGCTGTGGCTGTGTGGGCCAGCAGGAAAGGCAAGGATGGGCGAGGGTCACGCAGCCGTGGCTCCGGCTCTGCCCCTCACAGGTGGGGTGACCGTGGGCGAACACCCCACCTCTCCTGACAGCCTGAACTCCACCCCAACGTGGTGTGTGAGGACGAAATAACTCCCGTCAAATTCCTAACTCCTAAGTACACACAAAGCCACTTTTCCGCTGTCTTTTAGTTACCTGGGGCATGAGCTTTCTTGCTTTTTTCCAAAACTTGTAATGGGAGTCACTGCTTGGAGAGCCGTCTGATTCAACTTGATGGCGACCGCCTACAAATGCACCAGAGGACAGGCTCAGTCCCAGGAGGGGCGCTCACCCTTCAGACTGAGCAAGGGCCGGGGATGCCGGGAAGGCAGGGTGAGTTACCTCTGGGTTGTCAGTCAGGTAGATCTGTCTGGAGATGTTGTTTATGGCACTTATCCACTGTGGAGAGAGGACATTAACAAATCTGCTGGATCCCAGTCACCCGCTAGACTAGGACAGAAGTGAAAGAACGAAACCTTTACCTCTTCATTTTCCTTTCTGCTTTCTGCCTGGAGGATTATTCCCCTGAAATAAAGTGTATCCAAGTCAGTGCTTCCCACACCTCTGACTGAGGCTTATTCCACATGCACTGAACTCAGCTGGGTCCCAAAGGGAAGGACCGGGAAGGCAGGATGACAGGAAGGAAAGAAAATGGGATTCCAGCTCACTGCTCATTCACTGTGTGATCCTGGACAGATACTTCCTTCCCCTGGGCCTGCGCTTTCTCATCTGTAAAGTGAGCAGCTGGGCTCAGATCTACTAGCTCGAGGCTGAGGACATCCTGTTGGCCTCTCGGGTGATTGGGGCCACCAGGAGCCCAGCCCAGAGGAGTCAGCAGACCCCGCACACCTTCCCACGGAGGGGAGTGGGGGAATCAGATGCAAATAACACTGCCCTACCTCTGGGGAGGGCTTCACCCTTTCCAGGGACCCCACAGCGGTGGGAGGGGGGAGCATGGCTCTTCTCCTATTTTACATCTTGGAAGACCAAGGAGTTACATAACCAGGGCTGGGATCCCAGTCCACTCCTGTCACCCAGGAGGAAGGACGAGGTCTGAAACTGCTCTGCCAACCAAGCAGACGGTCCACACTGTACCGACTTGCCCGAACACGCTCCTGTCAACACAGGAGCTCAGCTCAGAGCTCCACACGGAAGCAAATGCAAGCAGCCACAGCTGAAGGGCGGGCGGTCCCGCTGAATGACCCTAAGTGACCTCTTCTGGGCTCCTGAAGCACATGGGGGTCTTCGGGGACAGCATGGGGCCGAGTGTACTGTCCATCTCGGGTTTCAGCTGGAGCAGAGGGCTCCGCACAGGCAGGTCTGGGGGCTCTCCTCCCTCCTCCCCCCGCACCCGTACAAACACAGGGCTTCTGCAGAGCAGGCAGGAACGGCCACCGCCTTCTCCTGACAAACAGCTCCTCCTATGGCTGCCTCCCACATGAATGCCATGTCCCCTCCAAAGCCACGGACAAACCCGCACTGGGGCTCCTTAAATAAGGCAGAGTGGATCCCACAAGGGTCCTGTGTGAGTGCTTAAAGAGCACATAAAAACGTCCTCCCCAGAGGTCAGCAGGACCCGGAGCGGGGCCTCTCCCACGGAGGCCGGCACAGAGGACTGAGCTAGGAGGCCCTTGGCAGGGGTGGAGTCACTAGACTTGCTCTCCTCCCAAATAAACGCCGTGTGGCCTACGATTTCCCGTTGGGCGTGGTGATCTGGAAGCAGTATCGTCGGTCTTCACAATCCACTGCCATCACCGAGCAGTTGTCCAGGTCCTGGATCAGGCCTCCGGCCACGGCGCCCCGCAGCTGACACATGAGGTTCCCGCCTTGCGTGAAGAAGTAAAGCCTCTCCCAAGTGGTGGTGACCAGCCCTGTTTTACTGTAAGAATTGTGGTTTTAGAACGCCCACTGGTACAAGGAAGCCCACGCAGCACCTCAAGGTCTGGCTGCCTCTTGACCAGTATTGGTGGCATTTTAGAAATAGTGTTTCTTTACATTAAAGCAAAGCTGCTTTGGAAGGAATCCAAATGCAGAGGGGCAGAAGAGGCACAATTTAGCTGGAATGACCTGGAAGTTAGGTGGTGGCAGCCCAGGGCCAGCTCTGGTGTGCAGGCAGCATGTCTCCCCCCAACCCCGTCCCCCACGGCAGCTAGACACTGGCTTCTCCCGGGATCTGGAAACGGAATTAGTCCATCCCCATTAGGAACTGAAAACCTAGATGGTCATTTCTCTAAGACGTGGAGCTGAACTGCTCTGAGTCCAGGGAAAGTCACCAGGGTCCCCTCGGCTCACAGCACCCGGAATCCTGCGGGCATTTACGACATTGAGTTTTGCTCCGACTGGATGCTTTGTGGGCTGCTTACAGGAGGAATATCCAGTAACTGGCAAATAACACCAACCCTGTAGGGATTTCCATCCATACAAACTGATGGAGATATTCAACTTGTGATCTCAACAAGCTGAGCTTCGAGGAGCTCCACCTTGGTAAGAAAACAGCTGGTGAGTCCTCCCTGTAGATCCTCCATTTGCGAACTATCAGGTACATTTACTTGATTCAGTGTTTATCGAGTAGCAACTAAGTGCAGGGCACTAGGCTTCTTGCCTCAATAATTACAGTTATTTCCCAAAACTGGGAATAGCTAACATCTGAGTGCTTACTACCTACTAGGAATGACCTCATTCAGTCCTTGTAACAACTTTATTTAGTAGATGTGATTATCAGCTCCGCCTCATGCGTGAAACCCCGCCAGGGGGTGTGCCTGGACCCTAGTCAGAGTCTTCACCCCACCGAATAGCCTCCATCTGCTCTTGGACACAAGGAAGCCTGATCGTCCTCCCTTCAAGTCAAATAGCCCCGAGTGTTACAGTGTGATTCAGTGTGTGTGAGAACCTGGATGACCCTGAGGCTTGCTGGCCCTCGGACTCCGGCCTCAGCGGCAGGCCTCGAGCACCTGTCAGGGGCCTGGGCCAAGGGCGGGATGTGACAAAAACTCCCTACGGTCCAGGATGACGATGGTTAAGAGCAGGCTATCTGCGTATGGCCACGGTAACCAGGGACAGGGGTGGTCCACCCCTCGGAGTCCAAGTACTGGGTTCTTTAAGACTGGTTCGAGCCCACCCCTCAGTGACTTGGGCCCTGAGCCCCAGAGGCTTCCCGTGTGGCCGGCAGGAGGCTCCCGTGGTGGGAATTCTTCCGCAACCTCCCCTCAACAGACGCTCCATAACCACCTAAGGGAAAACAGCTTTCAGAAAGAGAGGCAAGCAACAGCATTCTCACCTTCTAAGATTAAGGTAACCAGCCTTCTGGATGAGGTTCCTGTTGATCTGTGGTGCAGCCACGTCAGAGTCCGGGGCGTAAACAGACTCATCAACAGAGAGCAGTTCTTGCTGGGACACCCGCATCTTCTCTGCTTCGGCTTCTAGTTCCACCTGAATGCTTAAGACAAAAGGTGTCGGGTCAGTGGCTACCCCCCACAACGGCCGACCCAGTACCGCTGAGCAGCAGATGCCAGAGCTGTCCCCATGGCTTCCTGCCACACGAGGGGGGCTCAGGGCCCAGAAGCTGGGCGTCGTGGGGCTTGAGTCTGCGCTGCTAAAAGCATTCATAGGAGTGCTCCTTTAAAACAGAGCAGAAGAGGGACGCCTGGGTGGCTCAGTCAGTTAAGCGGCTGCCTTCGGCCCAGGTCATGATCCCAGGGTCCTGGGATCGAGTCGCACATCGGGCTCCCTGCTCAGCAGGGAACCTGCTTCTCCCTCTCTCTCCCTCTGCTAGTGCTCTCTCTGTCAAATAAATAAAATATAAATAATAATTAATTAATTAATTAATTAAAAAAACAGAGCAGAAGGAACACCACTGGACAATGCCGGAACCCAGCGGAACAATTTCTCCAATTTCTCTGCTGACAAAGCGGGATCAAGGCTTAGAACTGTTGAGGCAATTTTTTTGAAAAGACTCATTCATCCATTTTAGAGAGGGTGGGAGGGAGGGGGGTAGAGGGAAAGGGAGAGAGAGAGAGAAAGGGAGAGAGCATGCAAAGGGGGCGTGGAGCCCGATGTGGGGCTCGACCCCACCACCCCAAAATCACAACCTGAGCCAAAGTCATGAGTTGGAGTCTTAACTGACTGAGCCACCAGGCAGCCCATGTTGATGCAAATTTTAGGAGAAAAGCTTTGAAGAGCCCATCCTCAGGGCTGCAGGGCAGGCTGCCTGCGGAACAGGTAGAAAGGAAGGAGACAGCAATCATTCCTGCCACCTCCCTGCCCCCACCCCGGCTCCCCTAAGGTGGGAAGGGACACTAGAGACAGAAAAATGACCAGGAGGTGGGACCAAGGTGCAGTGACAAGACAAAGGCAATGCTCTTCCATTCATGGCAGCCCTACCACCGCCCGAGACTGCCCACGCTGCGCACCAAGGGTAAGAGGGCCAACGCCAGGCTCTGGCTCGTGTGCATGCGTGCGTGCTGAGGTGTGGGACACCTGGAAGGTTGAGCTGTAGACAGAGGCTCTGAGATCTGCAGAGAGATACAGCATCTCAAACATGAGCGCAAATGTCCCGCCATCCCTTAACAACAAAATCTAGTGCAGGAAAAACCTCTGAAGCACAGATGGTTCTCCCAGAACACAGAAAGCCAGGGGATTCAGGGAGCTAAAGCAGGGTAAGACAGAGGCGGTCAGAGAGGGCTGGGGGAGAGAGGTGAAAAGCGACAGTGGGCGCCTTGCCTTCCTTTCTTCTAACACCCCCAGCAGCTAACAACCAGATGAAATGGCAGGACACTGCAATCGGATTTCAGAGTGCTTTCTGGCCTCCTCCTAGACCAGCCCCACCAGGGCCGCGGCGGCCAGGCATGAGCAGCTGTGACTTCCAGGAAGGCGCAGATGCCTTCAGAACCACAGCCCTCCCGCGCACTCCTACGAATGCTCAGCTCTGGATTTCCTTGGGATTCATTCTTTATTTTCAGCATCTGAGGTACACTTCTGCCTCAACAAAGTCCACTATTGGCCTCCAGGTATTTTGAAATGCATGGGCGCCTGGGTAGCGCAGTCAGTTAAGCATCTGACCCCCGGTTTCGGCTTAGGCCACAATCTCAGGGTCGTGAGATCGAGCCCCGTGTCAGGCTCTGTGCTCTGTGAGGAGCCTGCTCACGTTACTCTCTCCCTCTGCCCCCTCCCTGCACTTGCTCGCTCGCTCACTCTAAAATCAATCAATCAATCATAAATGTTTTTTTTTAAAAAGGTATTTTGAAATGCAACATCCTCAAAGGAGCAACCTTCCTCCGTTTTTCCACACAAAATAAAATCCTACACTCCTACTTCCATTTTGTATATCTGCTTCTCGACTACTCTCTCTCTCCCACACTCCAGAAACCACGGAGTACTCCCAGAGCCACACCTGCAGTGTGAATGAAACAAGCCTTCTTGGGCTCACTGTCATGGACACTGGCGATGGAGGCAAAGGGTGTCTGAGCATCAACTAAACGTGGCAGGACAGCCTGAAGAACGATGGTATAGGTTTTAAAAAATAAGCATTTGCAAGGCTGAAGTGCGATTTGTTAAATTAATTCAAAAAAGGCATAAAGCCTCGTTATCTATCATAAATGGACGTGACGGCCAGTTTCCTAAAGAGTCACAGCACTTCTGGCTGCCAACCCCTTGGCTCCAAAGGGGAAGTGAGGCCACTTCTAAATCCACAGCGAGCCTATGCCGGGCTCACAGGCTGGAGCATGTAAAGACCGGCCGTCAGCACACAGAAGGAGACCCTCCCTCAGCACAGCAACTGGAACTTGATGGGACAGTCCCCCTGCGGACACTTTATCTTTTCTTTAAGCTACGTAATCCATTCACGTGGTGGGCACGCCTCTGGGATGGGGGGGCGGGGAAGGGGGGGAACGCCAGAAGGCATTACTTTCCCGCCTCAGTATTCCTGAATACCGGCAGCTAAGAAGGGGCCCACTGCCCAGAGTTCCCATGGTGGTGGGGCTCCGTGGGGCGCCCCCACCTCTCAGAGGGGTGGATTCAGCTGGAAAGGCAAAGGCCCCCAGGACCCAGAGTGGAGTGCAGCCTTACCTTTGGACCATGTCCGCAACTGAGGATAAAAAGCTGTTCATATTTTGGGAAAACATCTCTGCTCCCTTCTTAAAAAAGTTAATCTGAAAGACAGAATGGTGATGTTCTGAAGGTCATCTAGGAAAGGTGATCAGTGAGCACATCCCGTGCGGGACTGACAGCGCGGCAGTGGTAACCCTGGCTGGCCGGGCCCACCGCGTGCTCGCAGTGCTCCGTGCACCCCTGCGGAGCCCCCCACGCCAGCGAGTTCCTCCCAGAGCCCCCAGTGCGCTGCAGAATGGGGGCGCTGGGACCGAGCTCTCCTACTGACAGGCCGGACGGAAACATCAGGGATAATGTGAGTTCACTCCTTGGCACATACCAGACCAGGCGCGTCGGTAGTTACTGACAATTATCTCTGATAGTCCCGTCATCAGCTCTTTTCCTCTGTGAATTCTAGATAGAAAACTTCTGAGGGGCAAGGAGTAGGTCTCCACCTTTGTGTCTCCAGGGGCTCCATCGGTGTGTGACACCTGCCCTGCACAACGCCGGCCAGAACCGGACAGGGAGGAGGAGCAAACCCCGAAGGCCGCGGTGACCCCCGTCAGCGAGCCGTGCGTGGCTCGGAACACGAGTTGGACAGAGGATACGGCTGGGACACTGCCCAGGGGAAACTGGGTTAAAGACCCTTACGAGGCTCTTCCAACCCTGATGTCAACCCAGAGGGGACTGTGGGTGTGGAGGCAGCAGAGTTCTGGGCCTGAAAAGGTGCTCAGACAGGTGAGCTCCCTTCCGGCCTCCAACGTCCTGGGATGTGGGCTCCCTCCGCCCGGGGAGGGTGGCCCCAGGAGGGCTCCGTCTCCTTTGAAAATAAAACTCCAATTGCTGGCTTTTGGGGAAGGGAGAGAAGGAAGTCCTTACTTCCTGTGACTCCGGGGTATTCACTTCCCAGGAAGTCGGGGTTGCCTCACAAACCCTGAAGGGCAGGGGTAAGGGGAAGAGTGTCCACCTCTGTGCATTACTACATCTGTAAGCATCCGGCCCCAAAGCTCAAGTCTCCATTTCTTTCCATGGCCAAGGCTTTAAAAAATCTGAATACTGGGTTTGAACTGCTCCTGATCACATGCCTGATTTACATGCCTGATCACAGAGAGCTAAGAGCTGCAAGCCTGAGCCAGAGAAAAGGGAGAAAATGCTCAGCTTTGGACGTGGGTATTTTCTCACACTCTATGCCAGCTCATGTGTCTGATCTGGAAGCGGCCCCTGCCCTGTGTGGTGGGCACAGAACTTGATGGCGCACCCCAATGAGGCTGGCACGTGTTGTCATGCTCACATCCTGGGGAAGTATGCACTCCCATGCCCTTAGTTTTCACAGGATAAAAACAGAGGATGATCACGATTATCCTAATGCACGGTAATCATGCAGGGAGCTGCTCTGGCCCCGTGATCTTTTAATCATACAGAGATCAAAACAGTAAATGCCATTCTGAATCTCCAAAACCTCAAATATCAAAGTCTGTTCAAGGAGGCTTCTGCATTTCTAAGGACACAGCCTCCCAGTGGCTTTCCTCTCCTACCCCTCCCTGAACCCCTTGGAATTTATACTCCAAATTCCATGTCTTAGCTCCCCTGCTATTCTGCAAGTTCCTGGGGGTGGGTTGGTCGGGGGGGCTCCTGCAATCCCTCAAGGAGTCTGATCTGAAGGAATGGAAGGGAGGGATGAGATCCTGGCTTCTCCAGCCACCTTTCATCAGATCTACCCTGTGAATACTACCCTGGACTTGATTTCTGTGATCTCATAAACCTGTACACAGCTTGCAAAATCTGTTTCAGGCATGACGACTGAATCGTGATTTCAGTGCAAGGGCCTGTTTAGCAATGGCCAGGGGAGGCAGAAATGAAGTCAAACAGCTTGCACCTAAGTGGGTGGGTGGTGCCGAGAAGCCTGATTCAGGGCCACATCATCCAAAGACCCAGATTCTCATGCCTTCGTGAGCTGCAGGAAGTACAGTGGTCAGATGGCCATCAGCTAACAAAGGTAGACGCTTAGTCAATGCTGATTTAAAAGGGCTGATAAGGCAGATGGAGAGTGAATGCTTTGGAATCATCCAAAAGATTCATGGGTTTAGACAACAACTGGTGTTAAGTGAAGGAGCTATAGTTCTTGGCAGGATTTGAAGTCTGCAGGGGGAGGGACTATTTGGTCTTGTGTCTTGAAATCTGGGTACTTTCCACATGAAAAGTGAAACATGCCATCCTCAGTCCTCGAAAATGCTGCTTCGGCCACCCAACACTGACATGACAGTGTGCGGTTCTTCTCCAGGTCACCAGGCCCAGGGGTGCGGGGGGTGCTCCTGCAGCCGGGCCCCCTCTCCCTGGGGCAGCCTTCACTTAGAAAGTGCAGGCCAAGAGAAGCCGGTGTGATACTTCAGGTGGAACAGAGTGAAAGCAGCCAGGAACAAGTCCATCCGTTACACCTGTGAGGCCCCTCCCTAACTAACTGGGTGCCCCAACCACTACCTGCTCAGCCTACAGCTGCTCATCTTTCTGAGGCTCAGTCCAGGCCCCCCTCTGACCCTGGGCCTCTAAAGAGTGGGGATTCCTGCTCCACAGGCCCGGACTGTCAGTCCAGGGAGGACAGACGGGACAGGAGGCATTATTAGAGAGCAAAGGCAAGACCGACGGTCTCCAGCACGGCCAGGCCCTCCGCCGGGCAGAGGTGCAGTAACTAAGGAAGGAGAGAGGCGGGTATCAGCGCCCACCACGAGGAAGCTGGACGCTGCCAGAGGTCTGCTGCAGACCAGAGCCCGCGGCTGGACAGGGCTAGCTGTGGGTTCAACCCAGCTTTACGCAGATGACACAGACAGATTCTAGCTCTCTACTTAAATATCACCCCTGAAGGCATCAGCCGACTTGAGTTACCTCATCATTCAACGTCACAACCACATTAAGAAGACAGATCCCTGAGCTTGAACGCCTAAAGATCCTCTCTTGTTCCCTTCCCCTGAATGCTACTGATGTTGTGTTTTTTGAAATATATGTATTTTTTAACATGTGTTAAAAAAGAATAGATGCTCACACACGTGGAGTTTTAAAAAGTTGCTGACTTTTTTTCTTCTCAACATTCTGCTTCCTGACATCCCTTTCTGTTCCCAGATTGTCGTCAGCTGAGAGAAGATTCCTGGGTGTGTTTCCTGCACGCGGGGTGAGGTGCTAGAGTCCGTGTAAGTGGGGCTAGAGCACGGCAGGGATGGGGGGGCATTCACCCCATATGCACACTCACTCCTGTCCCTGCCAGGCTGGGTGCTGCTGGGCCAGGGCCCCGCCCTGCCACTGGAGCCTCCTGACAGACGGATGTTCAGGAGACCCCTAACTGGGGGAAGAAGTCACCTACATCCTGGACAGAGACTTGAGCAAACCATGGCAGTGTTTCGCCACGCCCCGGATGCCAAGGTGCCAGCCATGCCCTCAGCAAGGAGAACAGCCCAGCTGAGGGTGACCCTCACCACCCAGAGTAGCATGGGACCGTGCGGGGTTCCTGAGCTGTAGGCCCAGCTCCACCAACCTGAGCAGTCAGCTGCTTCTCAGAACATCAGACCAGGCCTGGCTCTCACTTGGCTCAGAGGCAAAGGGCCACACCAGCCCTTCCCCACGGGAGGCTTGGGACCGAGGCCATCACCATCTGCACGTACAGCCTGACAAGTCCAGCTAACGATCAGCCAGCCCACCCAGAAGCTCTCCACGTGCTGAGTCTAAGGAAGGTTCCAGGGAGGTGGTGCATTCGTGTTTCTTTCTCTGATGATGCTTTGGTTTCTCTTAAAGGCTAGCTCAGCAGGAATGCCAAGCTGTTCTCCCCAGCTGGCTCAGGTCTTAGCCCTTAGGGGAAGGGCACGGCCTACCTGTCCGTGGGCAAAGCCTATCATGGGCTCCATCATGGCCACACGCTTCCTGTACTGCAGCGTGTTGAGGGCACAGTAGTACTGAAGGGAAGAGAGGTGCTGTTTCCGCCGTGCAGCTGCCACCTCTTTCACGACATCTGTCTTCACCTGGGTGAGAGGCGGGAGGAAAACGTCAGGCTGTCTGATGGACGTGGCAATTCTATAAGAGCATGAAGCTTCAACAGTGTGCATTTACTCACGAGACCCATTTCTGCAACCAATAAAACTCAGATAAGGTTCCGCCTTATGTTTTAAAAACTCCCAATTAAAAATACCAAAGTATTAGCATCTCTGTGCTTGTGGGGCTGCCCTGGGATGAAGCCAATTACTCTCAGATCCCTTAGGAGAACAATATGGTAGCATGCACTGAAAGCCACAAACATTTTAGTTCACTCATAAGATTGTATTCCAAGGAAATAATTTAGCTCAAGGAAATCATGCAACAGAAGTAGGAATTTAGATGCATTAAAATGGTCAATATCATCTACAGTAGCAAAAAAGCATGAGTGAAAGAAGCAGAGTCAACACCCAGGACAAGAAATTCAAGTGACCTGAATACATATGAGGCAGACAAGCACGAGGTACCAAGCCTGAGTTGAAATCATTGTGCTAATGTAATTATACAATGGTTCCAAGTTGGTGTTTAATAAACCAGTTTGAAAAGCTAGAATAGGGAGGTAGAAGTCTACTTATGAGATTCAGAATAAGTAATTAAAAATCTATGTATAGGAAAGAAGAAAAAGAATTCATCAAGTTACCCTCAATGCCACGAATTCACAGCAGGAACATAGAAAAGGAGCTTAAGTAAACGAGGTGAAAAACAACAAGTCAGGTAGGCATTCTTACCTTCTCGTTCTCCTTTTTTTTAGGAAGCCTGCTATATTTTGCCATTGAGAGGTCATGCTCTAAAAATAAAGAGGCATTTTAGCTCCCAGATGTGTTGAAAGGCAAGAACATTCATTCAGCATCTCCAGCCACATGCATACTAAACCCACGCACCAAGAATGGAAAGGATGCCTACCATTACTGGCGAGTCCAAAAAGATCCTTTAAAGTGCTAACCTCTGAACAAGAGAAAACAAACATCTTAGAGCAAAGAAAAATAAAATACACCAACCCAGAGCTCTGTGCTTCCCCAAGAAAAGAAAAGTCTCTGTGTGGAAGGAGGAAGACTCTGTGAGCACCTCCTCAGGGTCTCTGGCCTCCTGCCTGGTCTGACTGGACTTTGTGGCTTCAGCTCCATCCCAAACTGGGGACCCTGACTGTCCTTCAGGCCACTCCTTATAGACAGCATTTGGGAGTCCATGAAGCAGAGGGCACTTGGGGGGATGTGGGCTGGAGTGTGTGGTGGCCAGGTACTCTTAATGGAGCCCTGCAGTATACACTGGAGACCTGGAGATTCTTTGGTCCCCCAAAAGAGTGTTTTAATACCTCTTTCCTCACAATACCTGGGCCATACCTAGAACCTAGGAGTGCCCTGTTGCTGGCCATTTTAACATCTGGCAAAGCCACCACTAACAAAGGAATATGGGATGCTTGTTTTAATGAAAAAGTCTGAAGCCATCTAGCATATGGTACCTGCGACAAGCCAACAAACACCACTATTACCCCCTGTGGATGCCGCACTCCTCATGCACCAAGAGGTGTAACAAAGTCCAAGACCAAAAAAACGACAAGGTCAACAAGGGTGATGGCTGTCCAAGGTTAAAAACTTAAAAACAGGGGCGCCTGGGTGGCTCCGTTGTTAAGCATCTGCCTTCAGCTCAGGTCATAATCCCAGGGTCCTGGATCGAGACCCACATCAGGCTCCCTGCTCAGTGGGGAGCCTGCTTCTCCCTCTCCCACTCCCCCTGTTTGTGTTCCCTCTCTCGCTGTCTATCAAATAAATAAATAAAATCTTTAAAAAAAATTTTAAAAAAAAGGACACCTGGGTGGCTCAGTCAGTTAAGCATCTGCCTTCAGCTCAGGTCATGATCCCAGGGTCCTGGGATAGAGACCCACATCGGGCTCCCTGTTCAGTGGAGAGCCTGCTTCTCCCTCTCCCTCTGCCTGCCTCTCTGCCTACTTGTGCTCTCTTTCTCTCTGTCAAATAAATAAATAAAATTAAAAACAAAAAACAAAAAAACCACAGAGACATCTAAAAGAGAGCGATACTTTCTACTACTCTACCACAATCCAGTTTTGCTTCATCAAACAAAGGAAAGCATTTTCATACCTTTTATGTCTTTTTCAGTTTGCCTCAAAACTGCCTCCAGCTTTTCAATCTCTCTTCCCGTTATTCTTACTCTTTTTGGTGTCGGTTGCTTTCTGCCTCTGTGGGCCTGCCTTTCCCTTTCTTCCCCTGTCCCTTTTACTTCCTATTGGAGCACTTTCAGGGTTTTACACTTTCCAGGTCAAATAACTTCCCTACTAGCCTTTGAGTTCTCTTCATTCACATATGTACTTGTATTGATGCATAAATGAAAAAGACAGCAAAATGTCAGATAAAAACCATCACAGCAGAGGGGAGGCCAGATTCTAACCTGGTTCTCAGGCTGACTCAAGTATGACCCAGGCCAAACCCTTCAAACTTGCGTGTTGGTGTGGTCAGAGGAGGTTACTTTGATTCACTGTTTCCATAGATACCTAAGAGGCTTCTCTTTTTACTACCACATAGATTTATTCTCTTAAAAAAAAAAAAAAAATCACCATCCTGGGCAAATACTACTAATCCACACTTGAGCCGCTCAGGATGATGAAGGCCCGGTCGTTACCAATGCTGGCACCCTCTGCCCCGGGCTGCCTCCCATCACAAAGCTGAAAGACACAAATCTGACAATGTAGGTCTTGCGGGGGGAGGGGTGATTATTTTCTGTCTAAAAGACTCGGACTTTATTTTTAAAATGAAATCCCCACACATTTCTATGATTTTATTTAGAGAAAATCTTTATGAAAAAATGCACCCAGACTCTCAGTTCGTACTGGATAATCAGCACAGGACTACGGGCAGGTTTGGGATTTACATGCAATTATAGATAAGCAACACTCAAAACCACTAAAAACCCTGCTCAAGCAAGGTTTCTCCTTACACAAGCTGACATTTCATTTATTCTTCTTTGTCAGGTTTCAGTGCTGTGTAAACCGCCCTTGGCAAATGTTGATGCCAGGTCTACCCCACTCCCTAAAGCCTCAGGCGACATGATCACCAGGAATCTCCAAGTGAGGGGGAGAAAGAACATGGTCTTTAAGATGTACTGCATCTTTTCTGCCTGAATAAATTTTATATTTTAAGGTGTTATATATATATATATACATATTTTTTTAAGATTTTATTTATTTGAGAGTGAGAGAGCAAGCATGAGGGGGGTGGGGGTAGGGGAAGAGGCAGAGGGAGAAGCTGACTCCCGGCTGAGCAGGGAGCCTGGAGGAGGGGCTTGATCCCAGGACCCTGGGATCATGACCTGAGCAGAAGGCAGCAGCTTAACTGACTGAGCCACCCAGGTCCCCCTGAAAAGGAAGTAATATCCTGAACAGATCTCTTAGTAGTCAGTTTAGACTTTTTTTAGCCAGCAATTTTTTACATCAGTGTTCCAGAAAATACAATTCTTGAATCTCTAAGCAATTAATATTTTTGATGACATAAAGAACAAAAAGACTAGAAAGTCTGGGTTCCCTTTTGTAATATCAACTATTTTTTTCATGAATTTTAGTTCTTTTTTATTCATTTTTTGACTACCTTGAATTCCAAGAGATATAAAATTACTCTATAATTTTGCTTTGGTTTTTGGCTGAAGAACCAAAATTAGTCCAAAAGGGCAACCAGGCTCTCTGAACCAGTCCCAGATCTGCCCACCCACTAAAATGTGAGCTCCCGGAGACCAGGGAGCTCGTCTGCCTTGTTAACGGCTGCAGCCCAGGGTCTAGTACAGGTAAAGCATGGTCCCCACCCCTCTGTCCCTCTCTAAGGCACCCACTTTCCAAAGCATTCATGGCTCCCCCAAAACAGCATGCCTTTACAAATGCTCCGAACCAGTAATATAAACCTTGCCATCGTTGTCTCCTTGGTAAACACTCATCTCTCAAAACCCAGCACAGAGATCACCTTCTCCAGGAAGCCCTCCCTGGTACCCTAACGTCAAAAAGGTAATCACACCTTTCTGTGTGCTGTCTTGTACCTCTCTGTCCTGTTGCCCTTAACACATGATGTTATGACTGTCTATTTCCAAGTCAGTTTTCTCATTAGCCTGTAACCTCCTTTAGGCGAGCCAAGACATAGTGGAGATTCAGTGGAAGTTAGCTAAACTGAAGTGCTCAGAAAAAGAAGGGCATTTCTCAATGATGCACATATTTAAAGAAATTAGTACAGTCAGAACGATTATGAAATGAATTGATATTTTGAAGGTAATTGGCACTGAACTCAGTAACTTTACCTGTGAGATCCTTTTCTCGAAATTGTATAATAGGTAGAACCATTGTGTCTGCCAACTGTTTAGCCAGCTCTGTATGGAGAACATTAAGCTGAAAAGAGAGAGAAATCTTACTGAAAAAAAAATTATGCCCACTATAACGGACATTGACTTCCGCACAGGATCACAGTGCACACTTCTGTGTGGTTCAAGAGTTCTGTTACACTTCCTTAGCAAATAAACAACCCTTCATAAAGCTACAAATGATATGGGCCTAGAGGTTCTAAAACTAAATGCGCGGTTCTGAGCTGGCCTCAGGTTTGCTAAAGGAGTCTCCAAACCCATGGCTACGGTCTATGTACTACGTTCCCAGGTTGAGCCACACCAGCTGGAGGAGGAAACGTCACGTTCATGTGCATGCAACGAACACGGCTCACTGGGAGCACTCACCTCGGGTCACACTTTACCAGGCCACCATAAGTTCTCTCCTTCTCAGAACAGCCAAAGTCACACTTGAAAGACTGGCCTGCTGGGAACCCATTAACCCGACAACCACAGCAGTTGTGGGCCTGGGAATTACTCTGCAGAAAGAAGGCTCCCCACTGAAACCTCAGATCCCAGGCCTCTGTTCTTTCAAAGAGCAAGCTGACTGTATTCAAATGTGATCCTCCTCACCAAGTAATTTTATTTTCTTTCTCTCCTTCCACCCACCTTGTCAAGGCCTTCCTAAATCCTGTTGTAAATGGTGCAAAAGAAATAAGTCATCCCCCCTCAGCACTACCATTTTTGAGTCCTTTTTGCATGCCAGAGTTACATGCTTTATATCACTTGGTTCTCACCCACTCTGAGAGTCAGGTCTTCTTTATTATACCCATGTAACAGGTAGGCAAACAACTCTCCAAATCCAAACAGCAAAGAGGTGGAATGGCTGGGATTTTCATCCTGGGCTACTATATCTGAACTCCAGGCTTTTCCTACTACACCGTGTTGGATAGAGTCTTTTATGCTCATGGAGTTGCCCAAACTTCAAATGTTTGGTGGTCTAGACATCAGCAACGAACACAGATATTACTGAAGATGTTCTGGGATTCCTGGTTGGTGAACAAAAGGAAATCACCCACCAATCTGTGCATTCGGCAAAGTTTCGCTTTCACGCGCATAGGTCTCCACACCAAGAGGCTTGTTTGAGAACCCCTGATGGGGCCAAGCTTCCGGGAGGCCATGATACCACCTATAAAATCACATTCCCAGCCTTCCAGCCTTTGGGAATGATTCACTCTCCACCAAAAGAATCATCATTCCTGCCCATGAAAGTAGGGTTGTAAGTAAGTATCTTAAACTGGAAATATAGGTTCTGGGGGTTTGAGGACTAACCACATTTCCTTAGCAACTGGCTCTGGTCAAGAAAAGACCTGACTTCAGGTAGTGCAGCCCGCTGCTTCTCCCCCTGGGCTCCTTATTCATGGTTAATTAGGAAACATTCATCTCCTCACTTCCAAAAAAATTACTTTTTTCCATTCATGCTCCTCCTATCTGGAAAAGATATCCACCCATTTTAAACATTCATTTTGAAGAGAGTCAGAGTCGTGGGAGAAAGGATGAAGCTCAAAAGAACTGGATGACGAGTTCTCTGTTATATCCCCAGTGCCTATAACAGCACCTACCCCACAGTAGGTGGTCAATACGTGTTTGCTGAATGAGTATCAACTTGCTGGGTTGGTTTGTTGAATGAATGACAATGCAATCAGTACAGTTTTATATGAATGCTAGTTTCTCATGTTATAAACTGAAGACAGTATCTCCTTTACATTAGCGACTGAACAGTTAAATGGAACCTGCATGTCCTTTTTCGCTTCTTCTTTATCATAATTTTCTACTGTAAGTACTGCAAGCTCCTTGAAAGGTGAAATACCCATTTCATACCGATCTAATTCTGTAGAGGGTTCTGCTCAGCACCAGTAGCCTCTGAGCTGGGGTGTTTATTACAAATAGGATTTATGTACTTCTCTTATAACAATACCTGTTTTTCACAAATGTTCCAAACGTATTATACAATACAGCTACAAGAACAGTTGTATGAAACCCTTTGTGGCGGGGGAATCGTGCCCATCCTCTTCCTCCCCCAAAGAAATGTCCATCCAGAACATGTGAGTATTTAGAAACAAGGTCTTTACAGATGTAATGAAGGGCCTCGAAATGAGATCATCCTGAGTTATCCAGGTAGGCCCGAATCCAATGATAAGTGTCCCTATAAGAAGAGAAGACACAGATGGAAGGGGTGAAGTGGGGTGGGGAGGAGGCCATGGGAAGGCACACGCAGAGACTGGAGGGATGCAGCCACATGCCAAGGGACGCCCAGGGCCACCAGAAGCCGGAAGAGGCCAAGAAGGTTTCCCCCTCAGGCCTCTAGAGGGAGCCTGGCCTTGCCAACAACTTGATTTCATACTTCTGGGCTCCAGAACTGGGAACAAATAAGTGTCTGTTGTTTTAAGCCACCTACTTGTAATTTGTTACAAGCAGCTGGAGAAACCAATACACCCTTTTTGGGAAACTGAATTCTCAGAAATCTTTCTCTTGGTCCATTATTCATGTATAACAAAGCCTTTCTCCTCAAACCAGAAACAAACATAATCGCATACAACCTGTCTTGTGAAATGAGCCTTGGAAGAGCAACAAGTTGAGATATCTTCTTAAATATTTGAGTAGATACATACAATGGAAAGTGGGCCAACACAAAGATAAAAGAAAGTTCAAGAAAGAATCAAATAAAATTTTGCCGTGTTTCGATCTTACCTCATCTACCACTTTGGAAAAATAGTGGAGTGTAGAAATTACTTCTTCGTCGCCTTTGCCAAGAGCAAAATTCTAAGACCAGAGAATAAAAGACCCAGTTGTTAACGCCTGGAGAGTCAGTGCTGCCTCACCCACATCCCAGCGCCCTCCAGCCAGCTCCCACTCTGCTCCCGGGCGCAATCGCGTCACAGTGTCTATCTGCAGAAAACGAGTGCGCCCTCCACTTCCTGCCCCAGCAACACACTCAGTCGCCCCTCCCGGGCTATGCCTTTGGTGGCCATCACCCTTCTTCTGTCTGGACATAACGGCATCTTTGAGTTTATTTCCCGGAATTTGATTCGTTTGTAGCCCCTCAGACCATGAACCCTCAAGGCAGTGGGTGACTTCTGTAGACTAATTAGAATACATCATAAAGACTTTGGGATAATCACCAGTTAGAATTTATCAGGGGAAAGGAAAAGGCAAGACAAAAAAACCCCAAAAAACAAAAAACTCCATCAAAAAACAAAAAACAAAAACAGGAGTGGACCATGGACAAAAAGAAAGAAGGAAATCAAAGTCTCTCAAGGATGCCCTTGGAGAATTCCTTTTTTTTTTTTTTAAAGATTTTTATTTATTTATTTGACAGAGAGAGCGAGAGAGTAAGAGAGGGAACACAAGCAGGGGGAGTGGGAGAGGGAGAAGCAGGCTTCCCGCAGAGCAGGGAGCCCAATGTGGGGCTCGATCCCAGGACCCCAGCATCATGACCCAAGCTGAAGGCAGATGCTTAAGGACCGAGCCACCCAGGCGCCCCCCTTGGAGAATTCCTTAAAAGAACTCCATTTACGAGAGTCCCGAGCATAGCATCACATGCCACATAAATACCCAGTTACCTGTTTTTCATATGCTAGCAGCTGCTTAGAAAGCTGCTGAGTGGCCAGGCACATCTCATTCTGCAGGGAGAAGAGAAAAGCAGGTAAGATATGTCCAACACATGTAAAGTCACCAAAAAAAAAAAAAGTCACCTCAGAGAATCCCTTAAAAAAAGTATGTGTTGTGTCTGTAAAATAATAGTTTGCTCAGGAATTATTTGGAAAACAAGACCAAAACAAATTAAAAACGTTAAAGCTTGCTTTTCTCCCCCCACCATTTACAAATTACTGTTCCTTCTAGTCAGTCAGTACAAAAATGTAGTGAGCAATTATGCTATACCCAACATCCAACAAAGACTCCGCCCCTGTCCTCACACAATTTACTGGGAAGCAGACAGCAAAAAATAGTTACAGGCATGATGAGAACCGCAAAGGAAAGCATGGACGTGTTAGGAGGCTCTAGCAGGAGGACGCAGATGGTCTCTAAGGAAGAATGGTTCTAAGCGGACCCCTGCAGACAGACTAGGAGTTAGCCACGGGAACCAGCTTTCCAGAAGGAGGGACCAGCATGTGGAAACGCAGCACAGACTGTCTGAAGAGCGACGAGTGTAGCCGGAGCAAGGGGTGCAGGTGTGCAGGTGAGACGTGGCTGGCCGAGCAGACAGAGTGAGGGCATGCAAGCCTCCATGGCCCACATTTAGACTAAGGGCAATGGGAATTTCTGCAGCACTGTGACATGATCAGATCCAGCAAACCCAAGAGGGCTAGGTCGGTCCTGCTGGATGGGAACACAGAAGCATAGCTGCACTGTCCTGGGAGGCCCGTTTCATGCCACTTTCACTGGCCCATATTGTTCATCTTTCTCTTCTCTGGTTTATCCCTCTTATCGCTGGCTGTGGGGCAGTTTTCCACCACAAGCCTCCGACAATTGATGCCCTCTGCCTAGAACACGTGTCTTCATTTCTAAAGCTCAGTGAAAACTTCTCTTCAGATTCAGGACTCACTCCCAACAGAGGGGCAGGGCCACAGCGTCTGACTGGGGAGGAGGGGAGGGCACCGGCCGGCCCTGGCCTTTGCTTACTTTCTAATTCACCTGGGTTTGCTCTCCCTTTAGGGGCAAGGCCTGAACTCTGCAGGGGCTTGTTTTCTTTATCGTGGCCTTCCTTTGCAAGACCCATCAGAATCCTAATCCTACTTTTTTCAGCCCTCTTTGCTGACAACTAGCCAACCTGTTCCCTGACTTCCTTCATCGGCCCCAAGGAACAGGCATTAACTGACCCTGAAACAAGCACATATAATAAAAGTTCCTGGCTTTGGAATCCTACCAGGGTGCCACTCCTTTCAAAACAAACCCGAGCTGTGGCCACGGAGCCAAGAGGAAGGCAGGTGAACAAATGCACAAGCACTAGGCCCTGCACGCACTGAGGGAGGGCGTGCAGCAGCTCCCAGCACACAGCAGCCTCTCGACAAATGTGTGATGAATGAATGCACAAACAAAGTTAGAAGACTCCTCTAAATTCCCAGTTTAAGACAATACTTGGAATCCGAGGTCAGGGGAAAATACTTCCTAACCCTACAGGTGACATCACTATGAGGCGGGTGGTATGATAAAATACCAAGAATGCACAGCATGAAACAATCAGCCAAGAAATCAGCCTGCCGATCATCTCCAGCAGAGCTGTTTGGAAGGTCAAAGTGCATGGGAAAGGGTCTTGACCCACTCACTGGGCTGACAGCCTGTTGTATCAGAAAATCCCTCGCTCCTCTTCTCTGAGTTAGTAACGGAGGGTTTAGGGTGGCTTTGCTTAAGCTACTTTAAGCATCTGCCTGGGGGCAGCACCATGTGGACTGGGATTTGCAGACCTACAGAATCGTCCTAACAACAGCAGCTAGCACGGAGAGGATTTAATCCATGGCAGATGCCACACCAAGTGTATTCCATGTGTTACCTCATTTAATTCTGACAACCCTATAAGGTAGGTTCTGATTATTAACTCATTTTTACAGATGAAGAAACAGGCAGCACAGAAAGGTTGAGACATTTGCCCAAGGTCACACAGCTACTTAGCAGCAGGGTTGGGATGTGAGCCCACATCTGTCCCATTCTAAGATCCACACACTTAAACACTACTCTCCAAGATCCCAAGTCCTGCTAAGAGCTGAGGCGGCCTACGCTTTAGCCTGAAGTTGACAAACTTTTCCTCTAAGGGCCAGATAGACATTACTTGTGGAGATGGTCTCGGTCACAACTACACACTCTGCTGTTGGAACATGAAAGCAGCCATAAACAAGACAGAAAGGAATGAGTGTGGCTTCCTTCATTTAAACATTATTTACCAAAACAGAAAGCCAGCCCAAGGGTGTAAATTGTTGATCCTGCTTTAGATATTAAATGTCTCTAGAGACCCACCCCCAGGAGGCTCTCCATTAAGCTACAATATTTCAAATTCAAGGAACATTTTCCATTTTTTTTAAAAAAGATTTTATTTGAGAGAGAGAGCACAAGCAGGGGGAGCTGCAGGCAGAGGGAGAAGCAGGCTCCCTGCTGAGCAAGGAGCCTGATGTGGGTCTTGATCCCAGGACCCTGGGATCAGGACCTGAGCCGAAGGCAGACGCTTAACCAACTGAGCCACCCAGGTGCCCTCATTTTCTACTCTTTTAAGTCATTCTTTATTTTAGCTAAAACTAAAATATTACTGCCCCATATCTGTATCCTTTAGAGACTGGTCAACAGATATGATAACTACCCTCCCTGCCTTCAAACTAAGCAAGAAGCACGGGCTACTTGGATTCTTCTCTACCACTTAGTGGCAAACGCTCCAAAGGGAATAATGGAAAACCTGCCAGAGTGCCGCCGGCGTCAGACTGCACCCAGGCTGGGGGGGGGGGGGGGGGCGGCGGGGGGGGGGAGTGCTCCTGGGCCCCCTGCACAAAGCCAAGAAGGGGGCACAACATTCAACCGCTGCTTTCCACAACTACTGTGTACAACTGGACTCTGCCAGGTCTCGCCCCGAAATACCCTGTGAAAATGCTGTGTATTTTCAGATGTGTGTGATTCCAGGCTGCAAGATTCTGCTCGGCCAGTATGATCTCACTGGGAACAAATGACAGGTCCAAAACGGCCTGTCACCTGCCCTGAAAAGTGAACTTCTGTGCAGAGCACATGCCATGAAAAATCTTTTGAACTAGACCAACTTTAAACTTACTCACACTTAATCTATTGTACACAGAGGTTTTACGAAATGCTTTGCCCACATCAGCCAATTAATCCACACCCTGTGAGGTCAGCCCACACAATTATCTCTGCAACAAGGCCTGCAAAACTGGAGCTTGGGTGCAGAGTAAATATTAGCAACAGCAATTACACAGACAGCTGCTAACATTCAGCGAGTCTTTTCTAAGTACCGGACAGTGCTGTTAAGTGCTTTTCATATTTTATCACATTTAATCCTTACAGTGCACCTATCAGGTAGGGACTATTACCAAATGAGGAGACAAAGGCTCAGAAAGGATAACAACTTTTTTTTTTTAAGATTTTATTTACTTGACAGAGAGAGACACAGCGAGAGACGGAACACAAGCAGGGATAGTGGGAGAGGGAGAAGCAGGCCTCCCGCGGAGCAGGGAGCCCGATGTGGGGCTCGATCCCAGGACCCTGGGATCATGACCTGAGCCGAAGGCAGACGCTTAACGACTGAGCCACCCAGGCACCCCGGATAACAACTTTTTAAAATCACAACTAATATCTGGCGAGGCAAAGACCCAATGCAGATCTGCTGGACTTGAAATCTAAATGCCACGTTTTTAACACTATGCTATTTCCAATCTAAAGTGCAAACCTGTTATCTGGCTGGTACTCAGCGGGCATGTCTCGCTGGGCCCATGGATAGGAACATAAATCCCACACTTTCTTCTAGCTGTAGTTCAAGCAACAGAAGTGGCCTAAAATTTAGACTCTAAATCGAGTTCCACGAGTCAGATTTCTGCGACATTCTGGAACCATTCTTTGGCTATTCACTATGCTATTTAATGCCTGCTAAGAATCCTTAAAAAAGATAACCCAGTGACGTGTTTACTGACAGCATCTCCTACGTGACATCGAACCTCCATGGCTCCTGTCAAGGCAGAAATACCCGTGGTCAGCAAACCTGAAAGAAAAACCATGCTTTTAGCAAAGGACTGTTTATCTTGGGGTGGCACAGAGCGTTCCGGCAACTGTCACTGTCACCCCAACCACCCAGAGGCCCCTGCTGGTGGCACATCCCTGGTGGAGGGCAATGGTGAGGCTGGGAGCAGGGGCAGAGGAAATCCCCTGGGGTCAAAGTCACCATGCAGGCCCTCGCTTCCATCCCAGCCATGTTGCCTCAAGCTCAGGCGTGGAAAGTCTCGCTCACCACGTGCTTCCCCCCAAGCCGGGCTCCAGGAGCCCTCGAGCTGGGCCGCGCACAGGAGTAGTGAGGAGCGCGAGGAACCAAGGCAGGACGCTGTGCTGGGGGGCAGGCCGTGAGTGGGGGACGCTGGGGACGGGGACGTTACCCTGGAGGCAACAGGGAAGCCCCGAGCCACGGGCGCAGGACAGCGACAAGATCCGACTTGAGCGGAGGAAAACTCAAGAGTGGCCGTGGTGGCGAGGAGCACCGAAGGGGGCACGGCAGGAGGCTCGGGAGCCCACCCGAAGAGTTGGAGCGAGGGATGAGAACAGTCTCCAGAATGTGGAGGCCGTGGGGAGACCTGGGGGTTGTTCTGAGGCAAAAATGACAGCGCGCAGCGTGTGAGGAGGCGGCGAAACCCCAGAAAGCCGGCCTCCGGTCGGCGGCGGGCTGCGCCGGCGCTCAGCGGCGCACGTCCGCAGCCCAGGCCCTCCCTCGACGCCCGCGGCACCGACGGCCCCAGCACTCCCAGGGGCCAGGCCCGGTGCGGGCACTGGAGCCGGCGAGTCGGCTCTTGCGGTCTCACGGTCCAGAGGGCCAGGGAGACCGCGCTCGCTGCCCCGGAAGTGCTCGCCCCAACGAGGCACGGGGCATCCGGCACGCGGGCGCGCTTCGGCTGAGGAGGGAGAGCCGGAAGGAAGGGAAGGTGCC